ACCCACCGAGCATATACCTATATTCAGTTGAATCGATAGGATATCTGCTTAGGGCAATGACCAAGTCAACCGACACAAACACATAAATCATAGTCAGAAATTGTATGCGTTTGGATGCTCAAGGCAAGATGCCAAGTATTTCGTCGTTCGCTTACCCTCCGAGGGACTTTTTAGATAGGCAACACCATGAAAGACCTCGATTTTTCTTATATCAACCAGTCAATGAAGTATTGATCGAGGAATCCGTTCATTTTATCGTTTTTGATCACTGGGCTGCACCCGCAGAACGTCTACAGAAATAACTGTGTACTCTCCCGGCGGTTCACCCTCGGGCTACGTAGGTTATATATCCCAGTATTAGGTAGACATTTCTGCAAAGCCACCTGAAGAGGCATGAAAGAGATTGCAAGAAGGGACTGGCGTGCGGAGCACTCTGAGCCGAGATACTGGAGAAATTATCTACTGGTTGTAACCTTTTCTGGGCGCCAAGGTCAGTAGATTAATCTGATTAGATTATCGGTCGGACACATCTAAGCGAGCGGTCAATCAGACCATCATACGAACTTTGCTTTCCTTCCGAAATGACCTTCCCCCTATCAAGAGAGTTCTTCTCTTCATCCAAACGGTTTGTATGGCGACAATGGAGGGGCTGTGGCGGGCAGGAAAGGAAAAAAAAAAACGAGCAGAAAAAACACATGGGTCTTACTCCGTACGGAGTACAACATCCGGTACTCCGAATCGGTTAATCGTGATGCCAAGAGTGAAAATTCAGAGAGGCAGTTCCTGAAAAATAGATCATCTTTGATATGCAGCTGCATTCGGTCATACTCGGGAAAATAACATAGATGTCTACCCGTTCCCCTGTGAGGTGTCATGGCTTTCTTCGGCCGAAAATTTCACGATCTACCTTTTAGTGTAGTCAGAAAAATTGCGGAGGACGGAGTCCGAAGAGTAATGAGTCAACACCGAGAGAGTACCCAAATTGCCTGCCACTAGTAAATAGGGTCGATATCACTATGGCCCAGTTTTCTTCTGGGGGTCAGCTTTGGCAGAAAGAATCGGTGGGAACCGTGATCAACCATCCCATTGTGACCGGAAACCTCCACAATATCACCAAAGAGACACAGTTTCTTATCAATCTAAAGGGTCCTTGGTTAGTCTGTGGCCTAATGACCGCCAATGTCGGGCCTGCCCTAGTCGACAAGCGGGTGGGTCAATTCGTCGAAAAGACACCTTCCCAAGCCCAAGGATGGGGGCGGAGCTCGTATATTCTTCTCCTTTTAGTTTGAATGCACAGAACTTTCACGTTGGGGCAGCTGTTAGATCGGAAAAGTCACCCATGACCCCGTGTTCCTCCTGGAATAATCGTTGCAGAAGAGCGTTCTATCCTATTCCATCACGCATTGAATACCTACATTCATTCTATTTCTTGCAAGGAGATGATGTTACTATTATTAATTTCCCAATCCTCTGCCCCCATTAAGTCAATGTCGATCTAAGTATGAGGGGCATGGAAAAGAATTGCACAACCACACGATGCTCATGGCGCCATAAAAAAATGGAGAACGGCTAACGTGCTCTAGTCGTTGTGCGTCTTGTCTAGCCGCTTGGCTCTATGAATGGGAGGGGGGTGGTGCTATGGCGAGTCCAAAGCCATCTCAATTTACTACAGACTCCGTCGATTCAGAGGGCTGGCACCTGCGATTGAAGCCGCACTATGTCCGAATGCATGCGAATTTTGGGGGGAAAAGTGCGTTTATCAAACCAAGGACTAAATTATTGGATACATACTTTGCGCTAGGGACCCGGGCTACTTTTGGGCGACTATTGCATCTTTTAAATCTGGAAATTGGTGAATAAATTCGATCCTTCAATCGCCATGTCACCATCTGGACCAAAAGGCCGGCACCTAGATTTGACCCAAATGGGTAAATCTCGGGATCTTGAGCCTTGGCAACACTTGAGGTTTCTGGCTGGGCGTCGCATATTACTTAAAGGTATCCTTTGCTTTTTTTCTCGATAGCCCGCGTTGTTATACCTGAAGTCTTTCCATATGCATAGGCAATCGCAATCCGCAGCAATGGCAATCAATAACCGGCTGCAACTGCTCTTCAATCACAAGAAAGCCGACATAACTCAAGATCCTGCATCAAATACCACTACCGAGAGTCCGGCTGATCAGAAGACCGCGGATGTATATGACAGGGAAGACGGTATCGGCGATAAGAAGAGCGATGAAGCTGTTCCGACACAGGATGCCCAAACAGGTATCCAGAAGATACAGGCTGCGACTTTAGTCTGGAGCCGATGGTCACTTGCCGGCATTTTATTCTCGTATGTCTTCCCTGCTGCTGGCTGCCACGGTCGGGTACTTTTCATTTATCGCTGAGCAATCACACAGTCTCTGGTTTGTTACTCTCGTCAATGGTTTCCGCACTGCAATTCAGGCCAGCTTGACCCCGTACGCTACTAGCGAGTTCCAGAGCCACTCACTCCTGACAGTGATCAATATCGTCTCAGGAGCCATGACGTCTGCGCTGTATATCCCTGTTGCTAAGTTGGTGGATGTCTGGGGGCGTGCGGAGAGTTGGCTCTTGATGGTGGGATTCTCAACCTTGGGCATGGTCATGATGGCAGCGTCAAAAAATCTCGAAACATATTGCGCTGCAGATGTATGTCATTCCTTTTCCCCTTGCTGTTACTGTTTGAAATTTCTTATCACTATTATATTATTTACGAGGGGGAAAAAAAAAAAAAAAATAAAAATTGACCGATATGATACAGGTGTTTTACTCCGTCGGCCTTGGTGGACTCAACTATATTCTCTGCGTTATTGCCGCGGACGTGACGAGCTTAAGGAATCGTGGTATTGCATTTGCCTTCACCTCGTCTCCATGGATGATTACAGCCTTTGCCGGCTCCAAAGCCGCCGAGAAATTTCTCATTAACGTCAACTGGCGGTGGGGTTTCGGGGCCTTTGCCATTATATTACCAATAATTGCCTCTCCGGTATATTTTATTCTGAAATTCAGCTTGAAGAAGGCCGAAAAGCAAGGTTTAATCACACCTACAGCCCGCAGTGGCCGGACGCTGTCGCAGAACATCCTGCATTACTTCTTTGAATTTGATCGTAAGTGGAAGTCGAATGTAATTCCTCGAAACCTTCCTCCGACATCGTGCATTGACTGTTTGAACTCTTCATAGTGCCCGGAGTGGTGCTCTTCGCAGTCGGCCTGACAGTGTTCCTCCTGCCATTTACCCTGGCTTCCCGTGCTCCCAACGGCTGGGCATCGGATTATATCATCGCCATGATCGTCGTTGGTTTCGTGGTTCTGGTCCTTTTTTTTCTCTATGAACTATATCTCGCGCCCGTTCCCTTTATCAAGCACAAGTTTCTGCGTGACCGCACCATCATCGGTACCTGTCTCCTTAATGCGACCTATCAAATGGCCTACTACTGCTGGAACAGCTACTTCACCTCCTTCCTCCAGGTGGTGAGTAACCTTGGGGTAGCAGAGGCCGGATATGTGAATAGTACATTCCAGGTCGTCTCCGGGCTGCTTCTCTTTATCGTTGGTTATGCGATCCGCAAGACGGGCTACTTCCGCTGGCTACTCTGGATTGGAGTTCCCATATATATCCTCGCGCAGGGTCTGATGATCCATTTCCGACAGCCGAACCAGTATATAGGATACATAGTCATGTGTGAGATTTTCATCTCCATCGGCGGCTCAACCTTTATTCTCATCGGCCAGTTGTCGGTTCTGGCTGCGGTGGACCACCAACACATTGCGACGGCGCTCTCCGTGCTTTTCATCTTTGGCGGCATCGGAGGATCCATCGGTAACGCCATTTCCGGCGCCATCTGGACAAATACCTTTCTTCCTGCCTTACAACGCAAACTCCCCGCATCAGCCCAGGGAGATATTTTAACCATCTACTCCAGTCTCCCCGCGCAGCTGGCCTATCCGAAAGACACCCCGGAGCGGATCGCCATCCAGGAATCCTATGGCTATGCGCAGACTAGAATGCTGGCGGCCGGGACCGGGTTGATGGTGCTGTGTTTTGCATGGGTAGCGATGATCCGCAATTACAACGTGAAGAAGATGACACAAACCAAGGGTGTTGTCTTCTAAATATTCTGTTGGACGTGTGGAGTGTCTTCGATACAACGTCGAACGCGAACGGTAGATAGATGGGACTGCCAAGATAGATGGGATAGCTAATATAGTGACCTGGGGGCCTCTGTAACTATGATAATGCGAGACATGAAGGATACTTATTACCTGATATCTACTGTATCAATATGAACGCTTTTCATAGAGTGATATTCAAACTTCAACAGCCAATACTGTTCGCTTCAGGAGGGGGTGGCGGAGATAATTATCCCCGGAGACCCTCAGAGAAGCGCAAAAATGTTAATATTCCTAGTCAGCCTGATGATCTTTTGAAATGATTCAATTTCTGGAGAAAAGAATTATACTTGTTCTCCGTGAATAAAAAGCAAGGAAGCGAAAAATCATCGATGATCGGTTCTACAATGATCTTATTAGACGATTGCATATACTAATGTAGCTCTCCCCGCATGGGAGGACAAGGGGTTTTGTCGTAATAGAATGCGAAAAACAGCCAATTCGTTGGAGACAGTAGGCAGGGCATCGGCAAACGCGCGGTTTATATGTCCCGTCACACTTGGCAAAGAGCACAGTATTTCTGCATCAACTGTAAGAAAGGCCCCAAGCCTATAAAGAACGTATTGCCTGTAATGGCCAAACCAAGAAATCCGCATGATCCGCTGCAACGTAGGTCTGCAAAGCAGCATGATATGTTCGGGCAAGCCAGCCAGAAACCATGCGCGCTTTTGACATTTAAGAAGAGGGTCAAAGTAAGCTAACAAGAGCATTGCGATAGGTTCTTTCCTCTGAAGACATATCACGAAATTATCATCCATAAGATAGAGCCAAATAAGAACTATCCTATAGTGCTCAGGGCATTAAATGTGCTCTTCCTTGCCAAAAGTGGTCTCATACACTTTAGCAAGAGTATCAAAAGAGCGCAGGTACATTTCATGTTTCGGTGTCGGTTGAGAAAGAATAAAGTCATGTAACTTTTCCATTGGTTAAACCCAGTCGACCCGGGCGAAGACGTCAGTGACACAAGTCGGACGAGAATCTATGGGGGTTGCGGTGCGACCCGCAAGGGGCTCTGTCAGGCCAGAAAATAAGACATCGACATCGTATAGCTCCCGTAGAAGCCGTGCGCCTTGAGCAAGAGAAAACCATTTATGGTGGCCGTCGCCCATAACATCACATAAGAGCAGGTCCCCGGGACTACTAGGCCCCGCCGCGAAAAAGCAGAAACAGACGAGAATCGTCGACATATAGATACTTCCACAATTTGACGGCTGATAGCAGCTAGAGCCTCGCTTGTTTTGGCCAAACCCACAGAGAAGTGTTGCCCAGCCAGAGGAACGTAGCGTGACCTCGTATCGTCACATGTGGTGGCGAGGAAAACTAGATGGTATGCCGCAAGGGATAGACAAAGATGAAGAACATAGGGGCTCGAGATGCCAATCAACGTGGAATTGTGAGCCCAAAACCTGACGACTGGATTCGCAGGATCGTTTGAGCCGGCTATGCTCGGGCCTGCTCAGGTGATGAATTGATGGACCAGTTGGGCCTGTGTGATATCTAGGGCTGTATCCGACGTTTGTAATTGTCGAGTTGGAGGCTTCTGGTCTGGGTGGAATCGTTGGGCAATCCAGTCTTTCCGTGGTCGTCCACGCCCACGCTTCGCCAAGATGGGCAGTGAAGGCACGGGGGCGGGTTGCATATCGTTATGGTCGGCAGCCGGGCATTTGCAGGGCAGGGAAAACTGGGCGTACTTGGCACAAGCTGGACGGAGCTCATCGCACTAGCATATGGCGATATGAGTGTGATTGTGATGAGATAGGGTAACAGGCAATGCACTGCGGAGCTTGATCTTACGCCTCTTGCAGTTGAAGCAGCCGATTCTAGATTTAGTATGGGCTTTCTTCTTGGGGCGCTGGCCCAGTATAACTGTGCCCAAGGTTCTCTCCATCCGGTGGTTTGTAGCGGATCAAAAGCGCCCAGTCGGTATAGACATGATCTTTCTCGATTTTTCGCAAAGCGGGAGCTTTTCTGCAGGTTATATGGGTGGTCGGAAATTTTATGTTTAATCAATTTGGGAGTCTAATCAATGTCAATGTAACCGAGGGAAAAGGAGACCAGGTTAAAATGGCCTTCGGTGGCAAATATGCACGGGCATTCCTGCACCTTCCACCCCCGGTAGCCATTTCTGTATAATGATTGACAATGGCATGTGAAGGTTAAGCAGGATTAAATGTCATTTAGTTACTCAAACCTCAAAATAGTTAGAGTATTGTTAATTAGACCTGGACCACCGTCCACCGATGATGAAAGGCTATGTATAGCAACGCTTTAAAATTATAGCGATAACCCAGGGTTCGAAACCTCGGGTAGCACGTGCGGGGCATTGAGGACCAGGAACTTTTCTCCGGCAAACTAAAGTCACTTTGGAAGCAGACTTTAGGGAGGTGGAGCCACGATGGAAGAATTTTGGACATAATCCATGTATACAACTGACTATTGACTACTATTCGAATAGTTCTGCACTTAAGACATCGTATTTGCATAAACATGTCTTGTTCACCTGGAAATGAGTCTACCCGAAGCCTGGACCTGACTTTTACCGCAGTACGTCCTGCCATAAAGTTTCCAAGCCAGAGAGACTCCTTCTACCTTGAGCCAGCTCCTGGGAAATCCTGTGAAGCCCAGAATTCCCCAATTAGATGCCGAGAAATGTCCTTCAACATCCACCCCCAACCAGAAATTGCACATAACCGGTCTGTTCCCACGAGCTCTCTTTATTTCCCGCCGAAGGAATGGCTATTGGTGACAGTAGGCCTGATAATCGATCCAAACTTAGTACACTTTCGGCACCATGACGTACACTCTGTACATACCGGCCAATAGGGTTGAACAGGAACACCCTGTCCCGTCGGCTAATGCAGGTCCGGCAGATATTGAGCGACCCACCGAGCGAGATTGAGTTCAATAGCCCTAATGTTCGGCAGTTCGTTCCTGGTTCCATTACATCACACCCGTTCTGTTCCATCTGATCGCATCTAAACACAGACTGATCGTCCGATCGAGCCCTCAGCTGGAAAATTCGACCATGCTGATCCCTCGAAACCGGCTAGCTTAAACACTTTAACTCTGAATACATTTTGGGGTGAACCGTAGATGTCCAACAGCACGCACTGTTATCCTCGTGCCCGAGCTTAAAGATCGGCACCATGTCTCATCTCCATCTGGGCGCACGGGCTGTCCACGATTGACAGCCAAATACTGATTGTTAGAACTTTTTTTTTTTCTTTCTCCATCCTCTTCGTGTCTCGTGTGTCGGTCATTGCAAAGTATTCTCCTTGTCTTGAGAGCGCCATCATGGATATTCCTCCTATTCCAGACAATCGACCACGGCCTAATCGCTCCCAACACTCGTCTTCAATACCATCAGACGTTCCGACAATCCAGGTTTCGAACGAGGAGCAGTCAGTTACAACATCTGAAACATCTAGTCAGCATTTCTCGCTCGATGACCAACGGTATGTATAGAAGCAGAGAATCCTGTCGCTGTAGGCGCAAGAACCTAATACCCTGTCCAGCCGACCGGCCTCCAGCACGAGCGAACTCAGATCTCAACCATCCATAAAGTCGCTTAATCGCCAATACACAATAAACGAACTCCCTGTTCTCCAAGAAACCAATCCTTACGATGGAGCCGAAGAATTTAATCCAGTCAATGAGGAAGGCTCCTTCGATCTAGTCGCTCCATACGAAGGCGACGGAGTTTCACTCCATAGCCTCGAGTGTCAAGCGGAGTTGATGTTCTCTGCGCGACACATGGTTGCGATTCTATCGAATCCGCGATATTTGGCGCGCTTTCGCGAATTTCTGACTAAGGAGCGCCCACGGTCAATTCCGACATTAACGTATTATCTCAATGCGTGCAAGGCACTGAAGGCCATTCAGTACGCGAACGCTTTAGTGCGACTATCAGTTGATGTGCCTACGGCGGGTATCAAGCAGTCCAGCCCCATCGGCCTTGTCGAGAGTCCAGCACTTGAAAAGCGCGTACAGGACGCTTTGATTGCGCTGACAGCGGAAGAACTACCAGCCTTCATCACGGCAACTTGTATGAACATAACAAGCAAAGTGGTGGAAGAACGGATACGTGGAACGCTGCCAGACCGGTTCAGAGGAACGGCTGATGCATTGGCCGAGGTGTTCTGTTTGACGGATCCTTCGCGACCAGATAACCCGATCATCTTTGCTTCGGAGGGTGAGTGCATCCCTCGGACGGGGCATGATTAGATTCCACAAGTGCTGATATTGGTAGAATTCCATCGCACAACGCAATATGGTATGGACTATGTGCTTGGACGAAACTGCCGTTTTTTGCAAGGCCCACAGACAAATCCCAACAGCGTGCGACGAATCCGCGAAGCGATCGAAGAGGGTCGACATCATTCGGAGCTCTTCCTGAACTAGTATGTCTCCCATCAAAATTCTCGTTGTCCGTCAACCCCTTACAAATGATATAGTCGCCGCGATGGCTCCCCCTTCATGAATCTCCTCCAATGCGCCCCTCTTTGCGACAACCAAGGCAAAATCCGGTACTTCATCGGCGCGCAAATCGATGTATCAGGGTTGGCAATGGATGGCGCACAAATGGAGTCTTTATTGAACCTCAAAGCACAAGTCGAATCGTCCCATAGAGAAGGTAGCTCTGAAAGCCATCGACAAGAATCGAAGAGCGAGTTTCAAGAGCTTGGAGAGCTATTCAGCCCAAAGGAACTGCGCAATGTCAATGAACACGGAGGCAGCCTTTTCCAACCCGTTCTCGACGCTGGTGGTCGCACCTGGTTAATGCCGGAATCGCCTCGAGAGACGGAAGGTGAAGTGCGCATTGGCAGCGGCGTGCCGGCAGCACCAACTCCCAGCAGTGGCTCTTTGGTTGGTGTCTATAGACACGTATGTCCTAAACTTCCTCCTTGAGTGTCACTCATTGTTGCGATACTGGAAATTTTTACTAACGGATCAATTCATCTAGTACCTGCTAGTTCGGCCTTACCCCTCTCTTCGAGTCCTCTTCACGTCGCCTTCCCTTCGAATCCCCGGTATACTGCAATCCTCATTCTTTGCGCGCATTGCGGAGTCGATAGAAAGAGACGAATTGCACCATGCCATGATGGCCGGACGGAGTGTGACGGCGCGTATTTTTTGGGTGACTAAAAATAAGGACCACGGGCGTCCTCGCTGGGTCCATTGTACTCCCCTGCTGGCTAATAATGGACAAGTGGGCGTGTGGATGGTGGTGATCGTTGACGATGAGGATGAGCATGTACGGTGGAAGGGCAGCTGGCCCACATCTTGAGACAAAAATGCCTCTCCTTTGATTTTCTTGTATATATACCTATTTTGCTCTAATCGTCTAATTAATGATTGATGTATATTTTTTCAACTTGTGTGCTTGACTGAAATCTTAAAATCAAAGAGGGACGGTTCATCCAAAGGCGGTCTAGACCAGCTTACGGCTCTAACATGATGAATGACTTTTTTTTGATGCAATAAGGTGGGGTGTGGGGTATAGTTGGTGAGCCTTTGTCCCCTGCCGTAGTAAAGCAGGCAGGGGGGTGTATAATGACACGCGCGGTTATAATAAAGAAGGGAGGAACGATGCTGAGACAAGGGAGCATCATTAGAACACAAACAACCCCTTGATTGGTTAGTAACAATGGCCTGCTAGTGATAGTCAGCACGGACAAAGAACCTCAATCACATACCGGGACATTCCTGTATACATATCAGTAGAGCCGCTAAGGTTATGTATTCTGCCGTATTTTACCTTATATGATTATGACAAAATAGGAAATCCCCAGTATATGGACATGGTGAACAACAGGCTTCCACAATCACTATGAAATAACCACGAACATGATTACAGCTTTTAAGATAAGCCAATTCTGTGGTAGCCTACCAACCATACGGCCCTATTTAAACCAAACGCATTTCCTCAAACATTAACCGCTTATGCCACTAGAACCACTATGAACCAACGGACTGAAACAGTGACATCCTCTCCAATGAAACAAACTGCACTTACTAAGAAGTTCTTCGATCGTCGGGACAGTTTGGTTACAGACGGTGTTGAGTTTTTGGATGACCAGTCGCCATTCGAGGTCATTCTACACATCGACATCCCATGTTTCATAATTGAGAAAGACTATGGTGACGTCTGCCTCGCTATTGGAGACGGGATCGCTCATCGCTTGGCGATGTACAATTTCAGAAATGCAGGGTGCTTGCCTCTCCGCGACAAAGTCCGCATGCAGCTGAAGTATGAGCTAAATGATCTCCCAGATCATGAAGACACGCATACCGCAAAGAAACTGCACGAGAGAATTTGCGAGCATCTTAGGAGTCGCGCACATATCAAGGTGCCGTTTCATCGCTATGTAGAGGAGAACAAGTGGCAGACACTGTACGAGTCTCTCATTATTGAAGAGTGGACCCAGCCTTGACAAAGAGACGTGTCTGTCCGTTAATGGTTAATTCATATCAATTACTAAGATCATGTATTATTGTTCAGTCCCTAATATGACAATAATGATTCAAAAATTTCATATTTTCACTATTAATCTTTCGTTACATCAGTTAACGTAATTCAGGGGTGATCCGCCCACCACGCGTGATCCGCCCACCCGATATGCGCGATGAAATTGGATCTTTTCCCAACAACGCAATCCAACGAATTAGGAAACAAATTAACTATCTCTAGATACAGGACATCGATTTTTATTATGCCCCGGGGTATTGCAATTAGAGCACGTCGGGGGGCGCCTTCTTAACGCGGAAGAAGCTTGTGAAGCAGTACTACCAGGAGGTGGATTTGCAGTAATTAATTGCTGATTTCTCAACGCAATTAAATATCTTGCTTCCCGCACTGTAGCACCTTCATTAGGCGTCATCTGACGTCTAGATCGTTGCGTTTTAAGCTGCTGGCGTGTAATTTCTTGGCGTAGAAGACGGTTTTCTTGAGCCATAAAATGTGTATCGTATAGCGATATTTCAAAGCCTCGTTCTAACTTCTCCAAGCGAGCAATTGAAGCCTCCAGGGTACCAGTATCTGGACTCTGTATAGAGTTTTGAAGCGTAGAGGTTCTCCGGCGTAGTTGACGAACTGTATGAGGTGTTACAAGCGCGGAGGAGGTCGCAGAGGATTGGACTCCTGTAGAGGGGGCTTCCGGGGTAAAGACTCTTATATTAAGCTTATCTGGCACCCGTTGAGGATCAAAAGGGGCTATTCCAGTTGCTGTAAAACCGCTCTGGGTATTCTGAACAGTTAAAGCGTCTTGCCGAGCCGCAGGAAGGGCTTTTAGGAAGTCAAATTTGTCGATATGAGTTTTGCCGAGGCGAGATCTATCTTCAACAGATCTTCCGTACGCCTTTTTTAATGGTCCAAAACAGCCTACATCCAAAGGCTGGAGGAGGTGAGACGAATTCGCAGGCATAGATATAGGAATATTATTATTATCCTTGCATATTGCATCAAATCGAGGCGTTAAATGGCTTCCATGACCGTCTAAGACGAGTAGTCGATATCGACCAACTGTACGCCCTGTAGTTGCAGGAATAAACGGTTTTTGAAGCCATCTAAGGCCTAAGTCGTCAGTTTTCCAGCCGTTTGATGATAATTCAATCCGCCAATCTTCTGGAAGGCTGCTGTAGTCATCATACCATCCCTCAATTGACACCTTTCCTTTGAAGATAATAGTAGTTGGCAGCGAGAATCCCCGGGTGTTAATACATTCAATTGTAGTCACCCATTCGCGATTTCCAGGTTGAATAAGCCATGGCCTGCCAGGCATTTCACGCCTTGTAACTACCTTTGCAGTTGCAATCATTCCCATAGCGAATCCTGTCTCATCAAAGTTGTAGATATCCTCATCTAGGATACCGTTATTGCTACAGATCTTCTGCAGCTCATTAAAGAACTCCCGAATGATCCTAGGACCCTCGCACAGGGCACGAGAGTAATTATAGCGCCTAGAGAACCTAGATTTGATCTCAGGACGCCTGTTGATAAAGCTCGTCACCCAATTAACCCCGATAGGAGAGTTTGGGGTATCAGAGTCAGTCTGGAGGATCAGATTGGCCATTTCTCGCACATGAGTATGCCTCGGGGGGCAACCACGCTCATCTCTGGATACTATCCATTGCACCAAATAATCCTCCTGAGTTTGGGATAGCCGGAGGTTGCGGTTGAGTTATTCTTGTTGAAATTCGCTGCCTTTCAATCGGTCTCGAAATGTACCACGCGGTATATTAAAAGCTTGAATAACTACACGCATCGAAGGAAATTCGCCATTTTTAAAAGCTTTTAACGCAAGCTAAATCCTCCCCTCTCGCTCCATTCTTTTACGACGCGTTCCGCTTTTTTTTCGGTGGCATGGTGGTTGATCAAATTAGGGGGGTTGGTTGACGTGGAGGAATTTTGTTGTGGTGGGCAGATCACGCGTGGTGGGCAGATCACCCCTGAATTACGTTGAATTTAGTGTTCGATTATGTATGAAGAGTCTGATAGTATTAAGTTGTGTTATCTTAGCTCTCATGTCTATGAAGAAACTGCCATTATATTTCTCCAAATATATGTAGAGTCTAGACCTATAAGGTGCCAGCCTCTCAAACACCGACTAATTCGAAGGAAATCAGTGCTAATCAATTCTGCCTACGTTAATTAACCCAGTCTAGAAATAGCATAAACTACTAATAATTTATTCCTAGGCGAGATTCGTAAGCCGATGCCAATGAAACTAAAGTGCGGGGTAGCCGATCTCGATGAGGTCACATTGAAAGCCTGACAGGGGGTTAGCCCACTCTGCTAACTAATATCAAGGGCAATACGATCTCGAAGAATCTCATCGAGAGCATGGCATGGCCTCCTGAGCGTATATCAACGGCCTTTCCTAATAACCTACAAATACCCATTACCGAAGCAACCATGCATTCTTCACCCCCAACGGCCACCGGGACGTTTCACTTCTCTACATCTACTCACTCTTACCAAATCCACTGGAGGTCTCTCGGCGATTTCAACTCTCCTCCATTGGTTTTTATCCACGGCACCCCCTGGTCGTCTCGCGTCTGGAACTCCTATGGCCTTTCCTTCGCCAAATACTTCCAGGTCTATCTCTTTGACAATCCAGGTTTTGGCGCTAGTCCACTTGGCCAGCCCCTCCCCGACAAAAAAAATGCCATCACCGATAAAATCGCACTAGACGCGGATCTATCCCAGCAGTCCGAAGTTTTTGCCGCACTGTACAAACGCTGGCAAGCTAGTTGGGCCTCACACCAGCAAAAGGCGCATGTTATTGCGCACGACCACGGGGGATTGATGGCTCTAAGAGCGAACATACTACATGGGAGTGAATATAGCAGCTTGTGCCTGATTGATGTTGTTGCGTTGGGACCATTCGGGCAGCCGTTATTCAAGTTGATTGCGGAGAACCAGAGCGTGTTTGAAGCATTGACGGGGCCAGTGTTTGAAGGCGTTGTGGAGTCGTATATTCGTGACGCGGCGCATCGGGAGCTGAATAAGGAGACGATGGAAATGCTGAAGAGACCATGGATCGAGGATGAGCAGGGAAGAAAAGGGTTTGTGCGGCAAATGGTGCAGGCAAATAGCCGGAGTACAAAAGAGGTAGAAGGCAGGTACCATGAGGTCGGGGCAAAGATGCCGGTGAGAATTATCTGGGGAAAGGAAGATAAATGGATTCCTGTTGAGACGGCGGAAAGACTGAAAGACAAGTTGAATGCTCAGGACATTGTGTTGATTGAGGAAGCGGGACATCTGGTGATGTATGATCAGGAGGGAAAATTGGGGGTGGAGTTGGGCTGGTGGTTGAGTTCCGTGTCTCGTCACTGAGACTTCTACAAATTCAGCTAGAAGTATTGATCTAGTGGAAGCGGTTTCTAATTTACATTTGATGTTACGTTGATTACCTAACTAGATAATGACCTCTCTATAGAGGTCTACGTAGACATTGCATTTTGGTAAATTAGAGTGGAAACAGCGAGAACGTTATAATCATACAAATTTTAAAATACAACCCAACCAGCAAATCTCGGTTACTTAATCACAATTTCCCAAGCTGCTTCACAGTCTTATCCAAAAGGCTCTGCGCATAAAGCACATGCGCCTCGTAAAGCAGTTTCGGCAAGACCTTGAAGTTCTTCGGAGACTGAGCCTCAGGATAAAGATCCGTACATTCGACCGTCACGTATGTCAACCTTGCTGTGTCATTAGATGTCCTTTCAACAATGAACTCCTGGAAACCGCCCTCCATTAACCGCCAAGGCATTCCATACGATGCAGTACTGTCAACTGCACGCACCAGACCGTTTGGGAACTTCCAGTAAAAGACAGCTCCGGCAGTCTCCACGACACTATCTTGAATGACTTCGCTATTAGAAGTGAACTCAGTGCACGGCTGAGGAACACCCGAAGGCAAATCCAATGGTTGGATAGACCTCGAACCTTTAGAGTCCCATGTTCCGAGCAAAAATGCCCCGAGACCGGATTGTCTTCCGAACAACAAACTGCCCGGTCTGAGAGACAGGGACGGCTCGTCTTTATCCAAAACCAACGACTCGGGACCAGTGGCTCGTCCTTCTAGATATGCGGCGAGGAAGCTTTTCATGAGCCCATATGTGTCGTCACTTTTCTCGGTGCCATTTAGATCACGAGACTTGCCATACCCTACAAGACGGGACACTGGTACCTCGACTTGAAGAGCAGTGAAGGATGAAATCCAGTGAGATTTCCCACCACCGGAACAGGAGGATAGCAAGGTTGAACCTTCAATTCCCCATGTATCTCGTGATATTTGTTCTCCAGTTCCTTCAACAAGTTTGCGGCATGCGCTCGATTTTGGGAGCTCCGTAATAGCGATCCGGCGGCTCGATTGGGCGAGTCGACGATGACCGAGATATGCGACCACCCCGCCGAGCGCTGTTAGAGAAAGCACACCGACGAGTCGGGGTCGGGCTTGAATGAAGCTCATTGCGTTCTCAGTGAGTGTTTAGATCAAGACACAGGAATATAACGAAGAAGAAACCAGAACTTTCAGGTGGTTGAAAAATAGTACAAGCATATGCAGTATGATGCAGCCAAGGTTTCTGCGAAAGATGAAGTACGATGCTTCTACATTTACCCTTGAAATAGTGGATATGCTGCATTGCTCATCGTAGTTCACATGACCCTGTACTCCAGATTGAGATGAAGTTTTTGAGGCTAAAATGCCGCTTTTCCTTTGAAATTGCGCTTGGGACCGGGGTACGCCGGGATATCCCGAAATCCTGTCTTCCCGTCGGACGGATTCGGAGCACCCGGTGACCTAGTTACGGCATCGCGCTCGCATTAGTTAGTATTGCACCAACACCGTCATTTTTTAGGCTGGCATTAAGCGTGAGTCAGAGCAGTTTTACGCCATCCTTTGAGGAATCTTGATTCCAGTAAGTCAATCGGTTGCACGCCTTGTTTTCTATGTGTCATTCATACAACACAATTTAGTTCCATACCAATTACAATGCAGTCTTAATACAACAGGTATACATACAGAGTCCCTTGCCAAAACCAACCATTTCGAAGAAAAAAAAAAAAAAACAAAAATGACATGAGCCCAGACCATAAAATTAAACACTCTGTCTGACACCCGTCCTTTTATACTGACCTTCATCCGCCATCCCAGCTTCAATATTCTCCCTTTCACGCTGCGTGACATCCATCCTCAACTCCGTCTTCAAGATAATCCCGTCCCCAGGAACAATCGCCTCTTCGCTCCCAGTCAGCGTGGTGTCCTGAAGTCCTCGCCGTCCACTGACTTTTGCCCTGTGCCAGATGTCCTTGCCCTGACCTGAGAGCTTCTGAGCGGGTGTTTGGCCTGACGAGTCCCCAGGCGTGTTCCCACCGTTCTCGTAGTCGTAGCGACCGTACGAGTTGCCAAAGACACGAGGTGCGTAGGTCTTGATCAACACAGAGAGAGCAGGCGCGGAACCGCAGAAGATGGCTTTGTGGTATTTTAGTATAAGAATGTCCAAGTGGGTAGGGAGGAGAGCGATGATTTCGTACCGACGTAGATCTCAATACTGCACCAATTCAAGGAGTCCGCGAGGTAATAATATTGGTCCGCGGTGTTGGAGAGGAGGCGCACATAGTCATATCGGACGCAGCCGGCTGTATTATAGCTTTGTGGTTAGCGAAGGATCAAGTTAGAGCAGGGCGATAGGAATGTTCGAACGAACCAGCGACAGCTAAGATTCCCAATCCAAAGATACCAAACAAAGCCGTCTTCTTCCTCTAGATTGAACATTTCCGTTAACATCGACTCTAATTCAATCATATTCCGTCTGATCCGAAAAAGAAAGAGCATTATTAAATGGCATACCCCAGAAATCTTGACTCCCCACAGCATCGGAATTGGCGTCAAGTAGATAAAAATGTCCGTCACGATGTTTAAGATGCCGTTGGCATCATAAAACGCCTGCTGCGAGCCCGGTGACATGCACTTCCCTTTAACAGTTCCCTCGACATCCCAGAACATGGTAGGCGGGTAACATGAAAAGGCGAGCACGAAGAAGCTGGATACAGAAATACCGATCACGAAAACCATGAGGCAATATACAGTCCATCTCATGCGCCGGCGACGGTCGAGCCGCAGGAAGAACCAGAGCAGTGACATTTTCACGAATAACATGGCGATGATGTAAATCAGGCGGGTGGAGTAGATGGCTTTGAGCATAGGTGGAAGGGACGGTATTGGGATGTCCTCGACTTTTCCGTTGTTTAGATCGCGATAGGGCAGAGGGAAAGATGAGGGAATTTACCGTGTCGCCCGGTGCCATGGTATGCAGCTACACAGTGTTAGCTTTTGTACGTGGTTGGGATTATCCAAGAGAATAGGAAAACCGTACCGATCATGGATGCGACAGACAGACCAAATGTGAATATCTAAACGGTTAGGGCTAGGTCGAGAAGTAGCTGGTTGGGTGCTACTTACAGCACCAATAACCATGAGAACTAAAAAACCGGTCAGTAAAGGTTTCTGTGATGTCCAACACAACAAGGCAACTTACCATCATCGACTCCGACCGCATTAATCAGAGAAATTCGCACATACAGTCGCAAAGCAATCACCACCATAATGAACAATGCGAAACTAACTCCGATTCCGAATACCGACGCCTGGCGACTGCCATGCTCAATACCACGCGGCAGCAAAACCGAAGGAAGATCCATATTTGCGCAAGTGGGCAAGCGAAACGAGCGACAAGTCACTGTAATTGTCTTATAGTCTAAATAAATCCCTGGAAAAGTACCAGTGATCTCCCACTCGAGTCCATTGAGTCCCTTATAACCTGTAACCCCCCGTTCCCAATTTTTTGCCCTTAAGATAGGATCTCACACTGATTATTATGCATCGTTCTTGGTTCAAACACCGCTGTCTAATCGCCTATCCCGATGCTCTAAACAAGGATTTGCCTCTAGTTTGACGCCAATCTATCCCTATCTGGACCCTTTGACCCAGCCAAAACGATCTGTCAGATTGACTAGCCGCCAATCGGACTCTGACCCGCCGTTTCATGCGAGAGTCCCCCGATGGGCCGATCACTTGAAGTTTGGACACCAGCAGAAAGTTCCCTTGCCACGCTACACTATAACGGGTTGGCTCGGGCTGGCTGCAGTTGACATCTCACAACGCGGACATTAAACGGCCCAGTGAGCGACGAGACATGAGATCAGGGGTCGGTCCTAGCCCTATTGATTCCTTCAAAAGGCAATCCGAGAAGTGTCTGGACTCTGCCTTCTTCCTCCTATGGTTATGAAAATTATTCCCCGCCATATTTCTCAATGCTGATCTACGACCTTCAAACTCAAAACCAGGAATATTAGCCATGACCTCTCCCTACGCACTGACAACAGCCGGTGAATACTAAATCAAGTATAGCACACCGAAATTAAGTTCGCCGTTCGTCGTAATTCGTAAGCCCAGGCAATGCACAGTGAAAGTGCAGACTAAAGTACAAAAATGGAGCATCGTGTTCTCAGTGCTGGAAGTGAGACAAATACAACATTTCCCCCGGTTGATGCATAGGAAGGATCCCGCTGACCCCTCGATCCTAGTCTTTCTCTTCCCGCCGCCAACTAGATATATCACATTTAATTCCCCAACATGTCCACCCCCGCCACAAATAACAAGACAAATAATGTCGCACTTGTGTTCGGCGCAAGCGGGATCTCCGGCTGGGCCGTCGCCAAAAACCTTCTCTCCTATCTGGACTCCACGAACTTTGCGGGGGAATCTGGAGCAGGTTATTGAGCGGATGAGAAGCCAAATTGCGGATCTGGAGGATGTAACACATGTTTATTATTGCGGTAGGTCAGGACCTTTTTCTGTCTCGCTCAACTTCGGATTTGTTTGCTACTGTTGCATTGAAGGACTAGAATCCGGGATGTTCACATTGCACTAACCCGGGAAATGAGCAGCAAATTCAAATGCCACTGCATATAAAGAAAATGTGATGGATATCAAGGCGATTAATGTCCGTATGACATATAATGCTGTGCATGCGGTGGATAAGCTTTGCTCGGGCTTGAAGTTTTTCGTCTTGCGGACAGGAACGAATGTATGTGCTTTAACCGCTCTATTTCTCCCGTCGGTGAATCAACGACTGAAAGAGATATGTTGTCTAGCATTATAGTGTCGCGGTGTTCCAGCACATGGATAAGATCGTTATTAACCCCCCAACTGAAAGAAAATGCTCCTCGCACCCCGTCCCCTTACGGTGACGAGATATTCTACTATGACCAGGTGGATATCGTACGTGCCATGCCGAAGAATAGGTCATGGGGGTATACCGAGGCTCGAACGGATCAGATTCTAGGTCTGCATTGCCTTTCTATTTCCACAATATCAGCGAAGCTAACTCTCAGCTTTCAAGGATTCGTCCCCAACGTCTCATGAATGACCTACGTCGAGCCCGTTGGCCTTTACCTTTCTCCATACCGCTACATCCACGGCGCAGGAGCTGAAGTTTCCTTTCCCAGCACCTTCAGAAATTATACCTACACATCCACCGACTCCTCCCAGAGCGCTCAGCAAAGCTAAAATCTACCTATCAGTCGTAACCCCAGAGTCTGCAAACAAACAAGCTTTCAACGTCGCAGGCACGTCTGATCCCGGGTCTTGGTCGCGCAAGTGGCCGATTCTGGCAGAATACTTCGGTCTCAAGGGAACTGCACCTCAGGAAGACGCTTGGAGCGAGCTTGAGATCTGGTGGACCGGGCATCAAACCGATTATCTCGCTATGTGTCACGAGTACGGACTATGTGCGCGTAGGATTCCACCCGAATGCTGGGCCCTCGTGAAAGCGGGTTTCACGTTACTGGATAGGAACAGGGAGATGAGTCTCGATAAAATCCGTGGGGTCGGGTTCACTGAGAAACTGGCGGTCGGCGAGGGCCATTGTGTGGTTTTTGATCGGTTGAAAGAAACCAGGTTTATTCCAGCATTCTCTTCGTTTATCTAAAGTGCCGAGGAGCATGATATCAAGATTAGCCCTCCTTTTGCTTGAATGTTAGGATTATCGTATTATTGTTAAAACTCTTTCAATAAGTTTTGCAGGTTCAGTAGTTTTTCCCGACATCAAATTTAACAATTACATCTCGGTGTCAAACCCATTCAACACGAGTTAAAATAAACAGCACAATCGCAAAATCTACCAGATAGTAAAGGAACAGACTGACATATCACATATGTCGGGTGGCGCCGACCAGAAGCCTACAACAGGAAGGAGAAGGGTTAGCCAGACGCATGAGATCAGGTACGCCAGAGGACGATCTCTCCCCGCGAGTAGTTAAATATATGCAAGGGATTACGAGGCTGCGTGTAGGGCAGGAGCCCACGCACGCACTATTGGGGTTGTATCCTGGATTGAAAGACCCGCTTCATGTGCAAGTATTGAATAAGGTTTGTGATATGTTCCTTTCACTTGATAGAAGGGTTTGTTCGGAGTTACTATGAACTGACTTGAACAATTCCAGCGAAACTATTAGTAATATGTTCTTATCCCAATCTCGTCTTGATGTGCCGCTGCATTTTCCTCCCCAGTTCAGCCCCTGATCATAGATTGGGCGATCTTGGGTGATATGTCAATATGTCGGCATCATCAATATATCTATTCATCCAAATTTTGCAGAGTTTAGTCACAGGTTGCCTTTTCTGGGTAACTTACTTCAATTAGATCATTAAGTCTTGAATAGACCTACAGCCGTACTTAGTTAACCTACTTTTTGGACCAATTAAGATCGCAACCAGAAAATAATATGAACAAGTATTATTCAACACACGAGGCCGACTACTTATATGTCGGACTTTTATTGGAAAAAGAAAAGGCCCCTAGAATCAGTTGTCTGTATGTTCTAATACATATGTCGCCTTACTTCCTCCACGCTAGTTGCAGAAAGATAATAATAAGATATAGTGAACATATTCTTCGATAGTACAACTTAGACATCTATAGCGACCTCCACCAACGGGCATAGAAACCAAACTCATAGTTCATCAGTCAGACACAGACCCCCTGGAACCTGGATTTTTCACCTTAAGCAAGATTTCTCTGATAGAACTCGGTGAGCTTCTGGAACGGGATAAGCTCGGTGCGATCGTACAGGTCGACATGACCAGCACCAGGCACCCAGTAAAGTTCTTTCGGCTCGTTGGCGCGCGAATAGGCGTCTTCACTGAACTCGCGAGAGTGCGCTTGGGTGCCCGCAATGAATAGCATCGGGCGGGGTGAGATAGTATCAATTCCGTTGAATGGGTAAAAGTTGACGAACTTGGTGAACGTGGCGAGTGTAGGGTGGGTGCTGAGCTCAGGGGTAGAGTCAACGGGAGTGACTTCGCCACGTCGAGTGCGGTAGTAATCATAGAATTCACGGTCGATAGCGGTGGAATTGCGCGTGAGGCGATTCGGAGTGCCGCTGGTATGCTGCACTTCGCCGCCATCGAGTCCGGTCCAGCGCTGCTCGGCTGCCTCGGAGATGGTTTGCTTGAGCTCATTGACGCTTTGAGAGTGTCCCAATCCATGACGGGACAGCGCGCCCATGTTGTACATACTGGACGTGGCGATGGCTCTGAGGCGCGGGTCTAGCTTCGCAGCGCTGATCACAAAGGAACCACTGCCACAGATACCGAGGCCTCCGATGCGCTCGCGATCAACAGATAGGATGTCCTGGGTGCCAAGGTAGTCGACTGCCGCGCTAAATGCCTCTGCGTAGAGATCCGGCAAGACTGAGTTGCGCGGCTCACCCTCGTTGGAGCCGCCCCAGTAGGGGAGATCAAAAGTGATCGTGACAAATCCCTGCTCGGCCAGCTTGGTGGCGTAGAGGTTGGCACTTTGCTCTTTCACAGCGCCCATGGGGTGACCGACGACAACAGCTGGCCAACCACTGCTTTGGTTCTGGTTTTTGGGGTAGAAGAGATTCCCCGCGACAGTTGTCTCGTAGTGGGTTGGGAAGGTGATTGGCTGGATAAACACATTGCTGCTGCGGTAGAAATTATCGGCTCCGTAGGACATGTTCTGTGCCATGACTGACATTGCCATGCCGAGGACGGCGATACTTCCTGACACAGTCTTCATGATGATGCCGCTGATGGTTGGTCACAATTGAACTAGCAGGAAATGATAGTGAGTTGGACAGGTAATGTGCCTTCGTTCAGTGGCAGGCCCTTGGGTTTATAAATGATGAGGTGGGAAATGAGATCACGCAATGCAGTCATCTTGCCAAGATCTAATCTTGATACCTGATTAATGCGTGGATTGTTTTGATCCATTGAAGATGTATACCGAGGTTGTGCTGCATTCATCGACAAACTATGGTAGAGATTAGTGTGTCATCAAAAATCATCATCTTGTCTCGGCGTTCCTGTTTCCCCCAAAAAGGTCCGGGTCTAATGTCTGTTGCTTATTCTCTAGAACCCCGGAATCCAATCAACGTGCTGCATTCACGATGATCAATTCTTGGCTCCAAACGCCGTCTTCTACCGGACCTTCTTCACATCGATGCACAGCACTCATATTGCTTCTGCCTATCCAGAAGATTATAGCTCGCTTTTAATGCAATTCCATAACAGTAGCACCAGAATGGCTTAACTTCTATCGAGCTTCGCTCGACCGAGTCCTGTGACATCAACATGAGTGTAATAAGTTTAGATAGCCAGTAGCGGTACGATAGGAGACCCTACCTACTCTGTACTGTCTGACCAGCGCCATAATCTAAATCCACGCGTCCTGAAACGGCTGATAGGAACTTTAACACGATGAGCCAATCAATCCGGGGACATTTGCTTACATGGGTCTCTCCACCTACTAAGGCCAATCGGGACTGCGATCTGAGGATCCACCTCCACGCATTGCCCAACAGGCAGACGAGATTTTTCTAGTGGCGACGCTATATCCTATACTCCCACCTGTCCTTTATTATCCACCGTGCCATCTACGGAGTACTCCCACTGCCTGTTTAGCTTGTCATCACCTTGCATACATTTCCCCATACCAGGCACGCAATGGCAGATCCCTCGTCAGAAGCACAGGTCATTCCACTGTGCCAAATGCCCCAACAGGTTGGCGCCCGTAAAGCTGAGGATGATTGGACTGGAATCATAAATCGGAAGGAACGAAGGAAATTACAGAACCGACTAAATCAGCGGCGCTTCCGTACGTGCATACAAACTATTTAAACCCAAGTGCACAGTCGTCCTCATTAATAATTGCTTTTTAGGGTCTAGAAAACAAGAGAGTCAAGCGGATTCACGTACTACTGCCATTGCGACTACCGCTTCCTCCACTCCATTTAATTCGAGCATACTGCCCCTGCTTGACTCCCAGGGCCAATATGATGAAATCTGGGAATGCCGTCTCGCGCCTCCACGCGCCCGAGAATTCCGCGAATGGTTCGCAGCAAAAGCCTATGAGAGCTATATGCAAGGCGCACCAAACCGAGACCACTTAATCGGTCTGAGTCGACTAAACGTGCACCGCGCCATCAACGAAAACATCACTGCCATTGGAATGACACCCGTATGGATGCAAAGTGACGATTCAATATCGATCTTCAATCTGACGCAGCCCAACTCCGGCTTCTTAGTCGAGGGCATTCCGCCCTGCTTACGTCCGACATCTATTCAGTTGCAAATTCCTCATCATCCGTGGTTGGACTTTTTCCCGTTCCCGCACATGCGCGACGCTATGATTCTTGCGGGGGACTCTTGGGATGACGATGACCTTTGTCATGATCTCATGGCTTTTTGGGACACCCGGAATACCGCTGCTACGTTGCTTGTGTGGGGAGACTCGTGGGATGCGAGAAACTGGGAAGTGACGGAGGCCTTTGCACGGAAATGGAAATGGCTACTTGGTGGCTCACCGGAGCTGCTTGCTTCGACAAATCGGTGGAGAAGTTCGAGAGGGGAGAAACCTCTAATTTGGAGAGAGATATTTTCAGGACTATAGGTGTGAGAGACAGATTGGTCTTTTTCTTTTGAGCGTTTCTCGCGTCTGTAATTGTTTTCGATTGAATTTCATGACCGTTAGGCCAATTGGCCCCTTGTGCAAGCTAATTTGAAAGACCTCTGTGTAATGTCCACCTGAACAGACTGCATAGTAAGCTATGAGCAATGATCATTTCTATGTGGCAAAAATAAAGCATTAGAGCAATCAGTGTCTTGGGCCGATGCCGCAATGCCAAGAACCGCCCAGTGAGTGCTTCAAACCATGGTTCAACTAGTCATCCTGGTTCGCTTATCATTTCTTAACTCCGACAAGTTAACGAAACCATTCCTCAGTCTGGAAAAATTACAAACCCGTAGCCTCTATCAGTGCCGAACTCCGCCTGTGCCATTAAACAAACAGCCCCAGTTCAACAGGAGCCGACTTGACCTGATCCTTTTGAATTTCCTCAATCAACGAACCCTCCTCATAATCATCAAAATCTAGATCAAGATATCCCCTCGATGACCATTTCTTGCCAGAAACAAAGAAGGAGCGACCGTTGATCGTACTATCGCTGAGGATCCTCAATAGACATTCTCCAGCCTCAGAGGCTTCCGCGAATTCAACACCTACACTCGTGACGTGCGCAAACGCCTCATCAGAGAGGATATTCGTCTTGATATACCTGGTCTCATTAGCACAAGGCACGAGACTATTTCAAGGAGCAGAGGATGAGTTTATTTTTCTTACCATGGCGAAATGACATTCACACGACTTCCGTAATAGAAAGCCGTCCTCCGCAAAGAATGCATGATACCTCGCATAGCCCATTTCGTAGCGCAATACTGAGGACCTCGAGGACAGTCCAAAAAGGCCGCCCCGGATCCTATCAAGATCAAACAGGTGTCTTCCTGTGTCGTGGACTGCTGTTGTCCGTTCTGTTTAATGAAATAATGCGACGCAAGCTTCGCCGTATATAGGGTCCCGATGAGATTCACGTCAATGGTGGCGAGGTCAGGCTTCTGGGGCAATTTATCATCGCCGTCATATGCGAAGACTTCGTCCTTGCGATGAATGCCAGCATTTGCGACGACGTAGGAGATCTTGCCAGTCGGGGAGAACGAAGCTGCGGTTCGGAATAGCTGGACTTGGTCTTCCCAGATTGTGGTATCGCATGCGATGAACTTCACTCTTTGACAGGGTTAGTGACCATTCCTCATGAAGGAACCATAGACATACCCTGTCAACTCTTCTTCGAGCATTTTCCCTCTTTCAACATCACGATCGCCGATTACCACTGTCGATCTACATAGAGTTTGCGTGAGTACTGGGTTGATGGTAGGAGCTGAGTATCATTTACTACCGTCTTACCCTGCTGCAACGAGAGCTCGTACATATGCCTCTCCAATTCCATTTGCGCCTATTTGGTTTCAGCAAATGTACTCTTCGATTTACTTTCACAATAAGACACTCACCACCAGTGACAATGGCAGTCTTGCCTTTCACACTTGAGGCATCAAAGTCCACGTTGCAATCGACAGGATTTTTATAGCGGAAGCCGGCCATGATGAAGGTCCTTTGGAGAAGGAGACGAATGTATAAGTTAACTATTGGAAATCTAACCTTCCAGAGGAATAACGGTGTTCTTTAATAGAGTCAACCAATTACATTGTGGAGACGTCCAAAATGCACTAATGCCAGTTGCTTATTCTCAAGGTTCGCAGTTGCTTGGGACCAGACCCACTGGCAGTCATCTTCTCCAGTTGGAGTAAGTATTGAATAATAGGATCTTCGATTCTCTTTTTACTTTTATGAAGAGCCGTGTTGATTTATGATCAAGTTCGAAATAAGATCACCGGATTTCCGGTTAGGAACAACAGCGGCATGGTGTCATTGGAAACAGAGCTATTAGATCCACGCCCAAGATTCTATTAGCAAGCTATTAAGGATCACAATTCCAGGAATAATAATAAACTCGAATATTGGTTTATGCATCTGCGATGCGGGGTATATAAATAATCACACAACACGCTCCAACTGCTACTTGACAACTATTCGCTTAGCTATGCACATGCACCCATGTCCAGCACAGATACAACCAGTATCTCCACCACGCTCAACTGTGCACACAACCAAAATATATACAAAAGAATAAGAAGTAGATATTTAGAAAGAAACCCACAGGGGGGATTCTACCACTCCAACCGATCATCAAACACAAACTGCACATCGAACTTCTCGTTTCCCTTCAACACCTTCCTGGGGTCATTACAACCCGCCACACCTCTCTTCAGATCCCGAATCATACCAGCCGGTCCACTAGCCACGACCCTGGTCGGACCACGGGCCGTGCGCGAAACGAACTCGCTGACTTCGGATGCCAGGTCCGGATGTTTAGACATGCCGGCGCCGGCGCCGATGGAGTGCACGGTGAAGCCGTCGGAGTTGCGGGGTGGCATGGTGGCGGGGCGGGACTTTTCGACAGAGTTGAAGGATGGGGAAAGGCTAGTCGCTGTCGTGGATGATTCTTGGATCGTGAAGCCGGCTTCCTTGGCCTTGGGGCTAAGCGGGACGGTTTCAAATTCCTTCGGAGGCTCTGGGAGGGGGTAGGACGGCGGGTTTCTGTCTGCGTTGACATCCGACTCGTATTCGGTCTCTCGGGATACGTAGATACGGATGCGAAGATGAGAGCAGGAGTACGTGGCTGTGCGGAGGGCGTCCAGTTCATTCAGGATCCAGTGCATGTCGGAGCGACGGCGGATGATCCAGATGAGTTCGACTTGGCTGCGACGGGTCTTGAAGAGTGGGTTGAGGACGATGGCTTGCAGAAGGGGCAGGACGAAGGTGACGCCCGTGCCCCCGGCCACGAAGAAGAGGTTGATGTCGTCGGTGCAGGCGAGGTCATTGTCAACGATGGATTGGCCGTAGGGCCCATTGAGGACGATGGACGTGCTGGCGCTTTTCTCGGTATCTGGGTGGCGGGCAATTTGGGCGAGTTCACGCGTGAGACCACCCTTAGCACGGATGATGTATGTGTGTGATTGAATACGGGTACCAGGCACGGAGCTCGGGGTCATAGGGTGCGATTGCCAGATGCTGAGACCGGGGAAGCAGAGGTAAAAGTGCTGGCCGATATCCCAGGGCGCGTGTTCGTGCTGGAAGTCGAGACGAACGACGTCGCCGTCTTCGTTGTGCGGGAAGTGGGTGATGTGCGCTTTGGGGATCAGGAGGCCCCGGTAGGATGCGTCAGGGGTGGACAGAATGCCGAAATGCAGGATGAGAGTGCGCAGGAGTCGGATGGCACGATCGAGTAGCCAAACAACCAGCGAGGCAATCATCCAGCATGCCAGCTTATCCCAGTGGCCCCAACAGGCTCCAACGTAGATCATTGCAAAGACGTAGTGAGACTTGCGAAAGAACTCGTATCCGGTCAACTGGATGGCCCATTTCGTACTGAAGACCACCAGGAAGGTCAATAGAATCATGGCCACGATTCCCCAAATGATGTATTCTTGCTTGATAAACTCGTTCCAGGTGGATGGCTGTGGCTGGCTAAGCTTGTTTTCGACGATGGTCCAGCCGATAGTGTGTAGCACGGATTGAATGTAGATGATATAGCCCAGCCAGCGGTGCAGGAAGTTGAAGTGATGGTAAGGAATGCCCGTAACGAGCGAGAGAATAGATTCACGAGTGCACAGAAGTATCGAGAGCGGCGTCAAGGCGTAAGCCAGCACCCCAAGGCGATCGGCCCACGGACCCATACCCACCCGGATCGTGTCGGGGCTGCCTTCCACCGGACTGTACCAGGTCTTATACACAATGCCGACGAAAGTGAAGACGGTCAGGTAGCCAGTCAAGACGACCAGAACCAGGACGTTGAACCGGGTCGTGTTGCCGAAGACGGAGGGAAGGAATTCGGCGACAAGATAGCGATGGTAGAACGACGTGATAGATCTCCGCATGCGATATAGGGAGCTTTGACTATGAACGGGGTTTTCGACGTCCTCTTTCTTGCTAACACAGGTGTTGAATTGGCGTCCGACGGGGTTGCAGTAGTGGCCGATGAAGCAGAGTAGTAAAATTCCAAGGATCACGGCCCACAGAATGATGCTATACAGAATGGACAAATCGTGACTGTGGTAGACCACGTCCAGGTATGCGCATTTACCAGCATCAACCGGACATGGCATTTCTCGCTCATAATAACCCCAGTGCGGCACCATGTCGCCGCCCGACGAGGTCATGTCATGGCGAGGGGATAACATGGCCATGGCGAACGAGTAGTCAATACTCGTGGGGGAATCAACCAGGATCCCGGGGGAATGAAAAGAACGACGTGAAGCGAAAAAGGGAGCGTGGATTGTCAGCGAGCGACACGACCGGCGGGGGGGCAAACCTCGTCATATTAATATTCTGGCCCATAATCCATCGCAACGGCGAATCTATTCCCGGGCGATCCACAGCTTCAACCAGTGTGGATTCGCCAAGACCAAAATCTGCTCATCTGTGACGCCAAGACTGCACAGAAAAAATGCCTGACGTGCTTGGAGTCTTGGACCGTTCGCATTCCATGCCAGAACACTTACGGTGTATTCTTCATTCTTCACTACTCCCCCTTGCTGGGAACCGAGCGACTCGGATTATCCGGCGAAAGGGCCGAAGGAAGAATGGGAGGGTCGAGGCAGTTCTGGGCTGTCGCACTGCCAGACAGGCCAAGCGACGGCGGTGGATCCGAGACACTAAGAGGATTAGGATGCGTCCATCCTGAATTAATCTGCTCAAATGCGATCGTCTCCACTGAGTCGTTGAGCCTATGAGCCATTCGTCTGACTTAGGGTTGGCATTACCGCATCGGGAGGGGCCGTGTCGTTGATAGATTAATCTCTCTCTTGTTACTATTTGGCGATTGTTCGAACTCCGACTCAGTCTCCTCGCTGTCTGACCCCGGGATTGATTCATATCCCCGGTCAATTCCTTCCGGACCAAACCCCGGGCTTTTTGGCGCTCGCCGGGGAAACATCGCCCATGTCTCGAAATCTTACATCACCTGGAGTACCTACTCGCCCGTATTTCTTGAATTCTAGAAGACCTTCTGGAAAATATATTTTTATAGGCTCTTTTCTTCTCTTCATTCCCTAAAGCTCACAGGTATTAGTCGGGCGAGTCAGCAAATAAAGCTGGCAACGGTTAAAATGACAAACATAGTTAACCGCTACTGTCCGTTGAATGTATATCCGAAACGCTCCTGGACCGATAGTTCCTGGGCCAGGCAACAGGGGCTATTCTCTCCACGCCCTACAGACTACTACATATAACAGTTTACGTGATATCAACCTGTCAATCAACTGCCATTAATAATAGTCCTGTTTATAATGACGCCCTACGGTGCACAAGGCACGTATCCGTACACTATATCCGTAGGGCCTCCCAGACCCCCATCCTTGTTCCGCCCTTTCTACCATGTGTCCGGGTCTCGGCGTGTTAGAGATATCTTGGCATCGGGGATATTTAATTGAGCTGCTGCAAAGAAAAGGAGGTTGAGGTTTCTATTAGCACATCATAATCGCCAGCTCAAAGCTGAAACTCCGCCGGAGTATTGGCATGACTGACAAGTGGCGAGTTGCTGGCGTCGTCTAATTCTAGCGAGCCAAGACGAGCTATCTCGGTTGAAAACAGGGGCGTGGTTTCTATTGCGGGAGTGAGAGTCAAGGCGGGATTCACGCCATCTGGTAGAGGCGTTAGAGCTGTTGGTAGCTATCGGAGTTACCCGGTGGAGATCATTCGGAGTGCTTCAGTATTGGTCAGGGGTGTTATTTCCCTGGTTGGGGTCAATAGTACGATATTTTGGTGTCTATGGTTTGATATTGGCTAACTCCGAATAAATAGGCTTTGCTCCGACGTCACTTCGGGGAGGAAGCATTAGATATCGGATCCTGTGACGCTTTGTATCAACGGGATGCAAATAAAGGTTTCCCAGCCCTTGAAAATCATTTCTTTTGATATTAGACCCAAGGGCTATAAAATTAAATACTGAAAATATGCTCAAGTTAAAGTCATTAGAACATTCGCATGTCACATCGGATTCATATTTACACGTTCCTATCTATGGATGGTTCTATTTAGTATCGATTCCAATATTCCGCAGTCGAGGGAGCCATGCATAATTCCTTCACCAGTGGTGCTTTCTGCAAAACTTCCATTCCTCTTTCTTCCCACCACTTTTATACAATCAAGACCATAAGTATGCTTCCGGTTTAATGCACTAATCAAACTAGTAACTGTCTACTTGATCATCATAGCCTTCCGCGAAATGCGGTTCCTTTATCCAAGGTCTAGACCTCCTTCCAGAGCACCCCATCATGACGACATCAACCATAGATGAATGCAACATTTGTTCCAAAGGGAAAGATTAAGGGAGTGAATAAGTTGATCTGCTTCTCACCTTGAACTTAATCTGGCGGCGGCCTCGTCATTCCGCGGTAATTTGGTCGCCAGATCGTCATGACGTCATGTATAACGGTATATAAGAGTCTCAGGGGTCTTCGAGCCCTATCCTTTTTATATTGAAATTCATATCAAGTATAACGCATAAAATATCAGATACAAGTGATCTATATTGGCAAAATGGTCAAAGACAAAGAAACTGTCATTGAGTACGACCCTGATCGCCACCAACTCTCAATCACTCTGGCCTAACTAATCTGGGCAGTGAATTCAATGACATTGTGAACATGACTCCCAACGAACTTCGCGACTGGTTGAAACAAGAGCAGTCGCAGGACTCAGGGTGGATGAATGAATCCGGCGAAACGGTCGGGCATGAAAGGTTCGGTGTTCCAATCTCTAAATACCCAGCTACTTTACCTATTCAACGGTATAGATATACATAATACTGACGGATCCTCGCAGCGGGCGCAAAATCGTCAACATCCTCGAGCATAATCCATCCAAGGAACCGGACAGCTACCGGGACCAGGATATTGATCATATGCGCAAGGTCGTGTCGTACTGCAAGCGGCACTTAGCCCAGGAGGAGAAGGCGAAGCAGGATATTGAGAGCAAGAGCTACAAGTCGTTGAAGAACTGGGGTCATGATCCGTTGAAGAGGTAGATTGTTTGTTTAGGTGCGCTGGATTCTGGGTAGCTTTGGAGAGTTATGTACGATATTATGTATTATGTGTGTCTATTGAGAAAATGGGCGTAATTATGTTCTAAGGTCTACTGAGTTCGACTTATAAGGAGGTAACTCAGTAATCACTAACTCGGTGAACCTAGAAGAAGAAAATGGGAATAAGTTGATTACTCAATATTGATAATGTTGCCAATCAAGCGCTGATGTCAGCCCTGTGCAACACAGCCGACAGGACAATATTAATATCAACCACGTGTAGTCAGCTCAAATATGTAACTAAGCTTTTGCACATTGAGAAATAGGTTTACGGTAAGATATTGAGACAGTTTGGACGCATGATTCGTCGACTCGAGGCGAATAGAATCAGGGCCTTCGACGGACCCAAAGGCTGGTGCTTAAAATATGACCAAGCACTCCAAACGCTCATCGGTTTAGCATCCTTGACATCGTTAATTATGATATTGGCAATGCCTATCTCAGAAATACTACGCAATAAAACTACTCAAAAGCAAAGAGCGCACTAGGGAAAGAGAACATAGCAGGTCTAAACACCATCAAGAGCCTTCCCACACCTCCTCACCTGCTTATACATGAGTTCCTTGGCTAGGTAATCCTCAGTCGCCTCCACAACAGTCTCTATCTCATCTACCCCATGGGGCTTAATATCCGCCAACCCATTAGGGACATCAAACCGAAACAAGCGATGATCATCATCCAGATCCGTATGTTCCTTTAGAAACCGATTAGTCTCCGTCTCCGCATCAACCACCTCATGCTTTGATCGGGACTTTCCGAACATATTCCGCCCGAGACGCTTGATCGAGGGGACCCCCGTTCCGATGGATACCATACATCGCAGCTGGCTTTCGAGAGATCCTGAGCGCCACAGGGCACGAGCTTCGATCCACACCTCGCGCATCGGGTTGTTCGCTTCCGCCGTGCTGTCTTGGAATTCGCGACCGCTGGGTCCAATGCATACGGGCTCGAAGAGGGACGCGCTCGCAAAGCTGGCTTGGGCCGCTTCCCATACTCTGGTTGTTTTGTAAAGTTCTGTCGGACAGTACGGGCTTGGGTAGCTGGTTAAGGGGACGAGTTTGCGGTTGGTGGAGTCGGTGACGGGGATGAATCTGGAGGGTCCAGTTAGTTAATTTTTTTCTTTATTTTTTTGTAATTTTCTTTTGGTATGTTTCTCAATAAAGAATGGATAGGAATAAGATGGTTGATCCATACATTCGACATGTACCATCCTCATCCCGCAGAAGCATGTCATCGTCGTAATTCAGCTCTCGGAGGATCGCGCGCATTGCCGATCCTAAGCGCTTGATATCGTATTTCGGTCGCATGCGCAAATTGCTGCCTACGGGGAAGGTTCTCTTGCTGGCGAACACACGACGAAGAAGCCGCGTGTAGGCTCTAATGCACTGTTCGATGTCCATCTCAAGACGACCGAGCATGATCGCGATCACACTGCGATACTTTGGTTAGTGACTGAACCAACATAACGAGGAGAGGATATAACTGACCCACCCGACCCAGTTCCACCAATGAATTGGAAGTACTCGCATGGTTTAGGCGGATGCTCACGATCGATCGCTTCCATTAGTTGACGCAGGATTAGGAGAGTGGAAAGCCCGCGGACTCCTCCGCCATCGAGACTGAGAAGGTTGAGGTTACGATTTGGCATTGTGGGGATGGAAAGGACATGGATGTAAGATTCCGTTACGGGCATTGTCAGCGGTGAACGATCTTATCTTATATGCAGATGTGCTGCATGCCTTAGCGTTGGACTGAATAAGCATGCGAGGGCATCTAGTCGCATTGTCGGGGCTGATGGGGTGATCCGCTTGCTACAAAGCACTAAATATCATCTACTGATTTGTTCCTGATAAATATCGGAGACAACCGTGGGATGAAGCATTCATTTTGGGGGAATTCTTGCCCCGCATTGGGCACGTTATTGGAGCTCGGATCGACGCTGGTCAACAGGCATGTGTCTGATAGGCTCGTTTCATCGCAATGCAGTGGGTAAGTACCTGACACGTAGCGCCACAGACCGTACTCTTTTAGAACGAGCTGTCAGGTCTGGAGTGTTGATTAGCCCGCCGCTTCACCGTATATCTGATGCAATGGCCTTGGGGTTGAGATACCTAATGGCCCAATTGTTGCACAAATTGCACAGCCACGATTTCAGCCGAGTGTACTAGCGCCACTTTCATTTACTGATGCCTAGACAGTGTAGTAGAGTTCATGAAAATGAAATTTCATCTAGATATCATTGTTGAGTGAGAGCTTAAACGGAGATGTTATGTCGTCTGAATTAGAGTAAACAAACTCTACGCCCAGATCTTATCTGATGGATCTAAGATCAAGGAAGCGTATATCCTCCATCAATTATAATATCCGCCCCAGTCATGTAACTCGACGCGTCCGAGGCACAGAATACGTATGCCTGCCATGATTAGCTCGTATACTCTCTTTTCTAGATCACAGACCTACCCCTTTCAGCTCATATGTGGCCGCCATCCGCTTTGCGGGAATCAGGTCAAACCATTTATCTTTCCAGTCCTGTGGAAAGCCATCCAAAATTTCTGTTGCGATATAACCTGGCGAAATGCAGTTGACTCGGCAAAAGTCCACCCATTCAACAGAGAGACATTTGGCCAATCGAACGACACCGGCTTTAGAGGCATTATACTGCGAGGCAAATATCAGTCAGTTCTCGAGTCCTCCAAGTCCCCACAAAGATTAGAAGGACGATAAAGACTCACAGCAGCTTGTTTCTGTGGCACATTGACCAACGTAGCGCTAACTGACGCTGTGAAAATCACGTTTCCATGTCCTTGAGTCTTGAAGATCCGAGCGGCTGCCTGAGCGGTATAAAATGCCCCATCGAGATTCACCTTCATGACATTGTGCCACTGTTCAACTGTGCATTCCTCCGCCGGCACACTGCACGGAATACCCGAGTTGACGACGATGATGTCCAGTTTTCCGAAGTCGGAGGCGATTTGTTGGATGACGCGCTCGATATCCGGTTGGCTTGCAACGTCGGCTTGGTATGCGGCTGCTCGGACGTTGTTCTTGGCTGCGATGTCGTTGGCTATCGAGGATGCATTGGTCGAGGAGTTATAGATTAGAGCGACCTAGCTGTGTCAGCACGTTTCTTTGGAGAGGCGAAAGAGACAGATGTACATTTGCTCCTGCTTCGGCCAGACCGTTTGACACTTCAAGACCGATTCCACGGGCGCCTCCTAGTTCACGTTAGCTGTTTTCTGTGCTAAAATTGGGCAGTACATCTTTGCCTGTAATGGCGGCGACTTTGCCCGTTAGGTCAAAGGCTTTGAGAACGTGTTTGTTTTCTGGCTGGGCAAGAACCATCTTGAAATCTTGTATTTCTCCTTTTTTAAACGTTCTCTAAGAGTGAAGAAAAAGAAGCCATATGAGATTCAAGTCCATGGTAAAGGATTATGGTGCTATCTTCGGAACCCCGCATCGGAGGTTGCAGCCCCGCGCCATGGAGGATTGTGCTCCGCATAAACATTCTGGGGGTACATCAGGATGTGTAGCTACTAATCCAGGTGTTCCTATATTCTTTTCTGAAGCTCTCGGTCTCTTTCGAGAAGGTGGCACTGCGCTGCTGGGACATCGCTGCTTTTCCATCCTGGAGACGTTCCCATCGCGGATATGTACTTCGATTCGACATGACATCATGGAGTCTCTCCGCTCGCCATCCATAGATCAATTCATGTACTTCTGCAATAAAGCGTCGGAGGTTAGACTTCCGAGCTCAAATCGTAGGGCGGGGTAGCTGATCAAATGCCATCGCAAAAGAAACATCTTCCTCTCATTAAACTCCAGATTCAAGACCAAGTCCAAATATGGTGTGTAGACAGCTAGCCAGAAGAGGCCCAGCTAATAATCAATCAGGAGACAAACCCATCCTTCGTTCTACGAGCAGTCAAAGACGTCGCTTTCGAAGATAGGCCTGTTCCCTCTCTGAAAGATCCGTGGGATGTCCGCGTTCATATCGCTCAAACTGGCATATGCGGGAGTGACGTGCACTATTGGCAACGTGGGCGGATTGGAGGTTCTTTCCCCCTTATCGATCGATTTACATTGTAGCAGTGTAGCTGATATTGTCAGACTTCGTGCTCGAATCCCCGATAGTGTTGGGGCATGAGAGCGCCGGGACGGTCGTGGCGGTCGGTACCGCCGTGAAAAATGTCAAGGTCGGTGATCGCGTGGCTATTGAGCCGGGCGTGCCATGCAGGCAGTATGTGACACCGGCCCTCAATCTACGCTGTTCCTTTCAGTCGGTGCTAATGTATCAAGCTGCGAGTACTGCCGCAAAGGATCCTACAACCTCTGTCCGGACACGGTCTTCGCAGCCACCCCGCCTCACAATGGCACGTTATCCAAATACTACATCACCCAGGCAGACTACTGTTATCCCATCCCCGCGCATATGGGTCTCGAAGAAGGTGCCATGGTCGAGCCTGTCGCCGTCGCGGTCCAAATCACAAAAGTCGGGAATGTCCGACCGAACCAGACCGTTGTGGTGTTCGGATGCGGTCCTATCGGTCTCCTCTGTCAGGCTGTTTGTCGGGCCTACGCGGCCAAGAAGGTAATCGGGGTGGATATTTCGGAGTCGCGATTAGTGTTTGCGAACTTATTTGCTGCGGACGAGGTTTATTTGCCGCCTGACAGGCCCGAAAATACCACTGATGAATCGGAGTGGAGCACACATGTGGCGTCTATGATGAAGGAGAGGTTCGAGCTAGGCGAAGGGCCGGACGTGGTGATCGAGGCGACTGGCGCGCAGAGTTGCATTCAGACAGGGGTTCATCTTGTCAAAAAGGGAGGGATGTATGTGCAGGCGGGGATGGGGAAGGAGGTGAGTGTCATTTCCCTGACCGGTCTTATTGCGCTGATCTCAGGGGTCAGAATGTTGTGTTCCCTATCACGACCGCTTGTATTCGCGACCTGACGATTCGGGGGTCGATTCGGTACACGACGGGATGCTATCCGACAGCGGTAGATCTGATTGCGAGCGGGAAAATTGATGTAAAAGGATTGATTACAGATCGATTCACCTTTGAGCAAGCCGAGGAGGCATTTGAGCTGGTGAGGCGGGGCGAGGAGAGTGTGATAAAAGTGATGATTGCAGGACATCCCTAGGGGACAGGTCATTAGTCAGAGATGAGTCATTCGATTCTTATCTTATCTTCCGTCTTATCTTATCTCAATCCATCTGTTGCTCGTCATCCACAAACACCAGGCAAAACATTGCACCCTAGAAAGTATACCATCGCAGCTGTTATGGGTTGAAGTAAGCTGCTATATCAAAAAGTCCTTTTGTACGATGCCTGAACAGGTACATGCATTTTTCTGTTGCCCAGGATAATAGCCCGGATATCCGTACATCAAAGCGCAAGCAGGGGGTATATTTTAATACAAGTTGCAGCAGAACGAGTCAATGACCGGAGTATTTGATTCCCTACTCTTCTCCGCACTTTCCGAGACTTTGTTGCCAACTCGGCCTTGCACCAGGAAATGACGTTCGCGTCAAAATTATCAAACATGTCGCTTTTGCGCCTCTTGCGATCGAATCCCTGCAGATCCCAGTCCATTCCGGTTGGTTCTATCCGAACTTCTCAATGTGTTGAAGAGGAGCGTGCACCCCATTATAACCTCAAATACTTTTATCCCATGCAACTCCACATAATACTTGCCAACGGACACCGGGTGGCTACTAAGCTCGGATGGGGACCAGCTCGACAGTCTGGCTGGCCAGGGGTCTTCACCAGTGAGCCCGACCATAACACAATATGCCCTTCTTCTGACTTTCAAGGTGGCGATGGCTTCCTCCACATTATGTCAACCCGGCTCTAGTAACATAGTTCTTGCATAATCTGTAACAGCTCGTCTCCGTGGCGCAATTGGTTAGCGCGTTCGACTGTTAATCGAGAGGTTGTCAGTTCAATCCTGACCGGGGACGTTTTTTTTCATATCTTATCTATAATATTCGTTCACCCTGTTAGAAGGGCTCGAACTAGGCGAGGAAGACGATGGTTACATGGAAATTTAAGGAGAGGGGGCGGGGGAGGAAGGCCTGGGTCAGGCAGCCGCTAGTGACGCGCTCAGATGGAAACAACCACATAGAACGAGGCAGAAGGAGAGAATGGCGCCTGGAGGCACAGTAGTCGCAGTAGGCGCGTGGCGAGCTGCTTTAGTTGTGTCTTATATTGATTTTTGATTTGTCTACTGCGAATATGGTTATATGGAGTACAGCGAAGAAAAGCACCTCGCGTCAATTATCTCCTTGATCGGCCCTCCGCCAGAGGATATGCTCAAGCGAGGAAACCAAAATTCACGATATTTCGATAGCGAATCGATTACACTATGCCAGGGTCTAAAATTTTGTCTTACTGATTATCGAGGTTTTCAGGTTCCCCAATCTCGTGCCTTCGGAACGAGATTTTGAGCAAAGACTTTTTTTACTTACGGTCATCGAAGGGGAAGAGAAGCAGATTTCTAAATTTTATTTCGAGACTGCTGCAATGGCGTCCAGAAGATTGAGCAACCGCAGAGGAACTATTCTCCGATATATTTAATTAGAAGAACCAATACAGCGACAGAAAAAGAGAGGGATATGGCCTTTGCAGATATACTATATTACTAACAGCTTTGGTTGATCTTCTAGATTTGGTGAATTCTTAGAGTTGTATGTTGTCCTTCGAAAGAATTCCCTCGCGACATTTACATCCTGCCTGGTGCGCGATGTCGAGGTGGGTTCTAGGCTCTACCTAGGTCATCGAACGCTTAGCAAAACGATCGATAACATCTAATCCGCCTGTCATTCTTGGGACTGCTTCTTATGGTCGTCATGTTCTCGATCCCTGTCTTAGTCTCCGTGTGCTCCGCGCTCATGAATCGATGCTTGACGAAAGGGGAGGCCAGCAGCCCAATCCCGGCAGCAGCGGTGTACATAATGAACATATTGCGAATACTCCAGGCAAAAGCGCTCTGCACCGCATGGTGTTGCACCGGATCATCAATGGTAGGAATCATCTCCACGTTTGCCGCGGCGTCATAATCGGAAAAGGCGTCGAGGTAGGTTTGATTAAGGCCACTGGCAACGAGCGATGACTTCTGAGTGGCCATGCTGCCCTGGAAGACTACTCCACCGAGCACAATCGACAAGGAGATAGAAATATTGCGAATAAAGCCCAGTGTTGAGGTGGCGACCGCGACATCAACCTGGTTGACATTATTCTGAAGGGCTAACATGGGCGTGGAGAGCAGCATGGACAAACCGAGCCCACCGATTACTTCGAAGACGATAATCTTGACGAGTGAGGTGTCAATGTCGAGCATCACAAACAAGCCAGTGCCCAGGGTCAAGAGCGCTGTTCCGGCCCAGATGACCTCCCGATAGCGACCGGTCTTGTGAACAAGGATTTCGACGGACACATCGCACAGCGACGCGGCGCAAATGGGCTGCCCAAAACAGCCGCAGTCGACTCTGTTTTTGGCCGTCGATTTGCCAGCGCTTCCGCCACTCCCTCGCGCATTTACATCCACGCACTGCCAGCGTGCAGCATCCGAGGACCTTCCTCCGGCGTGGATCAACTATAGTCCTAGGGTCACGTGATCATCCAGGGGGTCTTATACTCCGCTTGGATTAGATGACCAATAGGGTAACACATGTTAGTTAGTTACAACACTGTGGCCGCGGGAGATGACTAAACCGCTTATATCATCGCCTTTCTTGGCCGATTGATTCATTGCATAAAAATTGCATTGTCATTGTGTTTTATTGCAGTTTTATTGCATTTATACGGCATTTTTCGGGACAGTATTATCGTGATATATCGTCTGTTTTGTCGATCAGGAAGCCTCCCAAATTGCATAAATATCGGCTTCTTTATCGTATAGTTAGTTGAATTAAGACCTTCATTCAGTTGAAAACGATCATATTCCTTGGTTGAATAATCGCTTCTAGGAAGACCCACATATTTCTGCCACAAACACGCACCACCGACTCACGTGAGGCGAACCCGCATGAACCTCATTCGCCCGCAGCGGACTATGCCCTCGGACGCAATTTCTCTACTATTCTGCCGACATAAACCTCCTGCTTCAATAATTGCCTTAATATGATAAGGCATAGTAGTAGATAGCTTCACTAAAACACGCTTTTTAATAGCATTCCATGCCTCTTTAGCAGCCTCAATCAATAGTCGAAGTGTTTCTTCAGTATCAGGATCATGTTCTAGCTTTAGAATAAAGCGTATAAATCTTATTAGGTAGGCGGTGTGGAAAAGGCGGTGGACTGGGGGTGTTGATATTAAATCGCCCCCACGTACATGCTCAGCAACCTTCGACATGCTAACTTGAATCTATAGATCTGAGTGTAACAGAACTGTATGGTACCAAGATCTGTAGAGGTGGGGTGCGGGTAAGGTAAGGTAAGAGAGGGCAGTGGAACGAGGTGAGAGGAGGTTTGGCCGTGCTACACTGACTTGTAGTCGCGCGTCAAGGGACTAGGGCCCCGCAATCCTCCCTCCTGACGAACCCACCTATCTCAACGATCGACGGCCTACCCACGATCCATCCTTTCCTATTCTCTATTTCCTGACAATCCTATCCACTCGCTCTCGTGTATGTATATATTCTACGGAGTCGTTGGTCAGGCCAGTTTCTAAGTACAGCAGTGGCCGTCTTGTGGGTGTGGGCGTTGCCAGTCGGTCGCGGTTTACACTCGTCATCTGGCGTCAGACGTCACGTGTGCGGCCTGCGGTATCTTGCTTCGCTCACATCAATCCTCTCTGAGTTTCCTCAAGGGATCTTATTACAGTCCTCAAATCCAGTCAGTATAATTAACTTGTGCATCATCCTGTTAAAACTAGGCAGTCTGCTAATGCTCCCTGCGTTTAGATTCTTGGCCGTTGTTTGTCGTGTCGTTCCTTCCTAGTATCATGGAGGTGTTGCCACAAGCAACGACTCAGTTGAGAGGCTGTACACCTCCTCTTACTGAATGTTCTGCCCCCTCTACAAATACCTCGAGCGACGTTCAAACGATGCCTGGCATACTTCTTGCAGACAACTCGGACGCAGTCAAATACTTTACAGTTGAACATCTCCTTGACGTCGCACGTCAGCAGTACAATTCGTTACAAAAACTCGAAACCAGTCAGCAGATACTCAAGTTCCGACAGGTGACAGTGAAAGAGTTCAATGTTTTGTCAGCTGACGAGACACGACCCTGCAAGTTTATCAAGTTTCAATATCATCGCCCGACTGAAACTTTACTTGTGAAGGTGATGCCGGGGTGGGACCACGAGATTATTGCTGCTCTGGTCCGAAAGATGATTGACAAGCAATTAATGGCCATGAATGTCGATGATGAGTGCCTCTCGCTGCCGTCTCCACTTAATGACCTTGGGAATTGGATCAAAGAACCTGACCTCTGTTGGGCTCCGATCACCGCCTCCTCCAAACCGACATGCGTTATCGAAATTGGCACATCCGAATCTGCCTCTCACCTATCATTCGACGCGCATGGCTGGTTAGAAGCCCCTCAGTCGCCAGTCCAAGCTGTGATTACGATTTCCTTTAAGTATCTCTGTGCAGAGACGGATGACAACCCTATTACAATATCCGTTTGGAAACAAGGACATCAAGTGACTGATATTGACACACGGAACAACCTCTGCCCCGCTGTCCGGACGTCGTGTGTCGACATTTTGAATATCGCTGGCTCTCTGTCGGTTTCTGGATTCTATCTCGATATTGATACAGGAGTGACAGTCTCCGCTGATAATATTCACCTTCCGTTAGAGCTATTTATCAGCCGACAAGCGGTGAATCCTGGAGAACATGACGTTGTAATAACGAAAGACATGCTGATTGGCCTTCTGCACCAGCTATGGGAGTATCGTCGGCAACGCCGCACGTCGCAGTAGCTTTGGATTATTTTAGGGTCTTTATGATGTTGCATGGCGCTTCGAATGCTTGGGTTCAAAAGCATGGATCTGACGGGCGGAAACCATGTTCTTGCTACTGATGCTTGTTTTTCCGCCTTGATGGTTGTAGAGATTGAAATCAGCATGACCGCAGTTGTCCACGGGCCTCGCGGCGGTGAGGACTTGCTGTGGCATCTTTTTGAGTGGGTGACAGACGTTGTTTTTCTCTTTACTTGGCTTGTCAATTCGCTATAGGGGCTGGTCCTTATGACCTGATAATGTATTATTATCGCTATTTCATATCCAAAAGGTTCATTACAATGTGTTTTCGGCCTGTAATCCAGAATCCCCGCTTTTTCGTAGGAGCTTTGCTCTTCGCCTCGTGCTGCCCTTTATTCCTATATCTCGGGGGCTGCAGTTGTCGCAGCTGGAAGGGGACTGTATGAGGTTTCTCCTTTTAATATGGGATGACGATCCGGGACTGCTGTTTCTGAGGGACTAGCGACCTCTTAGTCGACTGCTCTCTTTGACTGACTTCTGTTCAGAGACGAAAAGACACTAGATCCTGGTGTAAATCCGGGGACTTCACTGCGGATGGGAGCCTTTGTTTTGGCTTTGCCACCGATAATGCCGAGTTTGGCGGGCCATTTTGCCGTTGGTGCCGTAGTGGTAGTGATTGTGGAGACATATCAGCTATGACAGGAACTGAGCACACACTTCAACAGGTGGCCGAGCAGGAAGGGGATTCTGAGATTGATATTTCAAGAGCTTTATCTGGCAAGAATCATGACGCGGGTTGGAGAGAACGGCAATATCAGCGATGGAGGCAGGCGTTGGGTGTCTGGGGAATCTTAGGGAATTGTATGACGGGGGGTGCTCGAGGAGGCTCCAATAGTCGAAAGCTGTCAACTTGAAATACAGCATTGACCATCTTGCGGGCTAAGGGGTCGTATTAGATGGGTTAAGGGTGTGTGCTGGTGCTTGGGGGAAGTGTAGGGGAAGAAATAATAGGCTTTGGTACCATCTTTCCTGAGGGTTCTAGCCACCGTTTTATATGCAGCCAGGTTCTCCCCCGTTCCGTTTCCCAGTCGTAAAAGTAACCGCCGAGAACGGCCTTTGCTAGACCCCTTGGCCTCCGTCTCAAGCCGCCAACACCGAATAAGGGCGGGGAGCCAAAATCCCGGAACCGTGCATGGCACCATTCGGACTCTCTGATCAGTCCGGCTCTTGCTGACGTGTCAAGCTTTCTTGAACCCAGATAGGTTATCTCATAGCCACCATCCACCATCCTCCTCTTTGTATTCCGGCCCCTTATCGGGAAGTGCGACTACCAATCATTCCGAAGCCGAAGGGGCCACGGTGAGACATGATAGAACAATCACCATGTAACTAAGCCAATACAGACCTCACAACCGAAGATGTCAGGGCCTGAGGCATCCACTGGTTTGCATTGGTTGCGTCGTCCACTATTTTGATCAACAACATGTGTAGATAGCTTCTTTTCTTCTCCTTACACTAGATGTTCTTAGGTGGGATGGGACCAAGCGGAACAGGCCAGGGACAGCGCTATTCCTGAACAGGCAGTCACTTTCCCCGGTCGAGCAGGAGGATCACCGCCCAGAGCAGGCGGTAGCGCACGGCAGGACGGTGGTGCAATGGGAGCCTCCTTCAGCGCCCCGCTTGCCGTCCGTCAGAATACGACTGTAATTTATATTACCTAGATTAATAGCCTTTGTAAAGGCTTAGTGATAAAATATATATATATTATAAAGCTTTATAATATATATCATTATTATTTAACCTTAAATAATGCATTGTGGTTGTGTTATTCAGGTCTATACAACAGCTATTTTCTATGGGAATACACAGGTGGCCGCTCGCTTGTGAAATACGTTAGCACATAGAGAATTGAGCAACCGCAGAGAAACTACTCTCTGATCTCTGGCTTAAAGCCCAATTTTACGCTGGGAGAAGCCAGTGAGAATATATTTAATTTAAAGAACCATTACAGTAGCACAATTTCATGTCTAGATTAAATTTATAAAAGCATGATCTATTGGAATCATCGCCATTCGACTTTATCCAGACAATTGTTTGAACGTAGAGTGCAAGCCCTTAGTCAGGAATGAGGTCATCCGGATCCCTTCCGTCTTATCTTATCTTCGCTCCCATCTTGTCCGGATCTCTCCGACCGTCACGACTGCACTTTTGCCTCAGCCAGCAATATGGACGAAGATGAAAGACCGACAAAGCGTATCAAACGGGCATGTGAGACGTGTCGGTATGTATTCAATTCTTCCAGAACAGTGTTGGTGCTAACAGAGAAGTCGGAAAAAATCCCGCTGCTCTGGGGAGCGCCCCGTGTGCTCGAACTGCACTCGCTTGGGACACCACTGCGAGTATGCTGCGGAAGAAGCTCCGGAATATGTAAGGAGCTTGGTGAGTATCACTAAGCATTAATATGGTCCCATAAACTGATTCCCCAGGAACAACGCATCGATGGTATAGAGGGAAAGTTAGAAGCCCTGTTGGCTTGCTTTGATCGCCACCCCGCCGCAGCTGCGCTTTCTAATAGACCGAGTCTCGATGCTGCTGGAGACAATCCCATCCCTACTGGTCCCTTAATGTAGAGATTCCTCGCTTACCTCAATTTCCTACGCTAATAGATGACCAGAGATGCTTCAAACGCAAGCACACAGACACCTGCTCATTTGTTTCTGACCTATTGTAACTTTCAGCCGCTGCCTTTGTTTCACATTGCGACCTTCCTGCAATCATATGACAGCCGGGATGCAGAGGTCCAACTTGCAATTCAAGCATTGGGTCAGAGATTCAATGACAGGGGTGTGGCTGATCCGGAGGTCAACCGACAGGTTCAAGACTGGACGGAATCGTCCCGGCGCATGGTGATGAGCCGCTTGGCCGAAGGGGCTGTGGAACTGTCCACTCTGCAGGCCATGTGCCTGTTAACAATGATTGATTACACAAGTTAGTTCATTGCCAAATTCTTCTGATCATTATTCACGATACTTAGACAGCAATATCATCCGAGCCGGTGTGAACCTTCGTCTAGCCAAGTACTTGGTTGAATGCCTCAAACTAGATTTGCCAGATTTCCCAGACAACTTGGAGGATGAGCGCGATGAGCGGGTCTTATGTCGCTGGACGATATATATGCTTGAAGCATTAGTCGGCGACACGTCCCTCACAGCAAACAGCAATCTTGTTAACGCCACAACCAGGACAGATCCCGGCCTAGCCGCCTACACGGTGCAATTCAGTAAAGTATGGGAGCTGTCCCGAGCCTACGCCTCGGCTCATATTAAGTCTGAATCGCCGCCTCCATGGTCGGCACAGTCCGATTATTCCGTCATCAATTCCGAGCTGATGGGATGCGAGAGCCGGACCCCTCTGAAATATCGGATGCACGCGAGCCGATTCCCTGAGCTCTTGGGAACTGAGCTCAATCAGCGAAGGGAATACTGGGGTCCGTGGCTTTTCTTTCAGTTTGTCTGCCATTCAACTTTGGTCCTTGTCAACCATCCACTACTACTGTCAATACGATTGAAAAATTTCCGTCAAACCATGCCGCAGTCATTTCTGCGGAACTCGTTTGAGCAGATTACCCTAAACACAAGCTGGATTCTACATTTTGTCACTCTTCTCGAGAAGAAAGATTTCGAGGTATCCGATCCAACTCTAGGTCAGTGTGTGGCTATTGTGGCGACAATCTTCCTCCAGCATAGTTTCGTAGAGGAGCCAAGCTTTCGACAGAAGGCACAGATCGGTTACGATAAGTGTCTCGGTTTTGTTTCCAAAATGGGCAGACACTGGCCGCATTTAGAGCGACAGGTAAGAGTCTCTCAATTTATTAGGTGCAGTGGGCTAATTCCCTTAGGCAAACAAACTCCACCAGTTGAGGAATAGTATCTCCTCCAGTGGCACACACGGTTCTCAGCAGGCCTGGTCTGTAAATGTGCATCTTTTATGGGAAATTCTGGTCTCCTCTCCTACCAACAAGCTAGCCGAGGACTTCTCAAAAGATATATTCGGGCCTTATCTGACAAACAGTATCGTCCAAAGTTCATCGCAGTCTGATGATGCACTGTCGGGCCCCGAACTTGCTCTCATCGGGTCTGCTGGCATTACTGGACATCGGACGGTGGCTAAAGAGTTAGTCACGTATCCGCCAGAGGATCTTCCACAGCCTGATCAAGGCCAAGATTTAGTTCTAGATCTCAATCTTTCAGGGCTTGTTGGAAATCCTGAATTGGGGTTTTCTGCCACGCCTGGTGGTGGACTTTTGCAGCCACAGGATTATGGCCGTTTGATTGAGAATTGGTTAAATCTGGAACCGTCTTGACCTTGGAACTTTTATCCATGCATCAATATGACAGTCTCTGGGTACCTTCAATTAATTTATAATCCCGCTTATTATATTTATACAAATTCAAAACACTTACAGACAGGCTGTCGATATACCAATTCAACTTCTAGTCGCAAGATAATTCTAAATGGGCGCTATACATGCAGCTAAATATTGAATTTACTACGTATCCAGGGTTGACTACTCACCAGGCCTTGATAGGATCGGATAACTCGACAATTACATAAATTAAATTGCTCGGCTATTATGAAGCTTGACTATAAAGAGGGGCTGCGATATTCTACCGGAACCCCCTTCCTTCTGACTCTAACTCTACACTAACTATCTATGGGTTTACATTTCTGGATCTCGGATCCAACATTCTCTCTATTGCATTGTCAGTCCCAGAATTGCCTGAATCAGAGCAATCAGCAAATTATACTAGACGTACAGATGTTGTACCATCTGAAGTCGTGTATGATCATTTCACCGCTCCCCGAAAGGCCTTAATTACTGCTGTCCTCTGCTTCTGTGCTTTTCTCGCACCTATATCAACGACCAGCATTCTTACTGCGACTCAAGAGCTCGTGGGCACATTTGGGACCACTCTCACTGTTATAAATATAAGTAATGCTGTTTATTTGGGCTTTATGAGGCTGTGTCCATGCTTCTGGAGACCTCTTGGCGAGACCTTTGGACGTCGATTGGTATGGTATTATTGTTCCAACAATTCTACCATTGCTAATGTGACTCCGCAAAAGATTTGCTTCAGCAGTGCAGTAATGTTTACCGCAATTTCAGTCGGAACCGCATTGTCCCCGACGTTAATCCATTTTTTTCGTTTTTCGCGCTCTTACGGCATTTTGCGGAATTCGACAATACGGCCGCCGTGGCCAAGATCAAGCGAGGCAAGAAGCCGACCCAAGAGGATATGTTCAATATCAAGCGTGAGTTATCCCTAAGGGACCCCCGTTCCGTGCATGCTGCTCACAATTGTTGCCGCAGGCGTCGACATTGCGGAGGATGAGCCCGTGCGAGAAATATTCGTTCCATTTGACGATGCACAGCTAACTCTGGTGCATCGGAGTATTGGGAAGTACCGAAGATACCACTACTACGCGCATTATCCTTAGGTAATTATATTCCTATTCTTCATGTACAATAGAACATGTATATTGGAGCTTCCAGGAAGCTACTACTTATTGTGACTCCCACCCATCCCCTTCCCCTAAGTAACACTCCACATCTTCATCCTCGTCATCCACTATGTCCGCCAAAGGAACCTCGTCATCCCAATTGGACATAAGTTTCGCCGCCTCCTTGGCCCGCTCACGCACCCTAAAGGGAAGAATCTCTCCCCGATGATTTACCGCCAGGACCAGCACCCAGCCCTCCTCGCAGGCCTTCCGATCCGCAACAACAACCAGCGCACTCTGTGTCCGATCACTCTCCGCCAGCGACTCGGCCCGCTCCTCCCCCGTAAAATGTCGCCAAGGCCTATCCGACGTTCCATCAAACAGGTCGGCCAAGTGCATTTGCGCTGCAATCAGATACCCCGGTACAGAGCCAGGACGGCCGACCGCAACGCCCCCGACAATATCCTCACCCCGCTGGGCATCCGCGCTCAGTTCCTGCCGGTCCTCGAAGATGAACTCCTCGAACATACAGTAAATGTTGTTGTTCTCGTCCCCCCGCTGTAGGACTTCCTTCCGGAGTCGGGCGTACGCCGTATCTGCGGCTTCTTGGCTCGTCTTATCTGTAGGATCGCCGAACCAGGTCCGGATCCACAGCGTGGAGGTGATCAAGCCGCTTCTGGCGCGGTCATTCTCCGAAAGGAGGTCTTGCGGTACCCCGGTGGGGGGATGGTCGATGAGTTGCTCCATGATGTCGTCGTCGAACATAGCAAGGACGTAGTCCTGGGGTTTGTTGGTTAGTGGGTGGGGTTCGTTCAATGGATAGATGGTGGTAGGTAGATAGCTACGTTTCGTCCGTATATTCCCAGCGCGATCCATTTCTCGATAAGGCTTCTTTTCTGCTCGTTTTTGGAGAGCGGGGACGCGGCATCCCAGTTTGCCTAGAGTTGGAGAGCTAGGTATAAACTTGTTGTCATAGATATGTTCTAGGGAAAGGGGGCTTACTACGACGAAATGGTCGAATGGGAGGTACCCGAAGGAGGGGATATCCAGGCCTTCTCTCATTATTGTTGTTGGTGGTGGTGGTGGGAGTGAACAAGAAATGAGAGGGATGAGGGAGGACATAGCTAGGTTATATACTACCTTGGTTCATCTCGCCATCCAATGCTCTTGGGGCCAGACCGATTCTGACTAACCATGGCCCCTAGGCTAGGCACCGCTGGATCAGCCCCTGGTGCCTAACCTCGGGACCTATAGTTCTACGCAACAAGTTTGAATAACGCGTTCCCGCACTTTTGTATAGGAATTTATGTAGCGCCGAAACCTACGATCTTTCAAGATTTATAAAATAATAATAACATTTTTAATTTTAATTTCCTTCTATATGAAGGATTATAAGTATAATACATATAAAATAAAACTACTCCTTTAAACTAGAAGACGGCAAACGAGCTGCCAGAAATGGCCGTACTCGACGCCGTTTTTGGCCGTCAATCTGCCACGCATTCCACCACGCCCCCATGCACTTACGTCTACGCATTGCTAAGCCCCGAGTGTGGTCCCACTTAACCCTCATTTGCCTGCAGCGCAGTATACCTCCAGGCACACAGTCCTCAGGCCAGCCAATGTAAACTTCCTCCTATACCAGCTCACTGCGGCCTCCGAAACTACCAAAAATGGCCGTTATAAACGGTGCCTGTCCACCTTTGCATCTGTACCTGCCCCCTTGCTACATCCAAATATTAAATCAATCAGACCCCAATCTGTACCTGAGCATTCAGTACCACAGTAATCTCTAAGTGAAAGCGTTACGTCGGAACGTGTTTCACTGTTTGTTGTGTTATATATTTTTATCATGGCCCGCCGCCGACGAACGACGGATGACCAGTTATCTGACGACAGCGACTTCTCTGAAAAAGAAAGTATCGAAGATAGCCAGTACGACACTGACCTGACAGAGCCTGAAGATGAAGGCTCGCAAGATCAGGACCTTAGTGATGCAGCAGTCCTCTTTGCGGATAACGAATATCCGCCAAAATACTATATCCAGCAGCTTACGAATTTTGACAATACAGATTACACAAAGGAGGATTATGGGAAGGGTACCACTGCCCTGCTTAACGAGTGAAAGTGAAATGGTTACGGTATGGCTCATTATATCCTTTGATTATCGCTATTCGCGCTCGCTACGTTTCTAATCCTGATACGTATAGATTTTGCGCCTTTGTTCGAAAAGATCCTCAGGAGGAACTTACACGTCTGTTGGTTTCGATCATGTATACCTTCCTGGAATGGGTGCTGAATCTTCGACGTAGAAAGGATAGAAAACTACTTCCAAGAATTAAATGTAAGAGTTCACTCGATACCTTCTGGAAGGTGTTCCGCCTGGTGTCCAAAAAAGAGATTTCGAACAAGATCAAAAATAAACGAACCGTCAGATGCGCCATGTATGTCTAAACAATCCCTGCCCGGCTATATAAATCATACCTTACAAATGGCTGTTCGCTATGCCAGACAAGGCGCGAAGCTAATTGATTATAATAACTAGGTAATCCGACGCCTAGCCAAAAAAACACAAATTGTCCACCAAGGGCCGTAACAAGTGTTACCTCCTGAAGCCAGGGAGCTTCCCGGTACGGAAGAATGTTCCGCAGGAACGTTCCGGTTAGTTAGTATAGGATCGAGGGACCCTCCGGTAGGCATCCAGGAACCTTCCTGGATGCTCTGCAGGCAGTATATAGAGGCCCTAGATCCTCCCTCCTAGATAGCCTTTCTTCCCCATGGGAAAATTCTTTGACTACGAGTCAGAAACAAACTTGTCTTATACTAAGCTCCTTTATAGACCGTCACAGTCGATATGACTGTCGTCTTGAAGAAGCCCAGCGGAAACGCAAAACTAGCACAATCAAGACTAACTGCCCATTTGATATCATTACAAGACTTCAAGATAATGATCTTTGGCGTGTTGAAATTAAAGAATACCGTCATAATCATAATCTATCGCCTGCTACGACTTATGTCGCTATTCGCCACCAGGAAGTAGCTGAAAATTCTGTACAGATTAAAGCTTAATTCCAAATTGGCCTTCCAATACGTCATTTTATTGCATCTCTGCAGCAAATTGGTGCTACTAGCATTATCGACAGAGATATCCATAATCTCCACCACCAGGTACGACAGGAATTTCTAGATGGTAAGACGCCAATTCAGTGCTTACTACTTGCTCTTCCAGCAAGCGGGGATTGAATTGTCAACCACCAGAAAGATAAAGATGATATTGTTGAAGCTGTATTCATTACTTATAAAAGTTGCATTGAACTGCTACGTATGAATTATGGAGTCCTTTTCATGGATTCAACTTACAAAACGAATCGATACCAGATACCTTTACTGGATATCGTTGGGATGACAGTAACAGGGGATACTTTCTACGCAGCGTTTAGCTTTATGCATAACGAGACCGAGGATACGTATGGATTTATTCCTAAATGCCTAGCTGACACGTTGTTTCATTATGAATGTGGCTATCCCGGAGTAATCGTTACCGACAAGGTAAAAGGCCTGTTGATGCGACTGAGAAGGAATTCAACTTCACAGGTCATATTCTCTGTATTGGCATATCCAGAAAGTTCTCATGACTAAATGTCGCCCAATTCTGCGAAAGGAAGTCATCCGGATTGAATATGAAGCTAACAGTCGCCGTACCCAAGATGATAAAGAGTTTAGCAACAAGGTAGAGAACGAATGGAAGTCCTTTTTGGTTTTTTCATGCAGATTGTTAACTCTACTTCAGAGGAAGAGATTATTGCCACAACTGCTAATCTCAAAGCAGAATATAGTGGCGACGTTTGGCAGCCAATCCATACTTATTTAGATGAGAACTGGCTTGAAGAGGATACGGCGAAGCGATTCATTAAATTCTACACAAATGAATTCCGTCATTTTGGACAGGAAGCAACTTCACGGAATGAAAGCGCTCACTGGGTGCTAAAGAAGGACCTTTTAGGCACTACACAATCTATCGCTCGTACTATTACTGAGCGCCATAGCAAGGTGTGGAATTCTATTGAAGATGACCGTCAGAAACGCCCTCACCATCTACGGATGCCTATCTTCTCGCAGGTGTTGAATAAGGTCTCTTCAAAAGCACTAAATAAAGTACACACGATAATGACTCGCTATCTTCCAGTGGGGGAGGCTGGGTAAGCAACCAATTGAGGAATGTACGGATGTGACGCTGAAGACTATAGGTCTACCGTGCATCCACATCATCAAACGTTACTACGATAGGAAAAAGCCTATAAAAATTGCTGAATTTGACTGCCAGTGGTATCTTTATACGGATGAAGACCTCCTACCTATTAACCCGAGATCGCTAGTTCTTGAGCCACGAGTTGTACAGCGTTATCGTAGGCGTCCTGCCGGATCAGGAAATCGAGCAACAGAAGCAGAGGCAGAGATAAAAATAACACAGAATACAGCTACTCAGGATTTCTCTATACAGCGAGAACTATCTGCGTTTGAATACGAATTATCTCAAAAACAACCAGTCAGACGCTGAAAGCAGAGTAATCGGGGAGGATAAGGACGTGAAAGACGCGGAGGATAGGGTCATAGAGGTAGAGGAAGCTCTACTGAAACGATTGAAGTTAGTAAAGACGATAGGAATAGCGATAACGAGAATGAGGCACCAACCAGCGAACAGAACGGGGAAACCAGCGAGGAAGAGGAAGTTAAGCTACCATGACGCAGTCAGCGAGCTGGCCGTAGCAAGGCAGCGCGGTAGTTGGGGGACGAGAACTGACGGAATTCGAATTCTGAATAGAGGCCTGTGATTGGTTAATAAATGTAGCTTTTTTGTACGATTAAAAGAACGATAAATGACCTGTTTAAACGATTATACTAAGTGCCAAATTTCCATATCACATGGCCACGCTAAACAGAATAGGAAATGGGGGTGTCGGTCTAACATGACCCTATATATATTTACAACTTTACATGCTGTTTTGTCGACAACCGCTATTGACCACCCACCATATCGATATCATCGAATATGACTTGTAATTTGTAGGTGACCATGCCTACAGTTTACTTTTGTATGAATATTTATTTATAATTTATCACATCGATGGAGTATTCAGTAAAATATCTACAAATTGACAGAACAGCTATAAAAAAAAGAGATGAATTATCAATTTTATCTAACCTAAAGAGGTAAGGCGTCGAAAATTTATGCAAATGCGGGTCGTTGAGGGTCGCCGAGGGTCCGCATAGTGAACCTCCCCTCTTGAGGGGAGGTTCGAGGGTCCGGAGTAGGCACCCTTGCGGAGGGTCGTAGCCAGGTCTACCACACCACCTCTTCCCCATTTTACCATCCGCTCGTTTCGACGAAAAATAGCTTTTGAACGTCACACGCCCCTTCTTGTCGTTTGGTCTAAAGGTCGAGAGCTTCCCAAGCTGCAACCCGAGTCACCTTCGCCTGGGATATTCTTTGGTATCGAGGTCGATGATTTCCTGGGACTCCAGTCATACTTAAAATCTCCGAGGCCTTGCATGAGGCTTGCAACGTGGCGCTGTTCTTCCTGCGAGCCTCGTTCTATGATTTTCGAGTCGCGGATGCAGCAGCCCCGCATTAGAAGCAGAAAACAGATCCTATTGGGACAACGTAGCTTACAGTCCCCTTGAATCCCCAATCAGAACGTGCCGCCTGGCGCCTCTACTTCTTGTATAAGTGCCAGGCGAGCATGTATCTCATACATATAACGGCCCGCCGGCACGAACCTACCCGTCTCACTTGGTGTGGGGTAGGAGATTGCAAACATGGAGATAGTATGTACACGCGGATGCGATGGGAATGCGAGATATCACCTCACTTTGAAAATAGGCAAAAACGGGAGCAAAAGTAACTACTTTTCGAGCTCCTCTACTCCCTCCTGGTATACACACGTCCACCGCGTTGCATAATGATTGGCAGGGTCGAACTCTGGCCCCATTATTAATAGGTCAGTCTCTTCACACCCTTCCCACCGGGACCGCCAGGTCAGTGGACGCTTCATAGTACATTCAACCAATTATATTCCTCTATGAAGGCTCAAATACTATTGGCCAGCACAACTCCTTTCTCCACATTGGAGTATGGAAAGCGTAGCTTCATTCTCTTAATAAACACCAAACTAAAAGCCGATAGTCAGCTAATAAGTCAGTAGGCATTCAAGTGGGTGTTGGGTCAGTATCTGCACGAAACATACAATACTAAGATGCTTTCATCATGCGACTTCAATAGCATACCATACGCTATCTTAATAGATCATCGGTACCCTGTACACAAGACGTTTCCTCTCACTCAATCGCCAGCCGACTGTCATGGCTGCTGACCTCAAGGAAAAGGGGGGGGGGGGGGGCAATTACTGCCTTAATACCGTTGTAAGGCTATCCGCCCGGCGAACCGGGTCAGCCGACATGATTTGCGCGAAATCCGCCCGGCGAGCATTTGTTGTTTGCTGCCTACTCCAGTATCATTGAAAAGATAGATAGCAAGAGTTGTTACCTGCATATCGCCGACGGGCGAGGAGTCAGCGTATGAATTCAATCAATTCGTCAACCAGTGTACCGCGGATGGCACTGCGGGTATATGGGGTGTACATCCTACCACATGAGATGATTTGCCCTGGGGCTGAAGATTTTCTTGCTTCGACCTGGGCGATGCTAGGGTATTAGGAAAACACGTTCTCAAAGGCTTTGGTGGAGAATCATGTTAAATTTGGCCAATGAAATTCAATACCCACCCCCCATCACAGAATACTCAACCAGCAAGTTTTTGGCCTACTGAGCGCTGCCAGTGTTGACCTTGGATGCCCATGGTGGACTGTCTCCTCTTATTGCCCATCTCATGTTCCTGCTTCTACCCACCGTGTTCAACTGAATCCCTGACTTCCGAAGCCTGGATATAGAGGCCCCTTTTGCTTTGTCCCTAGAAGTCGGCGATCGTGTCAGCCAGCGGTTGAGAGTGAATTTTCGGAATGGCGTTAAACCAATGTACATTTTCTGTCCGTAGAAAAGTGATTCTGTGTCCGATTCATGGTCTTCCACATGGCAGAATGTTTTTTGGAGTAGACCATGCCATAGGGGACAGAAGAATACCGCATGATGCAGCTTACATGGTTGGTGCCAGGATCGAGAGGCAAATCACGGAATTGATACCTTCGAAATGCCCTGGATACTAGACAGCCTTTGCAGCCCATATGCTGAACAACCAAGAGTTATCTAAAACCATGGCCCTCCACATGGTAGAACGCCACAGGGCACATCATCCCACGCGAAAGTATGTCTTGTGTTTCCAGAATCCATGTCAGTAGCTTAAGTGAACAGGACTGAAGCATAATTTGATGAATGCGTATCGGAACATAATTTGTATGACATTCTAAGTGATCATAGAGCTGGATTCTTTCTTTTTCTTTCTTTCTTCTTTTTTTTTTTTTTTTTTTTCCCCCTCGAAGGCCCCAAGTTTCTTCTGGCGCAAATTGTCAACTTCTAGACACTGGACATCTGCTAATATCATGATACGTAGAAAAATCCTTATTCAAGGCCACAATATAATTCAGAGAAAATGCGTTCTTCCCCAGATGGACCCTGCCTATGAGCCCGGAATCGCCCTTATTGGAGCGCTAGGAACCACAGATCTTGGTTCTACCGCCACTTGAGCTATAGGAATAGCGACGCAATCAAGACCGAACATGGGCGCGTCAATTTAGGGCGTGCAGATCAAATACCCTAAATAGTTTGGGCGTGTGTATGGCTGCAGCACACGAGACTTGATAGAATACTGTTTCAGTATGCCTGTAACCAACCCAGTAAGAGTCTGGTATCAGAAGGTTCAGGTATTACAGAGCCGCAATACCTGGGGGTTGTCAACCAGAAAATATACCGAAATGAACTGTATGAAGCCCAATCAGTGTCACACTTTTTGTGGCCTAGCGGTCATTTTGTTTGACAGTTTCACATTACTAGTGAAAGGGTGTAGAGCAAGTGCGCGACGGCGTGCCCTCTTTGGGCTATCAAATGCGCTATAGTTCCCCCGGCGGGGGTTGGCAAATGACGTATATGTAGGCACACTGCCCAATGCTACGACACTCGCACATCTTGAAAATGCGGGATACAGTGCCCTAGTACTCTCTGCTGCAGAAGATCAGCCGTGCTATTGACAAATACCATGCATATACTAAGTATCGCCGCAGAATTACGTGTCATGCTTATTGCCTATAATTCAGGCCTAGTCAATCTTGTGACAAGGTTGCATACATGCAGACCGGAATTATATCTATGACAACCCAACCCCCATTGGCTCTCTGAGTCCACGATCCGCTCCCACACTGCAGTAGCCTTAAATTGAACGCTGCCAAACACCCACCCAGTCCATTCCTTGGCCCATGGGATGAGACCTGTCTGCTTTCCAGTGAGCGATTCTCCGGAAACCATTTCCAGGTTCGAATTCCCCTCCTTCCAGGGACTCCGGCTCCCCTTCGATATCATAGGAGATCTCTCTGCCCGGATGACCCAAATGCGCTAGATAAGCGGATGACGGCGCGGCATAAGGCGGCCCGCCCTTGGACAACTTCTTGGAGGTGGGAAACTCCACGCAGACCAGCCTGCTTTCAGGGTGTTCGGATAGGAGATCCCAGCAGCGCCGAGCCCATGAGGGACGGAGTCTGGGAGCAAGCGCGCAAAAGAACTAAATTATCAGCCATACGCATACACGTTGACAATCTCCCAGGGGCATGCGACCCAGCACATAATAGCAAATCAGAAGAGAGTGGCAACAGAAAAACGCACTTACGGTGTAGTCGTATATGAACTCGAACCGGCCATTGCCATTGGCCTGCTCTAACCAATTATCGCTGAAAAAGTCGCCCACAATAAACTTCGCCGTACCACGGCCAACTGCATCATCTCGCATTGAATAGTCAGTCAGATGCTGGCTGGCCCAGGCATTTGCCTCCTCGACGGCTTTGGTGGACACCTCAAGACCGTAGGCGTCATAACCCAGACTGGACAAGAGAAGGACATCATAGCCGCGCCCACAGCCGGGCACCAGAGCCCGCTTACGGCGGCGAGCACCATTATCGTCCTCCACAAAGGCTGTAGAACCAACAAGGTCCGTCCGGTCAGACAGGACATCCACAAGGGCTGGATTGGGAGCCCCCTGGTCCCACGGAAGGAAGTCGCCTGCATCCCACAAGGCCGCCCAACGATCATTCACCGGAGGACCCTCACCACTGAAATGCTTCAGCAGACGGGAGGTGTTCTCCTCGGTGAGAGTCTTGCCCTTCAGATGCGAGTCTGCCATTGCAAAGGTTGGAGTTATAGGCAATTGAAAAATTGAGGGATAGAATGTTGCTATCCTACCACGTTCTGTCTTGCGCTCTGATGTATTGTAGTCTTGGTGCACACAGCGGGTCAATAGGCGGAATTTATACCTGAGGACATATCCCCGATTGCTGCTTCGAATCTGGATTTACTTTTAGTCTTATGCCCCTTTGATATCACACTTTACCGTGCCATCATCAACATGCCCTGATTCCAGACGATTCCCCATCCAATGCCTTCCTATCCATGCATGGTTGGTCAGGCGCACCCTCCTCTATCATTGCCGATGTTACCTTTTGCCACTAGTGTCGAAATATTCACGCACTTCTTCCCCATCAATTTCCAGATATGAGCAGTTGCATCTATAGCTGACGACAGACTCCACTCTGAAATCTTCCAGTTTTATCGATATGCATCAGGTTTAAAATTCTATATTTACAGAAACCTGAATATTAACCAATATCAGACTGTCTTGACCTTGGGAAGATAGCAGGAAGATAGTGATTGTAACTTTCGTACTCATCACGAGGCCGTCTTTTTCTCTATTATTGGCTCGATAAACGTGCATAGGAACTCTCATTATACCTTTTTGGAACGGATTGCCTACCGTCGGTAGCCGTAATATCTACTAGTTTTTGAAAAAGTCAGCAGTGATAACATCAAGGTAAATTTGCTATTCATTACTGAGGAGCCTGCCTCTACGAAACTATATAGGCCAAAAAGAAAAAGTAGATGTTTAAAGCTGCCGACTCTATTCATATCTATATACTTAACAGCCTGTTCCAAATATCGTTGAGTTGTTTTGATAGTATTTATCATTGCTAGTCTTTGGATCGTCAATAACATAATCACTTACCAGCCATAGAGGTTGAAACAAACTACAATGCTGATGCATTGCGCACGACCGAATATCTCACTTTGCGGTGCCATCATCAACATGCCCTGATTCCAGACGATTTCCATCCAATAACTTCCTATCCATGCATGGTTGGTCAGGCGTACCCTCCTCTATCATTGCCGATGTTACATTTTGTTACTAGTGTCGAATTATTCACGCACTTCTTCCCCATAAATTTCCAGATATAAGCAGTTGCATCTATAGCTGACGACAGACTCCACTCTAGAATCTTCCAGTTTTATCGATATGCATCAGGTTTAAAATTCTATGTTTACAGAAACCTGAATATTAACCAATATCAGACTGTCTTGACCTTGAGAAGATAGCAGGAGGGTAGTGATTGTAACTTTCATACTCATTATGAGACTGTCTTTTTCTCTATTATTGGCTCGATAAACGTGCATAGGAACTCTCGTTATCCCTTTTTGGAGAGGATTGCCTACCGTCGGTAGCCGTAGCATCTACTAGTTTTTGAAAAAGTCGGCAGTGATGACATCAAGGTAGATTTGCTATTCATTACTGAGGAATCTGCCTCTACGAGACTATATAAGCCAAAGAGAAGAAGTAGATGCTTAAAGTTGCTGACTCCATTCATATCTATACTTAACAGCCTGTTCCAAATATCGTTGAGTTGTTTTGATAGTATTCATCGTTGCTAGTCTTTGGATCGTCAATAACATAATCACTTACTTATCATCCATGGAGGTTGAAACTAACTACAATGCTGATGCATTGCGAACGACCGAATATCCTATGCTTAAGGGTATCTGTATACCCCCATCTATTTGCTACAAAGCACGGTCAACTAACGTACCCATTCAGGAGAGGTATACCTGGACCATACAGGAACTACTGTTTATGCGCAGTCTGCCCTCAAGAGCTTCGTTAACGAAATGTCACTCAGCCTTCTGGGAAATCCGCACAGCGATTCCAGGTCTTCTCGACTCTCCACCCTGAAGGTCGAAGAAGTACGGAAGAGTGCTTTATCATTCTTCGGCGCCGATCCGGAACATTTTGACTTGGTATTTGTGATGAATGCTACAGCGGCAGTGAAGCTCGTTCTCGATGCGCTAAAGGACCTGCCCACATCACAGAGCCCGGAGAAGACCTTTAGGGGCCCGGGGCTCTGGTTTGGATACCATCTGGAGTCTCACACAAGCATCGTGGGCGGACGCGAGCTAGCCGATGCTGGACATCATTGCTTTCTATCGGATGAGGAAGTAGACTCTTGGCTGAGGCCTGCTCCCTTTGAGAAAGAGACTGACAGATGTCCGGGTCAAGCGTCTAAGACATTTCACGTTGGCTTATTCGCTTACCCAGGACAGTCGAACATGACTGGACGACGCCTCCCTCTTGCATGGCCCGGAATTCTGCGACAGTCGGAATATGGGTCGCATCATAGAGTTTTCACTCTGCTAGATGCTGCAGCGCTGGCCTCGACCGCGTCCCTAGATTGCTTCCGTGATCCAGACGCAGCACCAGACTTTACGGCCGTCAGCTTCTACAAAATATTTGGCTTTCCTGACCTAGGAGGGTTAATTATCCGCAAGCAGTCTGCTCACGTTCTGCTCCAACGCTCGTATTTCGGTGGAGGCACCGTCGAGATGGTCACTTGCTCGGACCAGCCTTGGCATTCCAGAAAGCCGACAGATAATCATGAGGCTCTCGAGGATGGGACAGTGCCGTTCCACAATATCATTGCGCTAGGCTGTGCCCTTGCTACGCATGAGAAGTTATACGGCTCCCAGGATCATGTGTCAAGGTATACAACCGGTCTCACAGCGCACCTTGCCCATCTGCTCTCCTCCCTGCGTCATCCGAACGGCGTGAGGGTGTGCCAGATCTACCAAGATCCGCATGCCTCGTATAGCGATAGCAAGACGCAGGGCTCTATCGTCGCGTTCAATGTCCGCTCTGACGATGAGCGATGGCTCCGACTCTCTCATGTTGAGGAAGCTGCCAATGAGCACCGGATTCATCTTCGCACGGGTACGGTATGTAACCCGGGAGGGCTAGCAAAAGCCCTGAACCTGGAACAGTGGGAACTCTTCCAGAACTACACAGCGGGTGTTCGATGCGGATGTCGCAGCGTGCTTGTCGGCCATAAGCCTTCCGGGATCATTCGCGTCAGCTTGGGTGCTATGAGCACTTTGAGTGATGTGGAGAGCTGCGTCAAGTTTATCCACTCCATCTCTGTGGCCTCGTCATTCCCCCGGCTAGACCCTCCGCCTCTTCGACCCTCGCAGACGCTGTACGTTCATCAACTCATTGTTTATCCTATCAAAGGATGCGCTGGGTACCTCATCCCCGAGAAAATGTCTTGGAACGTCTCTTCAACCGGTCTTCAGTGGGACCGACAATGGTGCCTGGTCAATTTGGAGACTGGATTGCTGCTTGACCAGAAGGCCGCGCCTCACCTCTTATTGATTCAGCCAGAGATATATACTGCCAGCGAGGAACTACACATCAGCGTTCACCACTCGCTACAGAAGCAGCCCAAACTCCGGAAAACTATAAAGGTCCCACTCGCCGACCTGCCGCCCGGGCCTAAGATGGAAGCTCCCGTCTATTGGACCACGGTCACTAAGGAGGTGAGAAGCCACACCAGTGACACGGTCCACCAGGTCCGGGTCTATCAGTCTCCTGATATCACAAGCTTCTTTACAACAGCAACTGGCGTACCGTGCACACTGGCGAGAATTGTCGGCCTAGAAAACTTTCAGGGATCATCGCAGTGGCGCAAAGAACCTACTGTACCGCGGACATCCAAACTGACGGCGTTTTATAACAAACCCTGCAAAGCCGATCAACATCCAGTGCCTGTCTCAGTGGCCAAGTCGCACGTTCGACGGTCCCGCTCACTTCCAGTAGCCTTAACGGAAACATTACGTGTCAATGCTTTATTGTATTCTGATACGATTGACCGCCCGACATATTGTTTGCTGCGCATTGAAGGTAGAGGTCAGGACGAGTCCCAACCCTTTCAGTTCACACGAATGAAGGCAATGGAGATAACCGCTGAACGACAAAGTCCTGAGATTTTCAAAGCTACTAGTACGGCGGGACAAATTGTTTGGAAGTCTGACAATGTTGACGGTGAAGATGATAGAAAAGAGAATACACCCTCTGTAGATAGGATTTTCCCTATTTACAAGGGCCAGATGGTGCAGTTCTAGATAGGGGTATTGATTTTACTTATTCAGAAGCCATCACCAGGGATATTTAGGGTGAATCACCTGCTATTTCTAAGAGAGGAATTTCTAAGGGCTTTAAATTGAGACGACTAGTCAGGTCTTTCTAGTAGTTAGTTAACTAGATATCTTAGATAAGTGGCCACACCGGCCACCCAATACACAAGCTAAAGCAGTTAGGTATGCCCAATGATTGAAATAAGCGATTTATAAGTACCTATTATCAGAAAAAGAGAAGAAAAGGAGGGGGGTCAAAGGTATTGAGAATGGTAAGAGGTTGAAAGGGTTGTCTGAGACGAAAAGAATTTTCGATGAGCCGATATAGGCCATGTGACCCACAATGCTGAATACCTAATCAACTTTTTCGTCTCAGGCAGCCGAATATCGACCTCAGCCCACCTGGAACCTGGTGAAAACAAGTTCAGAAGTTACAAAATCGCAAAGGCCCTCCGCCTATTTATCGACAGCTTCTGAACAAGCTCAAAAAACCCTTGTTCAGCTCATTAAACCTTTCTGGTTCTGATCATTGGCGACTGCTGACGACCACCGGCGACCATTGGTGACCACTGGCGACGTTGGCAACTACCGGTGACCGTACATAAACAGAGCACCCCCATCGTTGGCACCCGATCTAGATATCGTTTCAGAAAAATATTCGGGTTAAGGGCCCTTCAACAATTAACTGTGCGGACTCAGGTGGCTTAAGTACGGCTGAGCGGACGGGAAGCCCTATTCTCCACACCCTGTAGTCGTATGTAACAGACATAAGAAAGTAACAGGATATATAGGGAGTTGTGTGAACAGTAATGGTGAAGGAATGGGAAATGTATAGATGTGGTGTCGCAGAATTAGAAGCTCTCAAGGCCGACACGGTTCAAAGGTTCAATGCTGCGGGACGTCTCTTGGGTTAGATTTCTATATTATTATACAGGTTTGGTAAAAGAATTGAGCGACAACTTGATTCTGCTATATAACAGCACGAAATATTTAATACGCCCTGTCAAGGCGTTTTGATTCAGGCTTTTTCTCTGGTAAAACTGCGGACCCGGACCGCTTCCGGGGATCAAGTGGAACCAGTCCGGAGTGCATCCGGAGGCACCGATTTATACCGACATTCCCCAAACTTCCTCTCGTTTTCTCTCCATTCTATTCCCAAATAGCAAGATCAACCATGCCAATCAACAAGAACGACTCAATCCTGATCGTCGGAGCCGGCGTCTTCGGCCTCTCGACGGCCCTGGAGCTCACTCGACGAGGATACACCAATATTACCGTCATCGACCGCTTCGCCCCACCGGTCCCCGACGGCAGCAGTGTTGACATCTCACGCATCATTCGAATCGACTATGCTGATCCCTTGTATGCTAAAATGGCCCGGGAGGCCTACAGCGGCTGGAATGCCGAGTACAAAGATTTCTTCGACGCCTCTGGCTACGCCATTCTCTCCGAGGCTTCCGGACATCCGTACATCGAGAAATCGAAACAGATCATCTATCAGGCCGGCGGGAAGGTCGACGAATTCCACGATATCAACACTCTCAAGACTATTCGTCCGGCTGTCCAAGCCAACCTTGCCTCCGCACATGGCTATCACAACCCTATCGGCGGCTGGGCCAACGCTGAAGGCGCGATCCAGCGTCTCGCGACTGAATGCAGTGCGGCAGGCGTATCGTTCATCACTGGGTCTCGCGGTACCGTCCAATCCCTGCGCATGTCAGGGGATCGCGTAACCGGAGTCAACATCGTCGACGGATCCCATATCTCCGCCTCCCACGTCATCCTAAGCACGGGAGCCTGGTCAACTCGTCTCCTAAACCTCGCCCACGCGGCCTCTGCATCCGGCCAGCCCGTCGGTTTCATACAATTGACACCCGAGGAAGCCCACACTCTAGAAAAGACCCCCGTGATCGTGAACCTCACAACCGGTGTCTTCGCATTCCCGCCAACACCCGGATCCAACATACTCAAACTAGCCCGCCATGGCTTCGGGTTCGCGACGGCCCAGAAATCCCAAGTCACGGGCTCGACTGTCTCCGGACCGAAGCCGACGGAAAGTAACGCGGCGACGGGATACCTGCCACAAGACGCCGATCAGGGTCTCCGGGAGGGATTGAGACAGTTGTTTCCCGCGCTCGGGGATCGGCCGTGGGTGTATCGGAGAATGTGTTGGTATACGGATACGCCGAAGGGCGATTTCATTGTTGATTGGCATCCGCAATTGAAGGGGTTGTTTGTGGCTACTGGGGGTGCTGGACAGTAAGTATCTCTTCTTTCACTTTTCATAATTTGTTGTTTGCTGCGTAGGTTAAGTTGGGATAACCGCTGACGAGTTTCTCTAGTGCATTCAAGTTCCTGCCTGTGTTGGGAAGATACGTGGCCGATTGTGTGGAAGAAAAGGCGGAGGCTTCGTTGAGGGAGAAGTGGAGATTGGAGAAGCCAGAAGGAAAAGTAACGGGAGAGATCAGTATGGCTGGGGACGGAAGTCGAGGAGGGCCTCCTTTGAGAAAGTTGACTGTGTTAGAGCAAGCTAAGCTATGATAGAATCTGGTGTTGTGGAAGAAGTTATATTTATGCTGCTTGTTTGTTGCGAAAATTGGAGAGCTCTTGGAGATATAAATATGGAAATGTGGAGGATTCTGTATGATCACGAGCTTTTTGAATATCTCTATGGACAACGAATATCTCGACTGCTACTTTTCAAGCGACACAAACTCACTTGTCTCAGCCACTGTCTCTGCTAACCCTTGCATGTAAAGACCCCCCAATAAATCACCTAATGCAACATTCACTCCGACTTCCCTCTTAAACCAAGCTTTCAAGTCCACTGTCACCAACGAATCAACACCATACGAAGCCAACGTCCGGGTAGGATCGATCTCCTTAGCCGAAATCGCCATTACTCGCGCCAGCTTCATCACGATTGCCTTCGTGACAACTTCCACAGCCGCTAGGATGGAGCGCGCAGATCTGAGCGCCTGGGTCACTGGAACCTCGGCCTCCTCTTTCTCGGCACCAGAAGAGTTGGCTATCGCGCGGAGTGGGGAGAAAAGGGGATAAACCATGAATCCAGGCAGAGGAATGGAGAGTCAATAAAAGTCTCTCGCAGAGCGGACCCCTGCGACTGTATGACATGTTTTGGGTATTTGGGCTGCGCCCCAACGCGGATCCATGTGGTATTCCAGGATCGAATGAAGCAAGGGCTCGGAAATTGCGCCGTAGGAGAGGGCTATTGGGAGGCGGTCTTGGTTTTCTGCAACCCAGCCAACGGAGAGGACGCTACCAAGACTTATTGGAGTGGCGGGATAACCTTTATGGATGAGCGAGGCGGCGAATGCATCCAGGAAAACATTAGCGGCTGAGTAGTTTGCTTGTCCACGGTTACCAATTATCCCGGCAGATGAAGACAGGAAGATCAGAAAATCGAGAGGCGAGGCGGAGAGCGCGGAGGCAATTTTAATCGTTCCTTGTACCTTGGGAGTGATGGCAGAGAGGAACTGCCCGTGGGTCATTTTGCTGAGCATGGAGTCCTATATCCTTCATTAGCTTTTTCATTGGAATGGTTCAGTTATGGGCGGGAGAGACATACCTCAGGTACCATAGAGCATTGCAAGCACCCTTTAATTGGAGGCATGCTTTTCTGGCAGCTGTTGAACGCTTGTGTCACGGCATCTTTGTTGGTCACATCGCATGTCAGATCAGACACAATACAGCCTGAGCCCAACAGCTCCGTATAGAGATTTTTAGCGGCAACACTGCTCGCGCCCGACCTTGAAATGAAGATGAAATTTCTCGCACCGTGAGTCACCATCCATCGAGCGACACTTCGGCCGATACCGCCAAGCCCACCTACAAGCACATAAGATGCCCTTGAGTCGAACTCGTAACCCCCTAGAGGTCACACAGCCATCTGCTCACGTTAGCAAGACATGTTATCAATAATTTGTTAACGACAATGGACACACATGTATAACATCGGTTGCTCTTGGTTCAAGGACCGAAGTGCCGGAGATGCCTCGTCTGATGTCGGCGAGAGCAGGTTGGAGATCAGAAAACCCCCAGACAATTGGCAAAAGAGGCTGAATCTCCTTCTCTGCCAAGAGATGTGTTATCCTTTGAATTATTTCCTGAAGAGCTCTCCGCTTTTCAATGGCCATCGACCTATGTCGACGCTAGAATAGTTCCGGTTTCTAGAAGAAGCAGACAGAGGTCCAACTATGCCCTGCCCGTGTAAGCCTATGAGACTTCCAAAAGAAAGTGTCTGCTTTCAATTCGCCGGCGACCAAGGTTCAGAATAGTATCTATCTTCTGGCTATTGGCGTTTGCCGGGAGCCCCCTCGCCCAAGACTGTGCGTCCAGGATCTGGCGACGAGGAACTCCTTGCTCGAGTTATAATTGTCTTTTGGCGTCATTTGAAATTGTACAATAGACTCTAACTCCAAGATGCCGGGCAACTTGGACTACGACATGTCCAATACCTCCCGCGGCGTGATGAATTAGGTTGGTCATCCTCGATAAAGAAGTATCCATTCGGATGGTGAGAGCCATTTGAGGTTACCTTGACCGGGTGGTTGATCTGCCGCAGCTCCATCAATTTAGATCTTGATCTTGAACTTGAATCGATAGACTCGTTGGCTGCGGAGGCGGGAAACAAGCGATTGGTGAGTAGAATTCTATCCTGGAGTCGATACTCTGCATTTCGGGGCACAAGAGCCCCAGATGTAAACGCACGATTGCATATATTGACAACATTCAGGGCAACTTCATGCAAGTCGGGAAGTCGTTGTCTGATGTCTAGCATGAGGAAGTTGATGCCGTCGTGGTCTCGCTCCCAGCGCGCCGTTCGAACGAGCCCAGCTGCCATGGCAGACTTAGGCGGTTCATCAACCTCGCAAGTAGTCCAGAGTAGATTGGTAATGGTGCCCAAAATTTACTGGAGCTTCTTAAACTCCGACTCCGAGAGCGCGGAGAGGTCCAGACCCCGGTATCCGAGCAACACAATTCCAATTGCGTTGATGTGATTTGGTGAAACATCATTCAGGTCGACTAGAGCGCAAGTGCATTCGGTCGTTGACATCTTTCCAGCAATCAGGCGAGCTAATTCATATTGCCCATTGTAAACAGAGGAGTAAATGATGCTGCAGAGACGTTTTGTGGACAGCGATGAGGGTACTCTTGTTGCCACAAAAGCAGACATTTCGTAGACCTTGTCATCTGTGTCTTTGATTGTTAACCTAGTGTGAAAGCCGGCATTCTTCAGTTCCTCGTGCAATTGTTCTTCGTCAATCAGGGGATTAAACCGTCGATAAGGCTCAACACTGCGCCACCATCCTGGGAGTAAGCCGAACCCCAAAGGGGAGCACATTAGTTCCGGCTTTACATTCTCGATCACAATAAGATCACCGCCACTGCTGACATTAAATATGGTAGAATCAGAGGAATTTTGTATACTCACTCCTTGAGCAGTTTTTTAGCATTATTCAAACATACACTGAGCTCGGCCGTGGCGTGAAGAACCTACATGCGGTTAGTGTCCAGCGGTAATCGAAGGTCATAAGAACGTACGTGTCGCGATAACCAAATCATAAGATCCCAGTTCAAATCCTTGCTCAGCCGGATCTTTCTCAATGTTCAGTAGCGCAAAATGTCCGCCCAATCTGGGAATCGCTCGGTCGCTTTCTCAAAAAAGGCCACTGATATATCAGTAAAATGTTAAGTAGAAACAGATGAGACAAGGCCTCCTCCATCCAGTCTAAACTCGCACCTTGACCCGTAAATATGAACTGGATGACCTTCGGGCCTACCAATCGGCGATGAGGACGGATATTCTAAAGCGACTTTTGTAGGTTCTCGGTTGTGTCAGCGACGTGATAGCTGCGTCAATCAAACAGTGTGCGTTTGACGTTTAGCGTGTGACACAGTTCATTCATGAAAGCTTCTTCCAAGTCGGGGTCTCTCTGGAGATCTAATGATTCAAGGTAAAATATAAGTGATGCCGCATTTCGATCCAAACCAGCTTCATCGAATGCCGAAAGAATAAACACACGGTTTTCCGGAATCAAACTGGGAGTAGAAATGCCGCTTATGCCATTCCATTGTTCGTTGGCTAAGAGGCTCAGATCGTTACTCCTTGCGCCATATACGCTTTTTTCAATCATTCTCAAAGAAGCGCTTGTCACTTGCAATGTTCCAGTTAACTGAGATTCAAGGAACTCCCCAAGAACCCCTCGATATCGTCCAGCACGACATGTGCATTAGTACTGCCAAACCCAAACGAATTCACTAGCGCGCGACGAATATTAATCCTAGGCCACGGCCTTGCTTCTCGCGCAAACTTCAGATCCTTCCTTTGGATGATTCGCGGGTTCAATGTCTCTAGACCAGCCACGGGCGGAATGATTTTAGACTCCACAGTCAGCGCAGCATATATAAGACCTGCCAGTCTAGCTCCTCCTTCCAGATGGCCGACGACTGATTTCACGGATCCGACGTACAGCGGCGTTTCACGGGGCTGTTTGCTCAAGGCATATACAATGGCCTGCACCTCCAATGGGTCACCGACCGGCGTTCCGGTACCATGAGCCTCGACATATCCTGTTTGCGAGGGATCAAGATCTGCGGCTTTGTAAATTTCACGGATCAGTTGCTCTTGAGCTGCCACGCTAGGAACGATGATTCCCGGCGTTCTTTCGTCCTGATTTGATCCAGAGCCTCAAATCACGGCGCGAACGCGGTTGCCATCTCGAAGAGCGGCGCGTAGTGGCTTGATGATCACTGTTCCGAGACCTTCGCCACGTCCGTATCCATTTGCTCTCGCGTCAAAACTCCAGTACTGCCCAAATCCGAACATATATCGATCCTGACCGTTGCCGATAAGTTGATTTACCTACAAAACACCCCAGTTACCACAGATTCCCTCCTGCGTGATTCAAATTGAGATACTGGCTGCTGATATCTTGGCTAATCGGCCAATATTCTAATTATGTTCTTCCTACAGAATCTTATAGAAAGCGAGCTCGTAGCCAAGCCAGTTCTTGTGAGAACTATGACTACTCATTTGGGGATGAGATCATTGAATATGGGCCGGCCCTATCTTTTGATTCCGACCAACCTTACTAATCTGCATAGTGAAGATATCGCCTCAAACACAAGATAGAGCCCACAATCTGGATCTAGGTACCGTATTTCTGGTTTGTTGTCGCAGATTAGCCTATTCCCATTGTCAATCGGCTCCTCCGGTCTACCAATGCATGCAGGAAAGGCGGACAGGATACTGACTAGATTGCCCCCTCGAGTCCAGGATATCAACGCCACTTTTCCTGTGATGTTTACCAAATACATGATCCAGTGTATCAATTAAGCTGTTTTACATATGCTCCGGCATCGGCATGATACAAGCTTTAGACCATCAGATATAGGGGGAAAGCTAAAGACAAAAAAACCTTAATATAGAAATGCTAATGGCAAGTTCAAAAGCCACAAACCATCGATCTTCCTCAACTGTCCTTTGATTACAACTTCTGTTTTGCGATGGATGACACCCTCTTCTCTACGGATCTGCCAGGAGACTGGACTGAGATGCTGGCACAATTTGATGGGAGTGGGACGGGCTCAACAACACAGTTTGAGTCGATGACATCCAGAAAAGGTTTTGAATCGTAAGAAACTTGGATTTCTCTCATTGAAAACATGATCTAATAATATAAAGAAATAATTCTTTCGTGACTCAGTCAGGGCAAGCGAGCGAGCAATTTTCTTATCAGACTACCACGTCGCAATTTCATGAATCTGATCGAATCCACGGGGTGCAATGTCTCGACGCTGGTAACGACGAGCCAGATCTTCCTACACTCTCGTCCAATCATCAGGATTTGTTCAGTCTCCCAATTACATTGTCTACCAGAGACCAAGAACAGCCAGATACTTCGACACAGCCCAGTTTGGCTGAAGCGCATTCTCCCTTCAGTGAGCCACACGCCACGTTTGGAAAAAGTGTTGAGGTCAAACAACTGCGACAAAAATATCATGAAAAATACAAGGAGCGCAACCGGTTGGCTGCCGGGAAGTCGCGACAGAAACAAGTCGATTTAATCGCTCTACTAGAAGCCAAGAGACTAGATGAAGAGCGGCGAAGACGGGAATTAGAGGACGAGATCCGGAAAATTCAGAAGGATCTTCTCGCGATCAAAGAAGAGCTTCATAATCACATTCGCGTATCGAATTATATCAACATGATGTCGCAGGGTACTCGCCTTCAAACGTTGGGACTCCTAGCACAGGGTATTCTTCGATAGGGGGGGCTCCGATTACGCATTTTTTTGAGGCTGGGTCGTCTGAGGGTACAGGGCTTCTGGGACAAGCCTTCACGGAAATGCTACTTTAGCATACGTAGTATCGGTTTAATACTTTGAGCAATGCATGTCGGGTTCTTAGGATAAAATTTTACAGAAATACTACTTCAGCATCGTGGTATTGGTTTAACAGTTAGGGTAATATATACCGGGGGGTTTAAAGAGAAATCTTTGCAGAAATGCTACCTTAGCATACCTAGATCATCTTGCTCGTGCCAGTCTCACCCAAGCAACCTTTTACCACTAGAAAGCGTCGGCCCTACGACCATACTCTACAGGCAGAAACCACGATGATCGCCACCGTAGTGGCTCTAAAATGCATAGTTCAGTCAGACGAGCGGTGTTAAAAAATTTTGAACCGGCCCCCTCTTTTAGTTCGCACCAATAAGTTAGCTTGCATGTCAGGCAAAGACAGGGGTTTGAGGCATGATGCTGGGCGCAGAATGATACCTTACTTCCCGATCAAAAAACCTCTTTCGCGGCTCATGTAAAGAGCCGGATCTCGATTAATTATCGCGGTGTATTGGGCGCATTTTAGCCACTGCGCCGCACGAAAGTGCATCTTTAGTCTATGACCCTTTGCATAATCGAGCGGATTGCGAGTGGAATGCACCCTGGTCGATTCCTGCATTCAAAATTCTGGGATCACCTGCTCAAGATTTAGATCCTGCCTAAGATCAAGATACCCTGTCCTCCAAGGTGGATTATCCGGCATTCCCCTCTTATCATATTCTCCACCGAGCGATCCTATCACTGCATCGAGTGTTGCCCCCATTTAGGCATGGGTGATGAATCGATCTGTACCGCAACTCCGCTTTCAATATCATCTTCACGTGAACATTCTTTTTCTGGCTGGCCCTTTTGTTGTACACGTATTCAATGCTGCAGGTAAATGTCTCGTGGGTTACATTGTGCCGAGCTGCTCGTACAACACTGCGCGACGTTGCATGTTTAAGTGGTTGGGGAAGGTGATCAATAACGTGCGAGTATTGTCTCTTCTGTTACGCGCTTTCTCTTCACTATACGGACTCGATAACCGACTAGGATAGATTTAATGAGGATCCCATCTAGTTATCCTCCCACCCGCCACTGAAATAAAAATACGGTTTGGCAGAGTATGTGATGCGCGTTGTTAATTTAAAATCGTGCGTTGGCTAGCAATGAGACCCTAGTGCACATACGGCTCGGAGGACGGCCGGGCCTGCCTTATGATGAGTCGACCTCGGTCACAATGATCACAAGTCTCTCCCCCGCCATATTCGTACTCTACTTCAAACAACTCATCCTTGAGCGTCTCTGAGCGGCGAAAATAGGACCTCATATCTGGGTGCAATTGCAACGCATTCGCCAGAATGGCTGGGATTCGTCGAGTTCCCATTTGATACTCTGACTCTATTTTCCCAATAAAGTTCAGCAAGAAAGGAGGTGGCTTGTTGAGGGAGCCGTCTGTTCGAAGATACCATTCCCAACAATTTTGCCAAAGTCATATTGAATTATGCTCGAGGATGAACCTATTGGCCGACTGACCACAACATCACCCAGTCTAATATCGATGCTGCCGCCAGGGGCTCCTCCACCGATACCAACCATCAATCCGTATTCGATACCGTGGAAGGTGCTTTTCATCTGCGTTACGACGGCAGTTGCGGAAACCCATACACGCCAGCTGTTAGAGACGCGATGACAACATTGTGCCCGTGGATTGCTCCCAAGGTGTAGGCATTGTAGTCTGTGGAGGGTTGAGAAACGCTTTGGTGGGATTCATCCAACATCGCTACCGCTGCTGCCCTTTCCAGTGGGAGGGCGCAAATCCAGCCAGCCTTGTAGTCTTCGTGGTACAGCTGTTTCATATTGCGATGCGCTTTCAACAAGCTCAAAGGGAGCAGAATGGGTGTGATGTGCTTCTAGTTGTGGGAAGAAAATGTGAAGAAAATGGAAAGAGAAGGGGAAGGGAGAGGTTGAAGACAAGGGAGCCCGACTAGAGTCGACCAGCGATCAACCCCTGTCTGTAGATGCACCAATGAGAGGAGGATTCATGCAGGCGCTTCACTTTTTCCGCTCCCGCCGCTCTGTCTTGGTGTTCTTTCCACATTCAAGCGTCGCTGGGTAGCTTGGTCCACGCCTTGCCAGAGTAGAGAACACCAACTGTTGTGGCGAAGCTATACGCTTGAGTCTTTGCCAGTGAATTAGCTTAATAATCGATTGTTTCTAACTATTGACAAGCTAAAGACAATGTGGAAAGCAAATAAGGTATGCTCCTTCCTTATCGGGTTGATCTTAAGATGTCTAGATCGTGTCATTGAAGCAAAGCAACCATAGCTGATGGTTTCCTTTTCTACCTTGCTTTCCTCGTGTTTACGAACTCATATACACTTTAAACAAATATAGATCAGCCGTTCATTGAACAGCTACAACTAATCAGAAACACTTCTTATGCCCGTCCGTAAATCTGCAAATAAATTCCACTGTTCATATTGTACGCTTTTGCTAAGAGACCCAAGTATGGACTTACAGAAAGTTAGAATAAGTAGAGCTCCCGCTCAACACGTTGTTTACTGTAAGCTGGTCAAAATCTCATAGCTGTCTTACTAGTCATCCTAGGACGATTCAACCCTCACATAGGAGAGATAAAGATTGGGTCTTGGAACGGCACCCGATCCCAATCACACATCACACCGTCTTCGGGGACAGTTCCTCCCAGGTAGTCTTTCATGTTCTTAAGGTAGCAGTCGGATGCGGCGGTAATGGCCGTGTGCTAGTTTATCATGTTAGTTTGTCTTGTGTGGAAACTTGCTAAGTCGATCAACTTACCCCCACGTTGCTCTGCGTTAAAAGCACGGAGCCGGCGAAAGCTTGGGACATTTTCTTGGCCCTGTGCTGTATTAACTTCATAACTTTCTAGGTGGTGAGCATGGTACTTACCCTGCTAGCGGAGTCACCGGATCGATGGTGTTACTTGCGAAAAGGATGGGGAATGCTGTGTTTTTACTGGATGGGGGTAGAGAGCCTGATCCAATTAGAATCTCACGATGAGTATAATTGAATAGATGTCACATACCGCGGAAGCTCGATCCAGTGGGAAGGTCCATCTCAATCGCACTGCATAAGGCTCGAGGTGCGATTTCCGCCATAGCCTCACCAAGATACTTGCTGGTTCCTGTAAGATACGACACGTAGTCGTTCAAGGAGTCCAGATTGGCCAGAGTAGCGAGACCATAAGTATCGACACACGATATGAGAGCCCGTGCGTCGTTGGACGACTGTGCCGATAGCCAGCTACCCATGGACGCGATTGCGCTGCCGTCACCTTGTTCCAACGCGGCGAGGCCTTGTGCAAGCATGGGGAACATCATCAAAGGTCCATAAGAAGACAAAGTCATCGAAAAGACGAGCTCAGAGTATGAGGCCCCGGTAGTAGTCTCATTAGATGATGTCGACTTGAGACTTGACAGGAGATTATCCATTCGGTCGGTGATATTCCGGGTAGATGGGCCCCAGAAAGCGCACTTTTCAGCTCCAGCTTGATGGCAAAATTTCGGGAACGTGAGAATCGCTTTATCCGAGTCCTCGGAATGCGATTTCCACTGGCCATTATAATAGTCCTCGCCGTCCATAACACCATCCAGAATCAACCGACCCACGTTTTCCGGGAATAACGACGCAAAAGTCGATCCGATGACGGTTCCGTAGCTCATTGCATAAAACCATAGTTTAGCGTCCGATTCCGACTTTCCTGCCGCTTTGTTTTCCGCTTTCGCAAATGTCAACAAGTCCTGCGCGACGGCCGGTGTGCTTATATATTTCGAGGTTGTGTTTTGTTTAAGGGTGTCGGTGCACCATTTTCCGTAGGACTCAATAGCGGAGAAATGTATCGATGGCGCAGCAGGCGATGCATCTACAACTTCGTCGTAGAAGCTAGTGGTGAAATACTTCCGGGCTGCGGAGTCGCCACGAAAACAGTCCACGGCGAGATCGCTATTATTGACACCGCGCGGGTCGAACGAAACAAGGTTATATTGGGATCCGAATGCCTGGCGAAGTTCCGAGGGGTATGCGGTCACGAAATTAATTCCCGATGCGCCGGGGCCACCTGTTCATGGGTGGTTAGCGATTTTCGTGCAGACAAGCTAGCGCACAAACCGTTGTTCAAGACCAAGCTCTGCGCTGAATCCGAGTCTTGCTCGGCAGGGAGCTTGATAAATGCCACAGACGCGGTGCCTATATCAGGGTTTTCGTAGTCAAGAGGAACCTGCAGCTTTGCGCAGAGATAATCGTCGAAGCATGACGCCCATTTCAGGTCAGAAGAGGGCGTGATCTAGCTAGTCAGTCTCGCGCTCCAGCCTCAGAAAAACGATAGTGAGAGGCATACGTCATTCCAGTTATCGATGCTGCGCTTCGTTACGGGTGTAGCATTTGCGCCGATCGCTAATAGCGCAACTCCCAGGTGTAGAGCACCGGATGGCGACAATCTTAACCCATGCATCGTGTCTTATGAGGTGGTTTTTTTGTAAGGTTTTGGACAGCAATGTGGGAAAGGAGAGAAAATAATAACACTCGCTCACTAGAGGACGATAGGCGAAGGCTAAATGTAAACAAGTTTGGGTTAGGTTCGTCAGAAGCTGGTTCACCCCACAGCTACGGGGCTTCCGGGCTTGGATATCCAATAATGGCTCCATCCTCCCTTAGCGGCGATCTATAGACGACGATCATTATCCCCCATGAGCGATTTTACCGCATTAAGGTCAGCGCGAGTCAAGATCGGTGGGCCGTGATGTAAACAGCATGAGCTGTGTGAAGACAGCGGCCGTGGCATACTGCGGCTGAAAAATAAGGACTACCCCGTGTATTCCCCGACAATAGTCTCATAATTCTGGGTGCTAAATGGTTTCACAGAGTCACAGACCTATTCTCGCCATCAGAATTTTGATCATCTCGGTCGCGTAGAAGGGTCATATACCGGCATAGGTCTACCAGACTTACGCTGTGTAGAGGTGGGCATTTACCGGGATCCAAGCTCAATAATCACCGTCAGGCTCCACCGACGCGATGATGTCGTTGCTCCATTTATAGTATTAAATAGCCTCTTATTATGGAAGTTTCGAAAATCCGGCATTATTGTAGTTGCGTTCAGGCACTAAGGCGACAAGGCGATATGCCCTGATTGGGTTATATCAGCCCTACTTTATCATGAATCTTTCGTAGTTAGCAGGGTCATCGCAGAATGTAACTAACCCGCCTTCTCTTGTTTAGTTTTCTGTCGTTCTGGCTCTGGTAATACCTGTTGCACAATCTGTGAGGCGCATATTAAGATAGAACCAATTCCGGGATATAGTCATTATGCTTTGGTTGAAAACTGCATGAGTTGCAAAAAAGCCCGGCTGGTTTAATCGTAGAATCTCATCAAATAAAAATTCAGATCGCCTTATCATGACAATATTCTAAGCCCCGTCGCATTGTTCGCAATTCTTTGTTTTTGAGTTTTATAAACAACTTTCCTTACGTGAGCAACCGGGTTATCTTTGTTCGGATATCATCTGTCTTGAGGACATTGTTAGTATAAGTATAGCCTTAAAATCCTTTCCTAATCGTCTTTTTACATCTCTAAGTCACAAAGAAACAACTATTGTCGTGCAGTATCATTAGGAGTGCTCATTTCACAGCGCCTACAACTACAAATACCTAGTCGCCTAACAAGCCGTATCAAATTCATCCCCTCACCACATACCCAAAATGTCCACGTCCTCGTCCTCGTCCTCGAATATTACACTCATGGTAGTTATCTCCAATGTCGAGGAATACTACCGGCACTGGGGCCTATTCCTCGACGACTTCGAGAACCCTCAACCGGGTCACAACTTCCTCCAAGTCAAAGGCCCTCTGGGGGGTCACTGGTACGAATCAGAAAGGTTCAACAACTGGTACGAAGTACCCGAAGTAAAGGATCTGGTTTATCTTTGCGAGGTGAATGTCAACCTCCTCGACATAATCCGGGAAGTTGCTCAGAAGATCCCCATCGGCAACGACATTCCCATTTGGAACTCCCAGGATTATGTGGTCTCGTTGTTGGATAACCTGGAAGCCCGGGGGATTTTGGATTCTACTGATGAAAGATACGCGCAAAAGAAGCGCATCGTTTGCAACATGCGACAAGGAGTGAATTTGAAAGTCTGGTAGTCGATTTTTTTTTTTTTCTCTCTTTTCTAAGCTATTTCTGTTCTAGCGGGTGTGGCCTGGATCAAATTGTATATGGAGTTGAATTGTCATATTTTTATTTTCCTTTCAGACCGGCTCAAGGTATTATTTTCTTTATATTTATTTTCTCGAATTGTAATTTTCTTTTGTCCGTATATATAATTTATCTTTCAAAGCTCAAAGATTGGATGTCAATCTCTAATAAGGGAAAACCCCCCGATGCCGTAGCCCTTTCGATGTAGACGTTTGCGCATGCGTGCTATTAGCGGGTATGGTCTCGGTGAGATGACTACTTCGTAACCATCCTCAGATTGGACCTGTAACAGCATTCAGTAATCTAACCTATTGGCTTAGGCTATGAGGCTTCTCGAGATTGTCAAAGAATCAACGGCTTACCCGGTAAAAGTTGAACACTTCGCATTCGGGACCGCAAACCCGCAAAATTGCAACTGAACCCGCACCAAACCGCTGCGGGGCGAGTTGAACCCCTGCCTCTAGATGCGGTTACGGGTTGAACCCCTCGCAAGAATCCGCAGGGAACCGCACCCGACTATTATGATATAATTTATTAAACCAAACTTTAGATATCTTTATATTTTAATTCCATGTTCTCACATAATTTTATACAAATAATATAGGCTACTTTGCGGATATTGTAGTCTAACCCGCACCAAACCCGCACCGAAACGCTGCGGTTGCAGGTTCAACCTTTGAAACAGGGACCGCCCGAAACCGCACCGATGCAATAGGGGATTTCCCTCCTCTATTACCACATAATTGACCAGAGACTCATTCGTGTTCTAGTATTCTATTATTCATGATTCATAAGCACCTGAAGAGCCTCAACGTAAGTGACGTTGAGCCGTTGGGGTCGGCTTGGTAAGGTAAGCTCATCAACAATTCAACATCCTAGTTTAATTGCGGCCCGTGTCGCTCGGCCCGTTCATAAAAGCCAGATTAAACTGTTAAACATTCATCAGACAATTCTAAACCCATTGAAACTGAACAAAAACTATCTCAAAAAACACAGTCAATTTGAATTGTCACCATGGTTTCCGGTAGTTGTTTTTGCGGACAAGTCCGGGTCGAGTGCAGCGAGCTTCTCACATCTGTAAGTAACTAATCCTCCTCAAAAGACCCCATGATAATACTCTAACCACGTCGCACCAGGCCCTCTGCCACTGTACCGGGTGCCGCAAACTCACCGGAACGCTATATACATACAGTTTTGTCGTCAAGACACCCAATCTAACGGTCATCGGGAGCCCCAAAGAAGTAGACAGGACCGCCGACAGCGGCAACCACATAAAGAACTATTTCTGCTCGAATTGCGGTATGTAACATGCCCTCCAACACATTTTTAGCGGACTGCAAAGCCTGTGAGCCAGACAATAAAATTGACCACTATTTTTAGGAACTCCGCTATACGGACACAAGGTGAAGGCCACTGGAGAGCCCGAGGACATCACCGTCCTGCGGGCAGGAATCCTTGATGACGTGGAGATTCTGAATCAGCGCAAACCGCAGGTGGAGATTTATACGGAAGCTCGGATTGCTTGGGTCTGTCCGCTTGAGGGGGCTGGGCAGTTTACTGGTATGTTGCCTGTATGAGCAGGGGTTTCTGTTTGGGGATGTTGTGAGAAATCTTGTCTCATTTGGGACTGCATATATATAATTGCCTCGGATGTTAGCTGGGGCTAGCGAGAAAGCATCATAACAAAATGAAAAAAAAAAAAAAAAGATGTGAGAAACATATAAATGGCATTTAAGTCGAAGTTCTCGTTCAAAGAGAAAAGAAAGCAAAAGGTTCGCCAGATATCAATACCCACACGAGGGAAAATTGGCACTAAGCTCAAAGGAAGTATGTTGTAACGCTTTCTCCTTCATTGAGAGGAACCATTCAATTCGCGAGGCCTGCCAAGACACAGAATAATGAAAAGTAGGAGTCTTATTATTATTTCTCAACCCCGCCTTCCAACAATTCGTCTCCGTGGCGCAATCGGTTAGCGCGTTCGACTGTTAATCGAGAGGTTGTCAGTTCAATCCTGACCGGGGACGTTCTTTTTTTTCTCTTTCTTTTTGCTCTCTCTATCTAGTCAACTTCTTAGGCTAACTAACTTGAGCTGGCTTGTATTCGCAGTTACAGTTGGGCCAAACACTATCTCCACCATCAGCCAGCCGCCTGGGCGGAGGACGGACAGAGTAAGTAGTCCCAATGAATATCTTAACGTTTTCAATTGAAGTAGTCAGCCATTCGGTTGTTTGCTCAGTACGTATTATTAATCGCTTTGCAAGTTCAAAAAATCCAGAGAGACTCAAGAAAGATGAATGGATACTTTGACTCAAGGAGTGAGTGAAACTATACCGACCCGACTAGCAGTAACCAAGTAAAGCATAGGTCAATCAAACAACACCCAAATCAACAACTATATACCACATACCACATCACATCTCATCCCTCTCTCTACCTCCTCCTAATCAACCCATCTTTCTCCCCTTCACCTCCTCCCAATGCTCACACCCACTCCTCTTCTCCTCCCCCGCCTCCTTCCCCTCCTCAACACCCCCCCTTCTAACCCTCCCCCCATCCCCATCCTCCCCAACCCTAACGAACCCAATCCTCCACCACGGCAACGAAAACAACTTATCTGCACTCTCCATACTCCTCCCCTTACACTCCGGAAACGCCAAGAAAAACCACCCCGTCGCGAGGGCCGTAAACGCCGTAAACAAGGCAAACGGGCCCCACGCATGCATATCAACAGTCATATTCGGGAACCCCCGCGTGATGCCGAAATTAAGCAGATTCTGATACACGAACGCCAGCGTCACAACCGTCCCGCGGATCGGCGTCGGACAGATCTCGGACGCGGTGAGCGAGAACGCAGGAGCCCAGCCAATACCGTATCCGACAGCGAAGACGCAGATCGCGACGATAGCGACCCAAGCGGCGGGGGACGGGGAGGTGTTCTTGGCAGAGAGATCCGACACGCCGAGATACACGGAGAGATAGCAGAGACAGATGACGTTGAGGGCCGAGCCGATGAGGAGGAGAGGACGGCGGCCGAAACGGTCGGTCAGGATGAACGCGTAGAGGAGGACGCTGACGAGTTTGACGAGGCCGTAGATGGCGCTGAAGAGGAGGATTTGGGTGGAGTCGAGGCCGATGGATTTGAGGATGGTGGGGGCGTAGTAGGTGATGGAGTTGCCGCCGGACATGATGAAGAAGGTCTGGACGATGACGACGAAGAGGAGGAGTTTGCGGGTCGGGGGGTCGGTGATGCAGGATCCGAGAAGCGATTTGAAGGACTGGAGCGCGCTTTGGGGCTCGGCGTTTGCGGTCATCCGGGCTTGGAGCTCGTTGAATTCTCGCGCGAAGTACTCGTTGCTAGTGTCGAGGCCGCGGAGGCGCGAGAGGCTGTCGTGTGACGCTTGAGCCTGGCCCCGGAGCATCAGGTATCGAGGGGATTCCGGGAAGAAGGGGAATCCGAGGAAGAGAGCGATGGCCGGGATGAGTTGCAGGACGAGCGTGGCGCGCCATTGCCAGCTGGAAGTGGCGGGGAGGACCTCCAGCGAGGCGTAGTTGATCCAGTAGCTGCCCGACACGCCAGCCATGATGTTAATGTTATAGAACGTCGTCATCATGCCTCGCATCTCGGTGGGCGCCACCTCGGAGATATAGATGGGGCCCACGACCATGCCGAAGCCAGAGCCCAGGCCGGACAGGACGCGACCCACGAGCAGTTCAGCAAGCGAGCCAAAGTTGGCAGCCATCAGGATCGCCCCGATGGTGTAGAGGATGGCGGAGCCCATGATGACGGGCTTCCGGCCCCGACGCTCCCCAAGAGGTCCGCAAAGAAGAACACCTGCCGTTTGACCCTGTGGGACTTAGCCGGAGATCCTTGGAAGAGTAATCGAAACAACAAAGAGCAAGGAAGACATACCAACAACATCGACGAAACCACCCATCCCGAATAGTCTGATACCGTAGCCTTCGACAACTCTGTCCACCCAAAATCCCTGATAAACGGCTTCAGACTCATCGTGCCCGAGATATTCGCCGTGTTGAAGCCATGAAGGCCACCGCAGTATGAGGCCCAGATGACAGCGAGCCAGATATACACACCGCGAGCTTGAGGCGGGACCCTTTTAATGGCCTCATTAGACCAGCCTCCTCCACCGGCTCCCATTTCGTCTCGTATGAGGAGTCGGGGGGGTTAGGTTTGGAATAGAAGAATGTAGCGTAGCGGGGACAATGTCAATTCACTTCAAATAAAATGGCTCGATTGTCCGAGGAAGAAGGAGGAATCTGAGAAAGGTTCACTCGCAAACAACGTAAGAACCTTCCTGGCCTTCCCTCGTCCTGTGGCAGCAGTTCACCTCTTCCTGTTTATATCCATCACTCCCCACGCCACTCAAGTGTTGGACCACACCGGACAAGACACCAACACCTGGGCTACCCCGGACGAGCCTGTCAGCTGTGTCAACCACGCAATACAAGCAACATACAGTACCAAGACCGCCGATCCGGGGTCAGGAGCCTTCCGGGAGGGCAGAAAGCCACAACGCGGAGTGCTCCGCTGGGTCCAGTGTGGAGGCTGACCATGGTTTAGGGGTGTTCTGATTCGACGGGTCTAGTCTTCTTTTCTCTCCCTTTTCTTCTGCTACTTGGCAAATATAGCACCTCCTATCAGTTAGTTTGTGGCGAAGACTAAGGTGAAGCGAAAGGATCTACTTACTTTTACCAAATAAAGACACCGGACGAGTATTCAATGATATCTACAATCTAATTCTAAATAATTCATAAGACAGGAATCAACCGGAACGGAACACGACCGAAGTAGACAGACAGATACCTAGCGCCCCTCCCCCTCCCCAAACTCCCACAACGCGGCTCAGTTATTCCCAAACTTGGACTTAATATGGTTCAAGGCACTTCCCGCACGAAGCCACTTGATCTGGCCCGCATGGTAGCTGTGATTCAATTGGGCTTCCCACACGGCCCCCGTCCTCGGAGCAACCCTCATCGTAACGGATTTGCCAGGCTGCAGCTCCCCCTCCTCAACACCCAGCAGGGTAATCCGATCCCCCTCCGCGATGCGCTCGTAGTCTGCAGAGTCCTGGAACGTAAGCGGTAGCATGCCCTGCTTCTTCAGGTTCGTTTCATGGATGCGCGCAAAAGAGCGTGTAATGACGGCCACACCACCGAGGAATCGCGGTTCCAGGGCGGCGTGTTCGCGCGAGCTGCCCTCGCCGTAGTTGTGGTCGCCGACGATGCACCAGCGGATCCCGCGGCTTTGCAAGTCCCGCGCGATTTCCGGGACGACTTGCAGGTCGTTAGTCGACGTTACCGGGTTGCGCGTGTGGCCGAGCATTTGGGGGCCCGGCGGGAGGAAGGCGTTGGTGGCGGTCGTGAGCATGTTGTTACTGATGTTTTCGAGGTGGCCGCGGTACTTGTACCATGGGCCTGCCGGGGAGATGTGGTCGGTAGTGCATTTCCCGGAGACCTTGATCAGGAGCTCCATGTTGTTGGTGCAGGCGGGCTGCCATGCGGGAAAAGGAGTCAGCAATTGGAGACGATCGGATTTGGGGTCGACGGCGACAGAAAGAGAGGATCCGTCTGGCGGAGGTTCTTGGAATGTGTCGATGCCGGATTCATAGCTGACTGGAAGCTCGTGGCTCGTCGGGGCTGTGAACTGGAAGGGCTGCGAATTCGCAGCTGAGATGCTGTCGGTCAGAGGATTGAAGTCCAAACGACCAGAGTAGGCGAAGGCCGTCACCAACTCGGGCGACGTCACAAACGAATGAGTCGCCGGGTTGCTGTCGTGTCGGCCCACGAAATTGCGGTTGAAGCTGGAGATCACCGAGTTCTTTTCCTTCCCCTTGACGTCCACGTCTTTGCGACCCCACGATCCAACACAGGGACCACAGGAACTGCTGAGAACGGTGGCTCCGGCTTCGCGCAGCTCCTCAAGGATTCCCTCTGCTTCTGCCGTCGCGCGGATCTGCTCACTTCCGGGACTGAGCAGGAATGGAACCTTGAACTTGTTCAGCCCGGCCGTTTTGGCTTGAGCGACTAGCTGTCTGGTTTTATCTAGGTCCTCGTAGGAGCTGTTCGTGCAACTTCCTACCATGGCATGGCTTAGCTCCCCGGGCCAGTCCTTCTCCGAAGCAGCCTTCTTCAGTTGGGAGATGGGGTGCGCCAGATCTGGCGTAAACGGTCCGTTTACATGAGGTTCCAGAGTGCTGAGGTCGATCTCGATGACTTGATTATAGCGATTCTCGGATCCTTCGTCCGCAGTCAACAGGACGTCCTTGACGCCGTCCGCCGCTCGAGCTGCATACTCGCGCTTGGTGGCACCCAGGTAGCGAGACATCGACTCAGAATACGGGAAAATACAAGATGTCGATCCAATCTCTGCAGACATATTACAGATGGTTGCCATGGCCGTCGAGCCCAGCGTTTGTGTGCCGGGGCCGAAGAACTCGATCACTTGGCCCTTGCCGCCAGAGACGGTCAGGATGCCGGCCAGCTTGCAGATGATATCCTTGGTCGAGGTCCAGCCCTGCAGCTCGCCGGTCAGTCGGACTCCGACGACCTTCGGAGCGACGAGTTCCCACGGCATCCCGGACATGGCATCTACGGCGTCTGAACCACCGACTCCGATTCCGAGCATTCCCAGTCCGCCTGCGTTCGGAGTATGCGAGTCGGTTCCGATAATAAGCCCACCGGGCCTAGAATTCATTAAAGGTCAGCCTTTCACCCAGTCACCTCAGACATAGATAGAGGAAAACTCACACCGCATAATTCTCAAAAATCACCGTATGAATAATCCCGGATCCGGGCTTCCAAAACCCAATCCCATACTTTCTCGACGCGCTACTCAAAAAGTCATAGACCTCAGAGTGTTCAGTCTTCGCGCGCCGGAGATCCTCGGCCGCGCCTTTCTCCGACACAATCAAATGGTCACTATGCACAGTCGTGGGCGCCATGACGCGCGGGAGTCCCGCGCTGATGAATTGCAGCAGGGCCATGGTCGCGGTCGCATCGTGACAAGCAATGCGATCCGGTCGCAATTCCAAAATCGTTTTCCCGCGCTCAATCTCATCCAGACTCCATGTGTTTGCGTTCTGGTCGCCCTGGATCAAGTGGCTGTATAGTAGTTTTTCGGTCAACGTCAACGGACGTTGTCGCGATCGCTGTTTCAGCAGGTTCAGATTCGCCAATTGCTTGCCATAGTCGACGCCGAGAATTTTCTGGCTTCCGCTGTGGCTTGCGAAGTGTCGGATATGCGGTGGGTTGCGCATGCGCATCGCCGCCGCGGCGTTCGACAATTGAGAGAGGTTGTACTGCCTCATGTTGCAACCTCAACGCGATGACACAGGATGAAAAGGAGACGAAAAGAAGAGATGGACAAAAAAACAGAACGTGACTTTAATTTCTCACCCCCCAAAAATTAATCCGGTACAGCCAGCATCGACAAAGCCGAGGGTATCCCAAGTTAGAAAATTCAGAGAAGCTGGAGCGCTCCGAGATGGGCCTGGAGCGCTCCGGGACATCAACTCCGGAAAGTTGGAGTCGATGTCGATTTGATTCCGATAATGCATCTCCTGATTGCTTTGACCTTCTCCGCACCATTGTGGCAAGCTGGCAACTTACCTTTGATTTCTCGTCACGCTGGTTGTCAGACTCATTCATCTCATCCCTTGCGATCGTATCCTGCACAATAATGGCGGCCCGAACAAAAGCTATCCAAGCCTTGCGGCAGTTCACTTCCTGTGACGTGAGTCTTCTCTCCTTTCAATTTTCAGGAGGAACCGATGGGCAAGGACATACAATAACAGCTAATTTCAGATCGGCGATGCCCTCGTAAAACTCGGACTCCCTCACGGCGGCTACCTCTCCGGCCTGCAGATGTACAGCCCCGGGCCCGCGACGAGCGCTGCCTCCAAAATCTTCGGTCCCGCGTACACCGTGCGCATGGTCCCCGCCGCCGACAAGACCGCACCCAGCCCCGCGTGCCATTTCGCCGACGCCATTCCCAAGGATGCCGTTGTCTTCGTCTCGCAGCCCAAGGGACTAATCAGTGCATGTTGGGGCGGGTTGATGAGCACTCGGGCGCAGAAATGCGGAGCGGCCGGGGTTGTCATCGATGGTCAGTTCCGGGACGTGGAGGAGCATCGCGCGTTGAATATTGGCTTGTTTGCGCGCGGCCTGAGTATCCTGGGATCGAATACCTTCACGCGATCGTCGGAACTGAATGTACCTGTTACCTATGAGAATGTGGAAATTGATGAAAAGGTCGTCATCGAGCCGGGTGATTATATCATGGGTGATGTAGATGGAGTCGTCGCCATCCCTACTAGCACGATGGAGGAATGCGTGCGTCTGTGCCAGGAGCGGTACGAAATTGATGAGGAAACTCGAAAGTGTTTAGAAAGGGGCGATGAGATTGGGCCCACGATCAAGAGACTTAGAAAATAGGAACAAGCCTTGAGGGTATCTTAGATAGAATGGTTTAGAAACAATCGAATCACTGACTCAATGTCATAGGTGAAAAAAGTCGTAATCGTCCTATAGGTATGTCTAAGTAGGGCCAGCAGGGTGATTATCGAACGGGTCCATCGATCCGGAAAACGGATCCCAGCCCCAATCATCGTGTAAATATTCTGCCATGAAATTTTCCATCGCTGATTCGATGGGCATGACATCCAGTTCATCGAAAATCGGATCAAACGGTAAGGACAGAAAATCGAACTGGCCGTCGAATAGTGGCTGAGCGCTCATCGGCGTGAGTGCGGAGTTTGGACCTTGGAAAACGGAGGACCGGGTTTGCCGATCGATTCTTGTGCCATCGTGGGCCAAGACATTCACACTTTCTTTTCCCGCCTCGCTTTCGCCATTTTCTCGAAGATCCAATGGAGGCTTCGGTGAGCCACGCCGTCGCTGCCGGGGCGGTAGGGATGAAGCCTCTTGAGGATGACTTAGGTGTTTGGTGACCACGTCAATCATCTTCTCGAAGCTCTCCTTGCCATCGCGTACTGACGACCACCACTGGCTTCCGATACTCAGATGATTTGAGCATATTCGCAAGTCGCGCATTAATTTGGAGAAGGGGACCACGCCCTGGAAACCGCGAGTTGCCCAGGCACAGTAGACAATTGTCGCGCCAGATGAAAATATCCCATGGATGTTGCGCCAGCTATAATACAGCATGTCCCTGCTTCCGAGGATGTCGTAGATCTGTAAACGCTTGCTCGAGCTGTGGTAGCAGAGGGAGAGCGCATCCTGGGTCGGTGAAGGGAATACCTGCGAAGGCTGGAAGAGCAGGGCAATCGTGGAGTGGTAGAGCTGTTCATGACGCATCTTTTCGTAGTGCAGTTTCAACACCTCATCTTCCTCCATGTCTGCGGTGGGAAGAATACCCGAGACTTCTGCTAGCCAACAGTCGAGATCAGACTTGATCCGTGCTTGAATGTCGCTCAGGCCTGTTGGCCAGACGAAACTTCGGCTTTGAGTCGGGAGATGATAGAAGAGAATCTTAATTTCTGAAATGTGCTGGTCCAATCTAAACCGACAGATTGACAGAGCAAGATGTTGAGGCGACGGAAGGCGCACTGTAAGCTCTTTTTCCGACACGGTCAGCATGTCAGGAATGTCTGCATTTGTTGGCGGTCTGACATCAAACGTCTCGTCACGTATGCCTAGTGGACGGCCTTGGATGGTTGCTATGGATCTGCAGAGCTTGTTAGCAGCAGGAAGTCCGAAGGTTTGAGGTATTCCCTACCGGTCAAGAGAGTAGACAGTGTAGAAAATGAATCTCCGAACCGTGTTGGCGCACGAGGATATTTCTGAATGATCACTTGGCTCTCGATGAAGACCTAAATCGACGCAATGCGACATGGCCAAGTGCGATAATGTCCAAATGCTGAGACCAGCCGGCTCTATCGTGCTCTGTACAGTCAGCAGAAGGATTGCTTGCAGCGCAGCTGTCGAGATACTCGAGAAGCACTCAGACGCTGTGGATATTGCCATGCGATGAAACCTAGACGGGGAGAAGTCGTAGTTTTTCTTCCGCGTCAACACCGTTGCAGCCAGGGACATGGCCATGAATACATGGAACACTGCGGTAAAAACTGAGATTGGCGTGAACTTCTGGTCGGCCAGCATGTCGAACTTTCCGTTATATGGGAACGGTTCAACGTTATGGATCCAGCCATTCCGATCAACCGATCCATGGTATCCACGCTGCACGCATGAGCGTAGCGCGTTATATGCGTGAACCAGAGATGCCGGGTGGAGGAAAGGGTGGTCAATGTGGATGTGTTGGAAGTAGATCTCTAGTAAAATGCGTGCATCTTCGGGCGAGGGCAGTTCCTAAGGCCGATTAGTTCCATTCCTTCAGAGACTCCCAGCCAAGCTTCTCACCTTGTCCAGCCTCGAGTAAAGCGATTGGTAAATCTCGTTCGAGATATGCAGAGGCGCTATTCGGCGTGAATGCACTGCAGTAGCAAGAGCCGTCGGGTTCGACGACAGCAGTTCACTATCTAAGCCCACAAGTTTTGTAAAGAACAACCCCGACGAAGATCCAAGATAATACTTCTGACGCGAGTCGGACTGCAGCGAGAGCATTCCAAGATCAATGGCCACCGAGCGCGCCTTGGCGGAAATCGGCCGTTCCCCTTCCGAGTCCTCCATCGTGGCATGAGACCGCTTGTTGCCAGCCTCTTCTTCTGCAGATTCGACAGGAATTTCTGCAGTGCGAGAGGGGATGTCAGGGACGTCATTTTCCACTGTACGAGAACTGCCTTGTGACAGTCTCTCCATGAAATCCACATTTACCCGAGGACCCTGCGACAGGTCGAATTCGGGATGGAGAGAACAGATCTGCTGTTCCAGCCATTTTATGCGGGCGCAGCATCGTACTGCAAAACTGTGAAGGCAATATCAGCTGACTACCCTTTTATGGTTTCAGTTCGAGATGATGGATTCTCGTGCATCGCACTCACTCCCGCGGAATCGACAAGTCATTATTGCCACCATGCACATCCACACAGGGCACCTTCGCACGAGCACAATTCCCACAAGCCGGAATCGTCCCATCGCACTACAATCCATCAGCAACCGCATCAGTGTGGACTGTCCCGACGAAAACTCACTTTGACTCGTTTCTGTCGACAGCGGCGACACGCCGAACGAACTTTCCTTGGCGGCTGAGCGGCCGAGGACCCGTCTTCCGAAGACATCCTCGCGTCGGTCATTCTGATTAAATAGGGTGGGCTATCTAGACGTATCTTGCATGATGCAGCCGATGAAAACTCTACTGGGATGATGGTGGAGAAGAGAGATGATGCGCGCAAGTGGCAGTCGCAGGGAGTCTGTCAATGGGGAAAAGACGCTTGGCGTTTCCGGGGTAGAAATTCGGGATTACGCAGCAGATCACGGGAGTCGCTCTGCCCTACCAGTACGGACTCAGTACAATTTGAATGGAAATTGATTCTACCGGGATGTTATCACAGCATCCTCATGATTCCTACTATATCTACTCCGAATCATATAGACTCTGCGGATTCGTCACCATCAACATATGCCATTCCCGAGCCGACAACCACGACCGCAAACTCGTCAACCACGCCAGATCATCAACCTCCAAGAACGGCGTATGTGGCCTAAATACTCTTAGTCGGGACTTCATCAACACCAACGCGACATCAAAAAGGGAAAACATACCAATCACTCCCCCAAAGAACCTGCCGCGGATTAGCATCGAAGAACGCACGCACCAGGGGCTTCAAATCAGCGTAATCCGGAGCCTGCTTGCTAACACGATACGGCGCACTGATTTTAATAAAAAGATGCCCGGCCCTCACTAGCTCCACGATCTCCGCGAATCCAGCCTGCTTTGACACGTCGCTAGTAGTGTTTTCCAACATACTCGCGCCCTTCAGCAGTGCAAAATGATCCGTGACCAGCTTAACCCCGGTGGGCACGATCTCGCGCTCAATTGCGGGGGTCAACTCGCTCCAGAACTCCGGATGGGTGTGCGTGAACGCCATGCTCCATCCTGCGCAGTGCGAGCCTAACGCCCGGGCGTGTTCGCGCAACGCCGTCTTCTGCGCCTCGACGTCGTGCATGGCACTGTATCGGTACAGATTCACGCGGATGCCGCGGACACCGGCCCGCTGCATGGCTTGCAGCTGCGAGGGGGTGACGGTGCTGGGGTCGATAACACCGATGGCTCGCGTGTTTTCGGGGCCGAGGTCGGAGGTGAAGGTCGTTAGGGAAGAGCAGTCGGCCCCATAGGAGAGGCCATGGGTGAGAACGGAGTTGGTGAGACCGAGCTTTTGCTTGAAGTCGAGGTAGTTTTTGATGGTGGCCGGGGGCGGCGTGAGATGGCGATCTAAGGCGTAGGAGAACCGCACGGCTATATAATCGATAAGAAAAATTAATATCAAGATCTAGACATTAGGAAGGAGTAACTGTACGCTCGAAAATGTGGTGGTGGACATCCCATCCACCGTTGGGGAACAATTGCAATACTTCCGAGCCCATGGTGATTGTGATTGTATGCAAAATTGATGCACTATGAAATGAACGATGACAACCAACTCAACCCACAGACCCATCTCCGGGAATAATTAATATAACCCCGGATGAGATATGCGCCTTGGCATGGAGAAGGTCAATCTATCTCCATATTGGGTCTTTCTCATTTGTGGCAAATTCCCGACTCTCCCGACGATGAGGCCGGATGTTGTTGTTCGGAGCGCTCCGAGACCAACTGTCCCGGCCTCCCCTCCCCGGACTCCTCCAGCGCGGTGTGGCTCCGCGTGGCATCTCCATCTCTGTCAGGACTTGGGACTCAAGAATTCTCCCCGTTGGGGTAAACAGGCAGGAGAATTGTGTTCCGTCTCGAAGGACCCTTATGAAATTTAATTGAAAATAAAAATAAAATTGACCGACAATGCCCTACCCTTTTCTCGCCGTCCTTCTCCCCCGGCATCGACTCATCAACCAGTCTAGCCCTCCGCCATGTCTAACAAAAAAGACATCGCACCCTGGCAACCCATCCTCGCCGGCGGGGCAGCCGGGGGCACAGAGAGTCTACTTACCGTAAGCACCGTCCTCCTTTCCCATTGTCTTCTCAAAATCAACCTCCCAACTAAAACTAACTCCCAAACCACCAGTACCCAACCGAATACCTCAAAACCCGCCAACAACTACCCACACCGGGTAGCACAGGACGCCAATCCCTGATCTCCCTCCTCACAAGCACCATCCGAAACCATGGCCTCCGCACTTTATACACGGGCAGCGGCGTCTTCTGCGCCTCCAACGCCTCGAAATCCGCCATCCGGTTCTTCGCCTTCGACAGCGCCCGCAAGGCCATGCCCACAGACGCACAAGGGAAGGTAACCCCACTAGGCAACATGTGCGCGGGCTTAGTCGCCGGTGTCGCAGAGGCTGTAGTGGTAGTGACACCCGGCGAAACGATCAAGACGAGGATGATTGACGACCGGGCGGGACCGAGACATTACCGTTCAACAGCGCATGGGATCGGCTCGATACTTTCGCAAGAGGGACCGGCAGGTCTCTATCGAGGTGTTGTACCCGTGACATTAAAGCAGTCAGCAAACGCGATGGTGCGTTTCACGAGCTATAACTTCATTTTGAATCAATTGACTGCGATGACGATGAGTGAGGGGACACAACAGCAGGGGCTACGCAAGTCAATGAATACGGTGGTTGCGGGGGCGTTGGCGGGTGTGGTCACGGTTTATGCGACGATGCCGTTTGATACGATCAAGACGAGGTTGCAGGCTAGGGATGCACGTCAGCGATATACAGGGTCGGTGGGCTGTTTGCGGTCGGTGGTCGTTAAGGAGGGATTTTCGGCGTTGTGGAGAGGGACGACGCCGAGGTTGGTGAGGTTGAGTGTAAGTTTCTTTCTTTCTTAGATTATGGTTGAATATTATGGTGCTGACAGACTAGTTTAGGTCTCGGGGGCTTTGAGCTTCTCGATATATGAGTCTGTTTTGCAATGGACGTCACAATATACAATGCCGGAGCGAGGTCAGGAAATTGCTTAACTGGGACTAGTTATGGTGCGAACGCTCCAGGGTATACCGAAGACAATTGAGCGTCCGCAGTAAACAATAATATAAACGCCAATCCTAAGATATCCTAGGTCCCAATTATCATCGTGACAGGTCATGAACGTTAGAGGAAGCCTACCACATCTTTTAACGTGATTAGCATTTACGGTCTTTGGGGTTATATTGTGCACACTAAAGTTTAATGGTGCCTTAGATATAACGGTTTAGAGAGATAAAACAAAGACAGTTTGGTCAGGGAGACATCGCAATTAGCACGTACAGAAGGTCTAACAAGAAAGCCAAACTATAGCAAGAAAAGCGTCAATTACTATGATCACTAGATCTTACCTGACTCATAATTTAATCCGCTCATATCTTCTCATGCATGCCAATCCGCCAATCCAGCCCCCGATAGATTGCTAAACTTATCATTGTCAGTATTTGGAAGACATGATTCCAATATTGTCAAGCGTCAAAAACATTCAACTCATGCAGTGCGCCGCAAGACCAGAAGCAGGCTTCTATCAGAAATACCAGTACAATCCATAGAACATAGACTTTCCACCGCGCTAGATAATGAGGCAAGGAAACAAATGACAGCAGAGAGACACATGATTCGGCGATCATAAATGCTTTTTCATACCAGGAGGCATCAGATATAAAGAAAATGATAGAAATGAATAAGAATGGGTTGGCATAGAACCAAAAATAGCACCAGATTCCGCAGATAGAGACCAAGATAGGAAACCAACCGGAGCCATAACTTGATCTTTCGGTGGGGTTGGATTTATAATAGACAACTACGGCGGAGGTGGTTCCGCATATACCGGATGGAAGACATGCGACTGCCACATTATGGTTTGCGACCTTCCCCAGGGCGTATCATGATGAGGTTGTGACAGTGGCGGATGGAGTTCATCTAGCATCATCTTGGCTGCAGCCATCTCCAGGGGAAGGGCGCAGATCCACCCAACCGTGTAGTCATCGTGGGAGCGAGTTTTGGTGGTCATATGTAGGAGAATGATCTAAGGGGATAATCGGATTATTCTAGAATCCTGTGAATAGAGCTGGGTAGTTGTAAATGGATGATGCTGCTGCTCCTGCCACGTCAGGACGCCAATCCACACGTGATCCAACATGCATCGACCATCACATCACAGCCCTCTTTCTGTAAATGGTTTAGTTAAGTTGGCTATACCCCTCTCTGCAGTTACATAGATAGTCGAGTCTATCCAATCTCTCTACAAGCATAGTGCTAGGCATCTCACAGCCTTTGTCAGAAGACCTTGACCTGAGGCATGGCAACCAATCAATGTAGTCCAGTATGACCAAAGGTCTTTCATAGTCGAAGAATATAGTAAAACAAATGACTAATTTTTACATTATACACTTCAATCTCCTTTATACTGTGAGGCTATCAAATTCAATAATTTTAATTGAAAACGTTTGGATAGATTCACCCTGTTACCTGGCTCTTTTGCATATAACGTAGTCTCGCTAAACTAAAGAAATCTGGTGATCAGACTGGCCGTCGATAATGAACAATATAGGGAGCTTGAAACTTCCCAATTCTAAATAAAGAAGAATACCCAGGACTACTCTTATACAAACCCGAAAGCAGCGCAATAGAGAAAGGATCATCCAATTCCTTGAATGAACCTCGGCACAACCCTAGTCTTGGCACTTTTCACCGATTTGATCTCCCTCCCTCTCCCTCTCATCCTCTCTACCTTCCACCTCCCAATTCCTCCTACTTCAATTCAATCAACTCATTCAAGCCACCAGATAACCCAAACCAAGACCACCAAAATGTCCACCCGCCTCCAAGCAACAGCCACAGGATGGCTCATCATTTCCCTTGGCCACACGGTACATATATTCCTCCTCCCTTTTCCCTCCCTCAATTACCTACCCTACCTATCCTAGCCTTAGACATGTACATTAACCAGCTCTTTAAATAATGAATTCCAGCTCTCCGCCAAAGACTGGCAATCCACGCCGCAATTCCGCGCCCTGCCGAATCTGCCCTACACATGCGGTAAAGTCGGCTGGTACCAGGGGAGTGCATTTTTTTTGATGACGGGTATGTGTTCTTCTCATTTCATCTCTCACCCAATCAATTATCCCATCCATTCATTCATTCCTATATGATAACATATGTTATGCGGTGATATGATATGATATCATGGGGCTTGGTGTGTATATCTGTTTATGCTCTATTCCTCCCCGGGGAGCTGCACAGAGTAGCTACATAGACATACATCAAGTCATGACATCATCATCATTACCACTATACCTTAACATACCTTCACTCACTTCCATGCCATACCATGAAACTCAATCCCAACCAACCCATAACCATAATCCATATACAACTAACCAGTGCCATGACACAGCTTTAATAAACTACTCCTGGTCCCAAAACCCCTCCCTCCTGCAGCAACCAATCAACCAAGCCATCGCAGCCCTAATGACAGGAATCGTATGGGCCAGTTCCGGATGGTATCTGCGTCGGGGGGTGTTCGCGAATGGAGTCGTTGTTGCGTTGATGGGGGCATTGCAGGCTTGGGCTGTTTTCTTCTAGTTTCACTTTTTTTATCTCTATAGGCAACTACTCGATGTAGATAGATCTAGGGATCCATGTGTATAATGGTTTATGTTTGGGGGGAGGTTGGGTTCTAGATACCGATGGTTGGTTGGGTATGAGCTCCCTAGGGGTTGGGTATTGTTCTGTTCGGTTGATTGAGTTGATTGATTCTGATTCTGTATGTACAACACAAGGATATCATAACATATACTTGAAAGTGAAAAAACAAATACAAAAGAAAAAAGAGAAAATAATCTATCTATCGAAATGCAACACCATCCAGCCCTGAATTCCAGTATTCACAACAAACAAAAGCCGGCCAAAACTCCTTGCCGATTAAAATTATCTTCTTGCATGTACATGTACAGAGAAAGGAAGCATGTACATCAACATCAATCCAACCCAACCCTATTCTACTTTATTATCACACAGCCGGTTAAAATTTCCTTCTCTTTTTTTTTTTTAAGGGGCGGAGGGGCTATTTCTCTGTATACGACTCCTGGCTGGTCGAGACCGCCCGTCGTCCCCAGCCACTGAAGAATCCGCCTCCGGTGGCTGGCGGCTCCGTGGCCACTTTGTTCACGCCCATCGCGGAGGGGGACCGGCTGGGCGGTTCGGGAGTCTGCGACTGCGCACGTTGCGATGCGGCGACCTGTTTCCGGAGTCCTTCCATCTTGGACTTCACTTCCTCGAGTTCTTGCTTGGCGATCGCCTCCGCTGTTTTCGCATTGACCAGCTCCAACAGGAGGGCCTCGTCGCCGGCCGGTTTGTTGTTCTCCGTTGACAGCACCGACTGCAGACCCAGGCTGCTGGAGCGCTTAGTGAAGGTGCTGCGTTGCGAGGCGGAGCGCTGCGACATGGATCGTTGCGAGTTCGAGCGGACGAGTTTGAGTTCGCGCAGACCCGGCGGCGTGACGCCCTCGCCGGGTTCGCTAGTGGGCGACCCGTAGGATTCGGGCGGCGAGTCGGTCGAGGTGGGCGGCTTCACGGAGCGCAGCTCGCGGACCATTCGCTCGAGGCGCTGGCGATCGCGGTAGCCGTCCTGGATGCGCCCGCGCGCTTCCCGGAGCTGTTCGCGCAGCGACGAATTCTCCTTCTCGTGATCGTCCATGCGACGGGTCAGGTCGAGGCAGCGACCGGCCTCGACGCTGTGCATCTCCTTCCATCGGTTGAGGTCGTCGCGCAGTTGGTGTTTGGTCTGGTCGATGGACTCTTCCTGGTTGGGGGATGCGGTGCCGACGAAGCGCTCCTCCGCTTTGCCGATCAGCTCGGTCGGCGGTGCGGCGTTCTCGTCGGACTTAAGGTGGTGGAGCATGGCTTTGGCGATTTGCTGGTCCTCCTCGCGCTCTTCGCGCTCGTGCTGCAGGTCTCGGGTGAGGTCGGCGTGCTGACGCTGCAGATCGCTGAGCGCCATTAGGAGATCTTCGATTTGCGTGTGCAGGTCGCGATCTTTGTTCTGCGACATGGTGGATTTGGCGCGCGGCTTGGGAACGTCCGCCGAGAGCTCGGTCGGGGCGGTACTGGCATCGGAGGTGGATTCGATGGAATTTAAGGTGGAAGTCATGCTCTGCTTGGAGGCGGAACGCCGAATGCTGGCCGAGGTGCTGGCGTGGTTGGGGTTGAGCGAAATTGGCTGTTTCATGGAGTTGTGAGACGAGGACCCCGCCCAGAAGCGGCCTAAGAAGCGCGACGCCGCCGCCTGCATTTGAGGGAACGAAATCCCCGTCGGTACGCCCTGTGATTGGTTGTAACTGGCCTCCAGCGCTTGCAGGCTTTCCTTGGTCACCAGCGAAGTCAGTGAGACAAAGTCGTTGACGAAATCATCCGCGTGGCAGGCGTATCTGCGGCCCGAATTAGCTCCCAGCTTCTCTCCGTGCGGGTAACAGCACAACTTACGTATCCCACAAACTGCGCGACAACAACAGTTGCATCACGTCCTCGAATTCCGCGCAGGCCAGAATCTTTTTCTCGTTGCGCTGCATCAGCGAAAGTGCCACGCGCATCAGAGTTTCACACGCTCCTTCCAGAAAAATCACGTCGTAGATGCGAAGAAGCATCGGCATGGGACACGACACGGCGAAGAAAGATAGAAACCACTGCGACACGTACACCGGCTCGACGTGCAGCGATTCCAGGTGCGCAAAAAGACCGGGTCGAAGACGAGAAAGGAGATTCTGGAATTGATACACCCGAAGGTGCAGCCCCGACAAATCAGGTAGATAGCACGTGCGCAAGTCGTAGTGGTCCATCAACCTGGTCAGAAATAATTAGTTGGACTCTTGCACATCTCAATCCAGCCTCTCCTTCTTACCTCACAAGCACACAAAATGCCTCCGCGTCCGTCATGTGCATCAGCAACGGCCCGACCACAAATCCCAGCCCCTGACAGTACCCGATCTTGGTATCGTACAGACTGAAACATTTCAAGACCCGAGCCAACATCTGCTGCCCCTCGCCGTGCGGATCGCGGAACATCTCGACGTTGGGAAAACTGCGACCGATATCCTTTCCGATAAGGCCTTCGTAGGGGCTCGTTTCGCCACACAATCTCTGGTATTCCGCCAACAGCGTCGTATCCCGGGCCCCCGCCAAACTAGGCCATACCACGCCGCGCAGGGGAGGCGGGACGCCGCCGCGGATTTTATTCGAGGTCAACGTCGGCAATCGCTGTGCGGTCTGGGGGTAATCGGCGACGAGAGCGGCCCAGAACTCCAGCTCGGTCATCGGAGGAGGCGGAAGTTGGGAATAACGCAACGAGGATCGAGGGTCATCGTTGATCAATCGTTTGATGTGATGCAGCGACTGCGATCGGGACGGTCGCTGCTGAATCTCCTGCGATTTTGCGACGTTGGCCAAGCCCGATTTGGGGTTGGTTGCCAGGGCATTATTTTCCTGCTCCAGACGAGCTAACAGAAGAGATGTCGACTAAATTCAAATCAACCCTTTGTCTTTCACCCCCCACGTAATTTTCCGGACTAGATCAACGCACCTCGTCGGAACCCTCGCGGCGAGGTTCCTGCTCCTCCGTCTTTTCCAATTCCTCCCAATCAACCATATCACCATCTCCCCGATCGCCGTCCTGGCTGCTCCGGGACCGGATCGACGTACCGGCACTTCGAACCGATTTGGCCGGCCCCAACGTCGGCGTGGTTTTCGTCTCGGTATCTTCGGCGTTGGCGGGCGATGTCACTTCGATGGGAGTCTTGGGAATATCGAGAGTGCGCCATTCAGGTTGTGTGTGCTCCGAGTTGGACGATAACGAGACGGTGACCATGGAGTCGCTGTGCGCGTGGTTCGGGGCGACATGGTTCAAGATTCCATCGGATTGAACCCGAGAGGTGGCGGGACTGGAGGGATCCATGGCTTTTTTTGACTTGTAGGATAAAATCTGACGGCTGGATTGTGTAAAATCAAAAGCGCATTCGTCGGGGGGAGAAGTCAGTTGTGGGGGCGGAGGGGAAAGAAAGTAGAAACGCGGTCGGAGTAGTCGGATTAACGAGGCGTAGAGGATTAGGATGAGAGCAGCACACGATCAAGAGGGGCCGTCGAATGTGACAGCATGTCTTGAAGGTCAATTCAGCGGCGTTGGGAGGAGGGAGTGGGAGTAGGAGTCAGGTGAAGGTGAGGGTGAGGGTGGGAGAGGGCGAGAGAGAGAGGGCGAGAGAGAGCGAGAGGGGAGGGAGGAGAAAGGCAGTTAGTATGGTTTCAGAAAGTGAACTCCCTGAAATGACGAGTCGGACTGAAATGGAGAGGTTATTTCCTTTAGCGGTGATTAGTGTCGGCCACTAGAGCTTCGTACTTGACCCCAATAATAAACCCATATGAGTCGGACGGAAATAACTCTGACTAGGACGGTCCGTTATTAACAGGAACGTCAACGTCGCGATCACTAGTTAGTGACCTAGCGAGGACGATGACAGAATTTCAGGGGCACCCGAGGCCTCTCCGGGGCATCCACCGGCGTCGAGTCTCGCCCCGTCGATCGCCCTCAATAATGCTTTCCTATCGGTGTCGATTATTTGACCTCCTTTGGTTGAGCCGGGGGAAAGGCGATCGATATTCAGGAACTCCACCGGCCGAACCACGGATGGGATCTTTGCAGCGCAGTCCCTGGGCGTTCTTATCTTTCGGTCGTAGTCTCTACAGCAGTCGCTGCCCATCCAACGGGCCAGAAGAATCGCCAGCGACTTCAGTTGCCTCGACGAGGATCCGGCGGGATCCACGGCGATGCTCCACAAGGTTAATTAAGAGAATCGTCCGACGGCGTTAGAATGTGCGGGAATAACGGTGCGGAAGTCAGAATTCGGACTCCTGAGAGAGGAATTCAACCATGATAATACCAGTGATTAAGTATCCCCCCTGACTTGAGGCCAGTTCCTCAAGTTACCTTCCCTATGAGGATACTATGAGTGCAAAGTCCACCATAACAGCGTCCGTTATACTCAGCAGATGCAGAGTTGACTTCCCCCTGCATAAGTCGCGGTCGCTTTCCCCTGAATGTCTCCATACCGTTTCATACATTACCGGAGGTCCTCTTGGCACTCACTCATTGGGTATTGACTACTCAGTACATTTCTAATTGGTTTCTGTTAACTACAGATACTCCATTCTCTGTAAGTTACAATACACACAGATACACACTATGGAACCAGCCTTACAGGGTCCGTCCGCAAGGATTCTGTCGATTCTTTCTAGAAACCACCGGTCGAGTTGCCCGAAGAGGTAAGAAGGGATGGGTTGAAGACGTCAGCTAATCTATGATCTAATCATGGGCTTTACTCCGTTGTTTCTACTGGTCATATTTGGAATTAATGTGAAAATCATGTGATTGAATTGCACAGTGTACTAATACCCTGTACGCTGGGAAGTGGTCGAACCAGTGAAGGGATACCTATATATTCAATGGTGAAGTAGGAGGAGGTGGGAGGAACCAGTGATACAACAAAACGACAGTTCATGACTGTTTTCTAACCATTTCCCTCTAGGGAATAAAAATTTAATGATGGTCGAAGAAATTCCATTCAATCGTCCAAACACCACATGGAAGTTCTTCGTTTGGTTGCCAGGAAGGGAGACCGTTGACAACCCTCGCACTGACTGCGAGCCATGGGTGAATCCATCGAGGATAAAGGAAAGAGTCAAACACAAAGGAAGAAAGAGAAAGAGCGACCGTTTCTAAGAATAACTGAGTGAATCTCCCACCTGGAAAGTCCCCCTCCCCCGCCCGGCCTTGCATGTTTTGGTCTCACCTTCCCCTTTCGGCTGGTGTGTTTGGACATTTCCTAATCCGGGAAAGCCCGCGCCACTCGGACCGGAAGAACCCTCGACCGATGGCGGAAGGACAGGTTCTGCCAGTCCGGAGACCAAACGGGGAGTCGCAGCGCGTCCAGGTCAACGTCAACAACTGCAGTCTCGACAAAGCAGCGACAACAACAACAACAACAACCACATAAAGAGGCGATCGTTTTCGGGGGTCTGGCTTGTTCTTGCTTCGTGTTTTCTCCTATATCCCTCCCTCCCCCCTTCTCGGAGGTTGATCCTCCTAATTCTTATCTTAATTCCTCGACCCTGGTCACTCTTTGCTCCTTTTTTTCTCTACCATTTCTCCTTTCGTAATTCAACCCCCACCACTTCGCCATGGACGACTCGATGGCCAGCTCCGTCTTCGATGACGAGGGCAGCTCTGACTTCGTCCCCGAGCCCGCTCCTGTACGTATTGCATTGATCTTCTAATCACTTGCTGGCCGATCCATCTTTTACTGACTGTCGCATTCTAGAAACCCAAGGCTAAGGCAGCCCCGAAGAAAGCCGCCGCGCCCAAGAAGACCACCCAAACAACCCTCACAGGCAAAGCGCCCGGAAAGACCGCCGCTTCCAAGAAACGCGCCAAAGCCGATAGCGAAGACGAGTTGTCAGATGGCGGCAAGATGTCCGACAACGACTCCGCTCTGTCCCACACGCCCCCCAAGAAGGCCAAAAAGGGCCCAGTCGCCAAACGCGCTGGCTCGAAACCCCTCGCCGACGTCGAAAATGAATCGTTCACGGGCGAGGGCGCAGAGGAACCATCCAAGGAAACCAACGCTTCGGAGAGATACCAGAAGGTAACGCTCCCCTCTCTTATCGCATGGTTCTCGACTAACGGCTCCCCCAATTAGCTATCACCACGCGAACATATAATTAAACGTCCTGACACCTATATCGGATCCACTGAGATGACCCCGCAGCAGATGTGGGTGTACAGCTCGGCCTCGGACGGAATGGAGTACCGAGAGGTGAACTACGTCCCGGGTCTCTACAAGATCTTCGATGAAATCGTCGTCAACGCCGCCGACAACAAACAAAACGATAAGAACATGGACGAGATCCGCGTGACCATTGACCGCGAGTCGGGCGTCATTAGTGTCTGGAACAACGGCCGCGGTATCCCCGTCGAAATGCACGCAAAGGAGAAGATGTTCGTGCCCGAGCTGATCTTCGGTCATTTGCTCACCTCATCGAACTACGACGACACTCAGCAGAAGGTGACCGGTGGCCGTAACGGTTTCGGTGCCAAGCTCTGCAACGTCTTCTCCACCGAGTTCATCCTCGAAACCCAGGATTCGCGCGTCAAAAAGAGATACAAGCAAACCTGGACCGACAACATGACCAAGGTCGGCAAGGCCAAGATCACGGATGCCAAGGGCGAGGACTTCACCAAGGTCACCTTCAAACCCGACTATGCCAAGTTCGGCATGACCGGTATTGATGACGACTTTGAGGCCCTGGTGAAGCGTCGAGTTTACGACTTGGCGGGAACCGCCAAAGTGGCCGTGAAACTGAACGGCAGCCGCATTCCCATCCGTAACTTCAAGAAATACATGGAGATGTACACCAAAGCCATTCGCCGAGAGCGCGGAGATGACGGTCCCGCACCCAAGGACGAGATCATCACATGCAGCCCGGATCCTCGATGGGAGGTCGGTTTCGCCGTGTCGGACGGCTCCTTCCAGCAGGTGTCGTTCGTCAACTCGATCGCCACCACGTCGGGAGGTACTCACGTCAACTACATTGCCGACCAGATCTGTGGCAGACTGGCGGCCGAACTGAAGAAGAAGAACAAGAACGGCGCGACGCTCAAGCCTGCGCAACTCCGTAACCACATCTTCATCTTCGTGAACGCCCTGATCGTCAACCCGGCCTTTACTTCGCAGACCAAGGAGCAGTTGACCACCAAGGCAACCCAGTTCGGCAGCAAGTGCCCCCTCGAAGATGATTTCTACAAGAAGATCTTGAAGACCAACGTCATGTCGAATATCTTGTCTTTCGCTGCGCACAAGGCGGACCAGTTGCTCAAGAAGACCGATGGTGGTCGCCGTACTCGTATGAACAACCCGAAATTGACCGATGCCAACAAAGCCGGCACCAAGGAGGGTCACCACTGTACCCTGATCTTGACGGAAGGTGACTCGGCCAAGGGTTTGGCGATGGCTGGGCGTGCGGTTGTCGGTCCCGATCTATTCGGTGTCTTCCCGCTCCGAGGAAAACTGCTCAACGTCCGTGATGCGTCGTTCGAGCAGATTTCGAAGAACGTGGAAATTCAAAACATTAAAAACTTTATTGGATTGCAGCACAAGAAGGAATACACCGAAACTCGTGGTCTTCGTTACGGCCATCTAATGATCATGACCGATCAAGATCATGATGGTAGTCACATCAAGGGTCTGCTCATCAATTTCCTTCAGGCCCAGTTCCCTAGCCTGTTGAAGATCCCCGAGTTCCTGATCGAGTTCATCACTCCCATCGTGAAGGTGTGGAAGGGCGACCCCAAGAATCCGACCCGGCAGCACTCCTTCTTCACAATGCCCGAATACGAAGCGTTCCGGGAAGCCCACAAGAACGAGCGTTGGGAGCACAAGTACTACAAGGGTTTGGGTACCAGTACCACCGAGGACGCCCAGGTTTACTTCCGCGATCTCGATCGCCACTTGAAAGAATTCCACACCATCCAGGATAACGAGGCCGCTCTGATTGAACTCGCTTTCTCGAAGAAGAAGGCTGACGAGCGAAAGGAGTGGCTGCGGCAATTCAAGCCCGGAACCTATCTGGATCACACGCTGTCCAAGATCACCTACACCGACTTCATCAACAAGGAACTCATTCTTTTCAGTATGGCGGACAACATCCGATCGATTCCTTCCGTTGTTGATGGTCTTAAGCCCGGTCAGCGCAAGGTCTTGTACACTTGCTTCCGGCGCAACCTGAAGAAGGATATGAAGGTGGTCGAACTGGCTGGTCACGTCTCCGGTATGACGGCGTACCAGCACGGTGATGTGTCCCTGCAGCAGACTATCGTGGGTCTGGCGCAAAACTTCGTTGGCTCTAACAACATCAACTGTCTGGAGCCTAGTGGTAACTTCGGTTCTCGTCTTCAGGGTGGTTCCGACTGTGCTAGCGCTCGTTACATCTACACCCGTCTGTCGCCATTTGCCCGGCGTGTGTACCATTCCCATGATGACCCGCTTCTCACGTACAATGAAGATGATGGTGAGAAGATTGAGCCTGAAATCTACATGCCCGTCGTGCCCATGATCTTGATCAACGGAGCTGACGGTATCGGTACCGGATGGAGCTCCTCTATTCCTAACTACAACCCCGAGGACATTGTCGAGAATCTGTTGCGCATGATGAACGGTGAGGAGATCAAGCCCATGCAGCCGTGGTTCCGAGGCTTTCATGGTGAAGTCACCGATATGGGAGGTGACCGCTATAAATTCAGCGGTATCATCAAGGAGACCGGCGAGAAGGAAGTGGAGATCACTGAATTGCCCATCCGCACCTGGACTCAGGACTTCAAGGACAAATTAGAAGATATTATCAAGGCCGAGAAGACGCCCTCTTTCATTAAGGATTACAAGGATTACAACACGCACCACAAGGTTCATTTCGTTATCCAGATGGACGAGAAGCATATGACGGCAGCTATGTCCGAGGGCCTAGAGGACAAGTTCAAGCTGACGAAGTCGATCGCCACCTCCAACTTGGTCGCGTTTGACCCCGAAGGCCGGATCACCAAATACGCCGGTGTCGACGATATTTTGAAAGAATTCTTTACTGTCCGCCTGAAGTATTACGAGCGCCGCAAGCAACACCAGCTTTCCGAAATGCAAAGGGAGTTGGACCGGTTGAGCAACCAGGCCCGCTTTGTCCAAATGATCATCGACGGCGACTTGGTCGTATCCAAGAAGAAGAAGAGCGCCCTCGTCGCCGAGCTGAAGGAGAAGAATTTCAAGCCTTTCCCCAAGGTCAAGGATGCCGTCAAGGCCGGTGAATTGGAGCCCGCCCTCGAGGATGAGGAAGAAGATGCGGAGGGCACCGAGGTTCTCTCGAACTCCTACGATTACCTTTTGGGTATGGCCATTTGGTCTCTGACCCAGGAGCGTGTCGAAAAGCTCCGTCGTCAGATCGGCGACAAGGAGGTGGAAATCGACGCCTTGATCACGATGTCCAAGGAGGATATCTGGAAACGCGACCTTGAGGACTTCATCAACGAGTGGCGCTTCCAGATCGATGACGAAGCCCGGCGCTTGCGCAAGGTGGCGAACATGGGCCGTCGCACTTCCGCCAAACTCATGACGACTGGTCGGGGGTTGGCCGCCAGGAAGCGCAAGGCGGCGGCGAATGGCGATGATTCGGATGACGAAGATTTTGCCGCTCCCAAGTCCAAGAAGGCAGCGGCCAAGAAGACCGAACCCAAGGGAGGCCTTCTTAACTACCTGAACAAGCCCGCAGCCAAACCAGCAGCCAAGCCGAAGCCTCCGCCGACCGATGAGGATGATTCGGACGATGATTTCGACATGGAAATCCTTCCGAAGAAGAGCCGGGGTGCCGCAAAATCCCAACCCAAGTCTGAACCGGAGCCGGAGCCGGAGCCGGAGCCCAAGCAAGAGGATGAGGACGAGGACATGCCCGATGTTGTGGAAGAAGTTGCACCAAAGAAGTCCCGAGCCAATTCCAAGGCTTCCGTCAAGACCGAGGATGACGATGCCCCTAAAGCAGCGCCCAAGCGAGGCCGAACGGCATCGAAGGCCGCTTCTACCACTTCCTCTAAGTCCAAGGCCAAGTCCCAACCTAAGGACGAGGAGGAGGATGATGACTTCGATGATGATGACATTCAAGAAATCACCAAGACCGAGGCCGCCAAGTCATCGTATGGTTCCAACCGGAGGGCCCGCGGACCCCCTTTGCACCCCATCAGTGACTCCGACAGCGATGATGGAGAAGACCTTCTTGGTGATGTCAGCAACATGGTCAAGGGCATCGGCGACAAGACCGGCGCGCCCTCTAATTCTCGACAGCTTTTCTCGGAGCGCTCTCGGGCTGGAAGCAGCGGTCTGACCCCGCGTTCCAAGGCGTCGAAGCAGTCCCCAGACTTTGACGCGGACGAAACCGACTATAGCAAGCTGGTGCCGCAGCACACCCCTCGTCGCTCCCTGCAAGTCAAGCCCAAAGACAAGGAGCCGAGAACCTCGGAGGAGATTGAGCCTGAAGAGGACAACGGTGGCGGCGACCATGATGATGACGAAGACGAGCCCGTGAAGCCCGCGGCTAGCAAGGCCAAGACTACTGCCCGGGGCAAGGCCGCGACGACTGCCGCAGCAAAGCCAACCGCAGCGAAGACCCGTGGCCGACCTAAGAAGGACGCGACCACCGCCGCCAAGGCTGCCCCTGCCACCAAGCAGACGACTTTGTCCCCGGCTGCCAAGGCCTACGCTTCCAAGCAAGCCAAGAATGCTAAGCCGGCCGTCAAGAAGAAGCAGCTGGCGGACGATCTGTCGGATGACGATATTGATGCCATGGCCAACGACATCCTGGACTCCCCTGCTGGCGGCAAGAAGGGTGATGATGATTCGGAGGATGAAGTGCGTCCTGCAGGCCGAAAGACTGCCAGTCGACCCGCGCGACGGACCGCAGCGACCAAGAAGACCTACGTGGTTGATGATGATGACAGTGAGGAGGACGATGATTTCGGTGATGATTTTGAGGAAAGTGATTAAACTCGTCGGGTAGGGGACGTTGACCGTTCTGCTAGAGTTCATTTCTCTCTGGGTTTACATTTGTTTTTCTGAACATGTTTCTCTTCTGTTTCTAATTCGGGGACTCACCTTTGTTTCTATTTACATTTCATTTCGTACACTGTTGAAAAGGACTGAAAGTTCTCGTGTTGATAACTGGTTTTGATATGCAATCGGACTTGATTCTGTCCCACTTGAGGCTCTCTCAGTAATCGTAGTACGAACCGATAAAGAGCGATGTACATAATATGAAGATGCGAATGCCTCTTCAACGAGGAGAACTACCTCACGAAACGTCCTCATCCAACCTAATAACATGTAGTCGCTGCTACCACCACTAGGTACCAGGGACACCAAACTTTACACTACCTAAGTCCGAAATTAGAGACAAGGGAGGAGTAGAAAACCTAGAGTTGAGTGGTAAGCCTCCCTCCTGACAACCGATTTCTGCTTATTTATTTACATACGAAGATGACCTTTCGTCAGGCTGAGACGTCGTAGGTAGGCAAGGCAGTCCATAGATTGTCATTCATCTTCTTACCCCAGAACGCTACTTTCGTTCTATACGATGTGATGTGATGTGATGCCATTTGATTTTAGCTTTGGTTTTGACTGATCTGATCTGATTTGACCTGCTTGGTAGCAACTGGCATCGTTAGATTCAACCACTATGTACGAAGTACTTACCTGAGAGATGGGTTTGTCCTATCTAGGCGAAGTCATAATTCACGATACGCTGCAGTTGAGGGTACCTATGGCATGATTGAACCATCATGCCCTATGTCTATGGTTTTGTTGTTTGTATGCTTTGCAGTGTCTGTCTGTGTGGGTGATTTCTTGGCTGTGGGGAAGATGATCTGGTCTGTTTCTATATTCTACTTCTATGGGACGATTGATTGATTGATTGATTGCGTTGGGCTGGGGTTAGTTACTGGAGTTGGCCAACGGAAAGGAAAAAGATAAGTACTACCTAGTGAAGTAGGTAAATGCTACGCTACATATGAAAGGACATGGATGGATGGATGGATGGATAGAGCGAATAGATAAAGGAATGAGCTCAATTACTACAACCAAACCAGAAAAGAAAGCAAACCCCCAAAGAAAACAATCTCAAATAAACACCCAAACATAAGTTAACAACACAGAACAGCACAACCCACACAATACACTCTAAACGCCCAACCGATCTATGTATCATTCATTCCTCGTTATTCATTCGTTTTTGTCCGCCTCTCTATCCTCTTCCTAAGTATCAAGTCCCTGGCTTGAACACCTCACTTGCCTACCTACCTACCTACCTACCTACCTACTTGGTCAGTCCCGCCAGCCAGGGTGAACTGATTAGGTAGGTAGGGTAGGCCTCGTCAATGGTATCCCACACCACAAATCAAGCAGACGCTCTACGTCTCTTCCGTCCACTATTCAGCTGCTGCTGTTGTTGCTGCTGCTGTTGCTGCCAACGCATGACCCCCTCTTCATCGCTCCCACTACCGGTCGCGTCCTGCATGCACAAACTGAGCAGGGCATGCGCGGCCTTGACCTCCCTGGGAAGCAGTTTCTTAGGGTTTGGGTTTCGTCGAGATCGCGTTTCGGCGTGGCTTGCTCGGGCTCGTTTGCCAGGGGAGGGGTCCTCGTCGTAGGAACTGTCTTGGTAGTCGTCATCGTCGTCGTCAATGGCGATGTCGATGTCGATGTCGTCGGGTTTGAAATAGGCATCGACATCCGCATCGACATCCGCATCGTCATCTAGTTCTGATGGACACTCGCTGGACGTGTTGGCGCTCGTCGTGGATGAGGTGTACACTGTGTTCGAGGAAGCCGTGGCGTCGGAGCTACCGCTGCCACTGCCGATGCCGCTCTCGCCGTCGCTCGCGTCAATAGCCCTCTTCCTGGACATGTTTTGGAGGGAGCAGAGAAGGCCTCCCGGGGACGCGGTGCCCAGACACCCCATCTCGACATCTGCGCTGCGCGGCGTGTTCACAGGCGTGAACGTATTCCGGATCGGACTGACCGGCGACACGCAGTACGTATCAGAGGTGCTAGCACCAGAATATTCAGGGGAGGAGCCGTATCCCACGAGACTATCCGCGTAGGTATGACGAAGACGATGGCCGTGGTGGTGGGGGTGGTGATCGAAAGATTTCGGAAGGATTTGTTTCTCGAACGGTTTTGACGGGTCTGGGAGACTCCGCGAAGTGAGGAGTGGAGGTGGTTGTGGAGAGAGGGATTGGAGTTCGAGCGCGCGGTAGTAGTTGGCCATTTCCGTGGACTTGTCCACGATGGATTTATGGATGATCATGCGGCCGTATCGCCCGCGATCCGACGGGTGGATGCACATGTCGATGAAATCGAGGCCGAAGACGGGCGTGAGGATATGGCGGATCCGCCAGCAGAAGGTGGCTGCGACTGCTTTGGCGGCTTCGAAGGGCATCCAGTACCCTGGATTATTTTAGTCTTTCGTCTGGGTGTGTATGCAGCGCAGAGGAGGGAGTGGACGTACCTTGTGCTGCAAGCGCACCACCTGTGATGCTATGGCAGATGTCGCGAAGGCCAGGGTTGGCGTTGAGCATTTTGGCCGGTGTTGTCTGATACGAGTTAGTTGAATGAGATGCAAATAAAGGACTGTTCACCGACCTTGGAGTAATCCTGACACTTGAAAAGATGGGTTGTTCGAACCAGCCCAATATTGTAGTCCCACATCACCATCCACTTCTTGTCTTCACCAGGGATGACGAATTCATACTGCAGGACTAAACCATAACCATGAATCAGCTTCAGATGTGCTTTCGACACCACAAATCCATCAAATGAATCCATACCTTCAAAGCTTTCACGTCCGGTTCGGTCCTGGAATGACTTTTTATCGCTGTTGTACGGGATGTGGCGCGGATACATCCCGATCTCGCCCATCGGATAGAGCTGGAATTCGCGGTGGATACTGGTCAACTCTTCATCTCGCTCCTCACAAGGTGGGTATCGCAACTGGCCCCTGATCTTTTCTTTCTTGAAAATCGCAGCATCCTTGGGTGGCTTCTCCCTCTTCTGACGAGACGTTGGTCGGGATGGCATCACGCTGGGAGAGTTCGACATTGCTGAACTGGGGAGACAAAGCCGGTCCAAGTCGGGCAGGGGGTTCAGGAGTGATTCTATGGACGCCATTTGTAAAAAGCTCCTCGGGGTGTAAGCAAGAAGATATACACTTTCAGCCAGCTGTTCGATCGGCCCAGAGGAGTGAAATCACCAGTGCACTGCCAGCGCAGTAAAAAAGAAACTATGACGAACGAAGGTTTTATGGGAATGCAACAAAAAAGGTGCGGGGGGTAAGGAAACCTTCCTAGTTCTGATCCCTAAGACACTGGAAACGATAGGTTCTAGAAGGTCTTGCCAGAATCAAAGGGTGAGAGAGACAATCAAGAGAAACAAGAGAGAAGATAGAACGGATATCAGGGCACGGATATCTTAGCTCACTGTATTGCCCCGAGCAATCATCAGACTAGCCAAACAGGAGTTACTGGAGTTACAAAATAAAAATAAAATCAAATAATTATAGAAAATAAATACAAAGACAAGGTTTGAGAGAATAAAAACAAATCATGAGCCACACTCACCTCCCTTTTCTAGACTATCGGTACAAGGCCTCCAAAAAGAGTGGATACTTGACAGCAATCTGATGAAGAGATCTCAATGGTCGCCCTCTGTTTGTCCCTTCTGAGTGCGAGAGGAATTATTGCGCGTGCAAGTCCTTGTCGAGGCAGTGACTGGGGGAGGGGTGTAGCCATCTGGAGCAGCGGTGAGCATTCTTCCTACGATGTGTCCCTAATTCAAGACAGCTTAGGTTGGGCGGATGTCTTGGATGGGCTGAGGCCTTCGGCATGAGAAACATTCTCCCGGTACTTGGACAAAGGAGGGCATCACGAGGCACACAACAGATTGGCCCGGACAGAGAGGTGGGCGAGTCCAGCTTTGCCATACCCAAAATCCACTTTGGAGTATGGCAAATACTCCCTCGCCCCCGGGTTCAGCCATTCTGTAACGGGTTCCTCCCCCTTGGAAACCGGCGCTAGTTCAAGAGAAGTACTTGACTGACGACGCCCTCTTCCCCCTCAAAATTCAAATCGGAAAATTGAACTAAAGGTAGCGTACGCCCCTCCGGATTTTCGAGGCTTCGCTGGTGCCACTCACTCATATGCAGCTACCCAAGACAGGAGATAACGCATAATCATTAGGGGGACATGGTAGATCACGTTTCAGGGGATTCCTGTCACCATGTGGACTCTTGCATGATTGACCGTAACTTGAAAAAAAGCCAGGCCGGTGGCTTCCTGGATGATCCAGATCTCTGGTCCGTACAAACAGCCGGAGACGAAACCATGGAACCCAAAAGGGTATCCACAGATACTTGTATCTCTGTGTGTCTGATTCGACCGTCTGAAGGTATTCCATTGCCGGCTTTTCAGATATAGGGAAGCCCATTTCTGTCAACGGAAATCAATATCAGCCTTTCCATGCTGATGACCTCGACAGCAAGAAAAATCCGCCGCTGAAGAAACCGGAAGAGTTGATCTTCAGAACACGATGGCCAATGAAAAGACGGGATCCCAGCGGCATTCGCTCGACGAGGCGGGTGTTAGGGAGAGGTCTCAGACATCTCTCGGAAAGCTGCATGACAGTCTTGTAGGACAGGATTCTGGCTGCTGCTTCTGCTGCCAACCAATGAGTCCCACTGCGCCCGCTACTACTGGTCGTTGTGCCAGACTCTCTTCATTATTTTGTTCTTCACTGCATCCCTTTCCTGCAAACCAGCCAGTCACAGTTCAAGCGGAATCTTTTACCGCAAAGGACGAGAGAAATATTTGATTTCCCATGAAATTTCCCGGAAGAAAAAAAAAAGAAAAAAAAATTAATTTGAGAAGCCGGCGTCGGCCCAGAGACAAGCTCTGGTAGTCTATTGTCGGTGAGCAGGGAGTCTGCCCGGGAACCCTAAACTCGGTACTGGACGTTACATCTCAAGCTCCCCAAGAAGCATGGGCGCAGTCATGTTCTCTGCCCCTCTCTTTGTCAGGCGACGCCGCAACGCCCATGAGGAACCTCAATCTAGTTGGATTCAAGCCTCACTTCCCTAGGTGCAAGTGACACCCGTTCATCGATTGGGTTGCTCAGCCCTGGCCAGAGTTGGGACAGGTCATAGTGTGAATGGTCTGGCATTCGGATGGGTGTGGACAGAGATTCTCCAAGAAAGTTCAAATTATCAAAGCCATCTAAAGGAAACTTCCACGCATGCTTCTCTGCACGTTCCCACTCATCGGTGGCGTCTGGTCCCTTTCGATCGGTTTGTTTGGACAAGTCCAAGTTTTCCAGGCCTGGCTGATGAGTCTGCCTTTTCGCGAATATTGAACCGAGAAAAAGAAAAGAAAGAAACCAACCAAAAACAAAATAAAATAAAATAAAAACAGAGGACCCCGAAGGCAGAAGTCTAGGCTTCCGTGGAGATGCAACTTACCTTAGCCAGAATGCCTGCAGAAGGGAAGAACACGCCATATCCCAGCCCAAATCAATGCCAGATTCAAAAAGAGAATTTGTTTAAGAATCAAAATAGAGCAGAAAGAAAATAGGAGGAATTTTGAAAGATCACTGCCAATCACACCTGTCCGGATTGAGACAGAATGGAAGATCTAGAAAACGGCAGAGAAACCCAACATCCGAGACATACGAGTGTTCTGGGTTGAGGAAATCTTGGCAGAATCCTGTCGGGAATGGGTCCCGCTGCTTGAATTTCAAATCGACTCGTTTCACATCCAGTAGAGAAGACGGAGGAGAGAAGAGAGAGGCTGGAAACGACAGGGGTTGAAGATGGCTGCTCAGCTGGCAGGGTATCCTGTCCGATTGACTCATTCCGTCATAATCAACCCGAACGACAGGAATTTGAGGGTAGTGGATGACTTCGGTAATTGGAATCAATGCACGTGGGCTGTCCTGACAGGATGCCAGAGATGAGTTGAAATGAGAGGCAATGCAGTCGTTGTCTACAGACTACACCGGTGTAAAGGAACGACCAGCCAAAGCAAGCAAACCAGACAAACTAAACAAACAAGCCAAACACACCAACTCTTAGTCAGGGTTCACCAGCCAATGACGGCGGCCATCCTGTCCGGTGATGAAGTATATACTCCGTACCTCCTACTCCATGCATTCATGGATGACAATTACTCTGTCCAGGTCCAGAATCCAGACGCTGCCGAGTCCCCGGGAGCAGACTCCCGCTGGCCTCAGCGTCAGGGGCACGATGATCCGCCGTCCCGACAAAGCCCCTGCTAATCAAACAATCCGTCGTGATCTGCAGCCCCGTGCGCGGATGACCTCCCGGTCTCCCTTACTACGCGGGATGGTCCTTGTACGTGGCGGCATCATAAAACAGTAATGGGCACACCTGTGCGACGAGTCTCGATCTGGGGTAAGGGAAAAGGCCCTTTCCCGCTGACGCCGTGCCCAGCTCCGAGGGATTTGTACCCCGTACTCTCTAATTTGCCTCTACCGTGGGTCTGGTACAGCCCCTGGTCGAATCCCATCGCAGCGGTGAGGACTTGTCATGCACAGCGAGGGACCAGGGTAAAGCCGGTGCCAGAGTAAATGCCGAATGTCACTGTGACTTCGGCAGTGGGATCAGAGCCGGAACGAGAGAGAGTGTGTGTGTGGGAGCGTAAGGATGGAAGGGGGGAAGGAAAAAAGACAGTGAGGGAAATCTGGCACGGTCCCCGAGCCTTGCACAAAATCGCAATGGTTGTAACTTGTGACTCGCACAAGACGTACCTTTTCCCTGGAAGGCCAAACAAGTTCACGTAACTCAGAACTAGCTTCCAAGTCCTTAGTGGCATTTTGTTTTTTCTCGCTTCTTGACGCTGCTGTGCGGTCCGAGATCATGGTGAAACAAGAGGTGCATTTCGCACGAAGTTCGGAATACATACAGTGCTAGGATAGAAGTCCCGGAGAGAAGCGGATAGACGGAACTACAGACTACGAGTACCTTCGGCAGGACAAGCATCAACGGATAATAAGGAAGAAAAGTAGAAAGCCCTCGGGAGACATCATACCATCTTGTCATCGTACACACCGAATTATCCTTCCTCATGCCACAAACCCTCCGTTTGTAGCCAACTCCATACAGCCTCCTCCAGCTTCTGCTAATTACCAATTCCGCACATCCACAGCTTCCTCGACTTCACGGTTAACCTAGGACTCATGTGGTTAAACAAAGTATGCAATATTGTTGGGACGCGACTGATCGACAGTGGCGGCCTCCTTTACGCCGCCACAAGAGGTTCCTTCTCCGCATACTGGGGGGGCTGCTCGATGGGCTGCTCGATGGATTCCGCCACTGGCTCGGTCTTGGGGGCCTCAGGGAAGTCGGAAGAGGTGAAAGCGGGCTCGGGCTCGGGCTCCTTCTTGATAACGGGAGTAGGGGCAACAGGGGCAACAGGGGCAACCTTGGCGACCTCCGGGGACACAGAACGACGCTGGCCGGGAAGAAGCCCCTGCGCCTTGACGCTGCAGTCAGTCACATACTGCTGGACAATGCCCGTTGCGCGAAAAGCCCGCTCTTCGGCCAGATCCTTCAGTTGATGGGCATGGGACTCCACGATGCCCTGGACGTGCTCAATCTGCGCATCGATAACTTCACGGTTGTTCATGTAGACCAAGGGTCCGATGTAAGCGATAGTGGCGGCAAGAAGCGACAGTCCCCAGAACGGCAAGAACTTGATCAGCCAGTAGGCGGAGAAGGCGGCAAAGAAAGCCTGCATAGGTTGTTAGATGACCGATCTTGTGACGGGAGCGTTTTTGGAAACCAAACATACCGCAACGGTGTGAACAATGTTTTCAGCAAACAAGATGCGCTGGAACTCGAGCAGGACAAAGTCAAGAAGCTGTTCGATATCCTCCATCACTCCTTCAAGAGTCTCCTTAGGAACGGTGTAGTATTTGCGGGGGCGGAAGTTCTTGACGAGGCCTTGCTGAAACAGAATTCGACCACCAATTTCGGCGGCAGCGGTGACTAAACGAAGACTTGTTAGCACACATCGCTCGGCATCACGCAGCGGACTGGATGAACCTACATCCCAAAGCCACATAGGTGAATTTGAAGAACCAGCGGAGGAGAGGCACGTAACGGGCGGCAAAGATGAAGGTGACGACGGTCGCAAAAGAGGCGGCGGTGGCTCGGGGTTGCTCCCACTAGAAACTGGTCAGAGTCGCAGCGTTTGGCACCGGGGTTGGCGAAGACTCACGCTCAAAAGGCTGTACAGCAGGGAGTGGTAGTCTGGATCATAAATTAATCGATCAACTTGGAAGTCTCGAGGGTTTTCGACAACATACGGGTCAGGGGTTGACCGGTCGCAGTGGTCACCGGAGTTGTCGACCGGGTGTTCCTCAATTCGCGAAATTCCTGTCCGGTACGGGATGCTTCGGATTTGATGTTATCAACGACGGGACCTGCGAGAAACCACCGGTCAGATATATCGCCATGAGGGTTGGAGGATACGCCGATCAAATACCCTTGATGATGGCATCTTGGACGCCTGGTCACCAAGTGGAAAATCAGCTGGGTCTGTGTAACATTTCGCGGACCCTCCAGAGAACGAGAAGAAGAACTGGGGATAACGGAAGAATCAGCATCAATGCATCTCCTAAGAGCCACATTCCAGAACACCTCCTGAGTCCACACATACCTTACCCCCCGCTTTCGTTTCGGGATAGGCCACACAGCCAGCATTTGAAGCGTCGGCCATTTCGGAAGATTGTGTTGATAAAAGGGACTTAGAAAAATAAAGCTGCGGAAAAAACAAACGAAGCTGGCGTTCCACGGGAAGCCCAGGGGGGAGGATGAAATAAGTACAAGGTACAGGGAAGAAACGAATGGAAGAATTGAAAAAGAGAATTACAAGAAGAAGAAAAGAATCAACGTGTCGGAGGTGGGCGACGTGAGGGATGGGCGGAGAGCGAAAGATAGGAGAAAGGGACGGAGAGGAGAAGGAAGAGAGAGGGTGATGCAATTGACAAGCGAGACCGACGTCGTGTGCTTCCCGGACGGCTTCCACTCCGAACTACTTGGACCTGCTCAGTCCACCGCGCCGAATCACCGCTTGTTTATTCGAGTTTCCGTGTGAAATTCCACGGCTCCGATTTCTTTCCTGTCGACATCCTGTTCTTTCGACCATTACCATCGTCTTCCCAGTATTTTTCGGGTGGACGTCCCCGCCATCTCGCCGCGACTTCTTGTGTTCAACTTGACCAGGATTCTAGGCCCGGTCGGGTCGGCATGTGAAAATGGCTTCTTGGAGAGAGGAGATCCTGAAGCAGGAGGGGAGCGATGGGTCCTCATACAGATCTGCTACGTAGACTGGCGCATGCAAGGGGGATTTCTCGCAGAAGGAGATCTGTCGAAAGGCGCTCGTTGGCTTGCACTCCCTACCGCTCAATATTGTGGAATTTTGCCTTTACTGATTGAAGTTCTGCGCATACGGAGTATGTTTCTCCTGACGGAGCACGGAGTAGTAGATGCGTGTATATTTAGCATCATCCACCGCGGGACAACAAACACCACAGCACCCCTAACATGGCCTCGACCCATTTTCCTCGTTCATTCCTCGAGTCCACCCGTTATTCTTGACCGTGGTTCGTGATCCAGGTGACATCACGATCACATCGCTGCGTCCAGTGCCCTTGGTTGCTTCGAACGGTTTACGGGAATTATCCATGGTTTATGGGGGATGCGGTGTTTGTGATCGGGAGACCAGTCATGAGGGATTGAGGGAACAGATCTGAATCAGCCCGTAGGTCGAGGGATTTACTGGTCCAGAATTGTATACACAGAGTAGACAGAGTAGTGCCAATCGTAGTGGATGCCTGGGCAATCAGGCTGCCATGATGCAATGGTCACGTGAGGCGGGCACGCGTTTCTCTGTTTTGATGCTTCGAACTTCCCGCAGCGACGGACAGTCAGAAACAAGTCTCAACTCGACCCTCGCCCTCCCCGCCGTCCACCCACTCCTTTGGATGCCACCTCTATCCTTCGTCGCCATTTAATGCTCGGGCTGCTTTTGCCCCTGCACCCTTTTTACACCCCATCTGTCCCTCTCCGCCGGGTATCCCACTGAATCGCCTTTGTTTACATCGCCATGTCCGCGCGGGCGCAGAAACCGGTCGGCTCTGCCGCATGGATCTCGACCGAAAAAGAGAACGTAACGCAACTGGTGGATCAGGAGATCGAAGAAGTCGAATATCCAGTGCGCCATGAAATGGATTGGTTGAATGAGCATATGTCCGAGATCTTTTCCAACAATCAATTGTCCGTTGCGACCGACATATCCCCTACATCGTTGCCCGCGCTGACACCCGCATAGCAATTTCACTGAAGCCTTCAAGACGCCTGGCAAACTGAGAGGCAAAACGCCTCGAACTGCACGGAAGCGGGATGCCAATGAGCCCCGGCTGGTACGTACCCTCCCTTCCGCCCTTCCTATGTTGATTCTGCGTGGTTTATTGACCACCTATATATAGCCTTTGAGTGAAGTCTTCTCTTCCTCCCACAAGCGAGTCGAGAACAAATTCAACGCTAGCCCGGCAGCTCACCGGTCACCCACCAAGGCCATTCCCCCTCCCACTTTAGTCCGCAGCCCAACCAAGCCCAAAGCCCAAAACACCGCAGAAACTGCGTCGCATCCTGAATACCCCGACCTGACCAAGAATCTCAACTCTTTCCCCAAATACAACACCGACTCGGGCTACCATGGCATGCAAGATGACGATGAAGAGGAGGATGAGGATGAGGAAAATGGCGACGACGACGACATGGTCCTAACCCAGGTACAACCTGAGTCTCAAGCGTCAACGCAACCTTTTGAAAAAGAACCAACTCCAGCAAATACACAGGAGCACCGCTCGTCGCCTGCCCGTCGCACAACAGGAGGCTCGTTCCATTCAGCGCAAGAGGATGTCCGTCAGCGTGAGGAGACCGTCGAGCCATCCCCGAAGAAGAACAACCACCAGCCTTCCCCTAAATCATCGGCAAAGACTCAAGAAGCGGAACAGCCGACCGATATTTCTAGCCCAGTGCAACAAAAGACTTTCGAGCCGATAAAGGAACCGGAACCTGCCCCGGAGCCGACACCAGAACCAGAGACAGCACATGACGAGGAACAACAGAAACTTGATGAACTTCAAGATAAAGAAGAGCAGGAACTTGAGCCGGAGCCGGAGCCAGAGTTGAGATCTGAAGACCAGACAGCGCAAACCACCGCCAAGTCGTCCCCAGTGAAAGCCCCTGTGGAAGCTCCCGTGGAGGCCCCCGTAGAGCCTCCCTCCGAGCCCCAGCATGAGGAAAACGGAGAGAACCCGACAACTCAAGATAACTACGATAAGGATGAGATGGCTCTTGACGATAATCTCGACGACATTGGCTCTCCTTCCGATGGTTCAACACCCGAGCGTCCCCCGATCCGGAAGAGCAGCTTGTCATTTGCGTCGCTCCCTGCTCGCGAACCGTTGATGAAGAGAAGCCTGGGTGGTACTAGGCTTTCTCGCACTAGCCACATTGATCCCTCCAAACTAAGCGGTATCGGTTCTAACTACCTTGGCAGACAGACGGGTGGGCACAGGATGACCCAGGCAGCTGCGGATGACAATGCATCGTTGAATGACAAAATGGACGTCGATGAGAACAAAGAGACTAGCCGCGATGATGATCACGATGAGGACACTCGAGCCGGTAAAGTGCACACCAAGTCTTCCACTCAGAGGCTTCACGAGAAGATCAGCATGCTCGGAAAGCTTCAGCCGTCGCGACCCACGAAATCCATTCCCTCGGCTCCCAGTTTGGCTCCTACTACGCAAGTGTCGTATCCCGAACTCCCGCCAACTAAGCCGGAGACAAAACCGGAAGAAAATGATCAGAAGTCCCACGAGGAGACGCCGGCCCCAGAACCTATGGCGGTCGACGACGATTGGATCAAGCCCTTCAGCTCGCCTTACAAGACCAACATGCCCAGACCCCAGGCAAAAGATGTTACGCAGAAGAAACCCTCCCCGACTACCGAGACGGAGCACAGCTTCCAAAAGGACAATAGCTCTGTTTCCCGGATCGACAGCACGAACAATGGCGAGAGGAACAGGCCCAGCGCGAAGCAATCATCCGAAGAATCCCATGAGATATCCTCCACGCCAGTCTACGCATCTCCGCACCGCTCTTTCCACAAGAGAAACGGATCCTTTTCCTACAACGACTCTCTCAGGTCTACTACTCCAGTTGGTTCTCCGCGTCAACAGGATGGTCCGATCAGCGCATCCAAGTTCCGACTGCAGTCCATCGTTAGATCTGCCAAGGGTCTATTCTCGAATGCTGGGGGAGTGTCTGCAGCGGCCAGGGTGGAGGCTTCTTCTCCCAGCGAACCGCCCAGCGTTGTTCCTCAGCCCCGTGAGCGCGCCAACACGGTTGCTGCCAATGAGAAGCAGCAACGGCCTAACCAGCCTTCTAGCCCACGACCCGAGGGCCGCAGGACTCGTAGCTCAACGGAGCAGAAGCGCAAGCAGAAGGAGGAGGAAGACCGCAAGCGTGAAGAAGAGGAAGAGGAAGAGCGAGCCGAGAGGGCTAGGCAGGAAAAGCAAGAGAAACAGCGGGCGGCGCAACTAAAGGCTGCTCAAGAGAAAGCAGAGAAAGCCGCCCAAGAGAAAGCCGCTCAAGAGAAGGCCGCCGCCGCCGCCGCTGCTGCTGCTGCTGCTGCTGCAGAGCAAGAGGCGCGTGCTGCTCAAAACTCGACGTCCATCACGGCCCCGACCCCTCAGAGAATCCCTCAGATGCAAAGGCATACGTCAAGAGAGCCGGAAACTACTTCTCAGGCACCTAAACAGGGCCCTGGTCGACCTGCCAAGCCCAACCGGGACACATTGCAGAAGCCTAAACCTCAGCCCGTATCTATTCGAGTCGGTAGTGCCCTCTCTCGACATATACCGATGGCGTCCAGCGTAACAGAATCAAGCCTCCCGGCGCCCACGCCAGCTTCGGCTACGAAACAGCCTGGTCTCAAGAAAAAGGCTAGCAACCAGTCCTTGCACACTGCGTCCTCACAAAGCAGTTTCAAGAGCACGGCGTCGACTCAGTCGCAGCGGAAAGCCCAGCTCGCAAGTGAAAGGAAGAAAGAACAGGAGGAACGCGAGGCACGACGCAAGGAAGAGCAGAGACGGGAGTTGGAGCGTCGACGGGCTGCCCAACAGCAGGAAGAGGCACGTCGTCAGGAGATGCGAAGCCGGGCTGATAATGAGCGACGGGAACGACTTGCTGCCGAGGACCCCAAGAAGGCCGCTCAGATGCAGGCAATTGAAAAGCGGAGGTTGGAGAATGCTCGGCGGTTGGAGAGACAGGGGAGCCAGCAGCCTAATGACGCGGTAAGTTTGAATATTCTCGGCGAATGAAGGGCACAATATTAATCACATCTTTGACAGGCACCGTCGACAACGTCACAATCCGCTCAGCCTGCTCGACCTGGGTCCCGACTTGGGTCTATCCAGCCTTTTGGTCGTTCGATCAACCCTCCTCAGCCTAATCCGGCCAAACCACCCAAGCGAGGGTTAGATGAGGAAGCGAGTCACCGCCCAGCTGCAACAAAGACCAGCACCATCCAGCCTTCAGGTGAGACCAAGCGGAGAAGGACCGAGGACGAACACAATCCGGTTATGCGACCCACGATGGCGCCGCCTATCCGGCAGTCGAATATCCGGAAGGAATCAAACATTC